AGAGCACAGCTACCAAATGCAACAACTTTCTCTTGGCCCTCTTGCACCTGCAAGAGCTCTGCTCCAATCGAATCATTGGAAGCGACCGTATCCAAGATAAATTCATCATGTTGATTTGGCAACGCTAACACTGGAGGTTGCGTCAACAAGCACTTCAAAGTCCTGAATGACTCTGCTTGTTCTTCACCCCAGACAAAGTTGGCTTTGCCTGTGACGGCGTACAATGGGGCTGCTACCCTAGAGAAGTCCTTAACAAACACTCTATGATAGTTTACCAACCCAATAAACCTCTCTACCTGCTTGGCACTGTTTGGAACAGGCCAATCCTTCACCACTGCTATGTCATGTTCTGTCATAGCAATGCTGTCTTTGCCAACTTTACGGCCTAAAAACTCTACTTCTTGTTGGAAGAAGATACATTCCTTCGGCTTTAGCTTATGCCTCCGAAATCTCGAAAGAGCCTCCCGCAAGTTTGAGAGATGGTCCTCAAAATTGCATCCAAGCACGATGATGTCATCGAGAAATGCCAGGACTGTCTTCCATGTCAAACCTCTCAGGACTAAGTCCATTGCTCTGGCAAATGTGGCTGGGGCACCACACAAACCAAAGCCTTCTCTGATGTTCAACTGGAAGAATGCGGAGTTGGCATCCAATTTTGAAAACCAAACACTGCCAGCAAATGTGTCCATGCAATCATCGACTAAAGGCAAAGGATACACGTCTTTGACTGTAACCTTATTCAACGTCCTATAGTCTATGCAATAACGCACAGAGCCGTCATGTTTTCTTATCAAAACTGGAGCAGATGCCCATTTGGATGTGGCATCTTGTACACCCCCATCCTTCGGCATTCCCTGAGGCTGGGCCTCTTCTTCCCCTGCAAAGCATGTTGGCTTTCGCCTCATACCTTGCTTCACAAGCTTTGCCTCCTTGGTATCTATATCACGTTCCTTATCAGTGAAGTCGCCAAGGTCAAGTTCACCCTTGATGAAGACATCTTGGAACTCAATCAGCAATTGCGCTAATTGAATCCGTTGACCTTCATCAAGGCTGCCACAAGAGGTGTCATAGACCTCCTGCAGGTGTGGTGGTATTGGACCAACCGCACCTGATGTTTCAAACACTTTGCTGGGCAAAGATGTTTCAACATCACACTCATTCCTGACAACTTCACTGATGGCAAATGCCCTCCCTATCTCTGTTCCCCTCCTGACAAGGCGGTAGCTATCTGATGGATTAACAAGACACAACACAGGGGTGTTAGTGCCTTCATGTAACACTCGGGGAACCAGAAATTTCTTCTGGTTCACTGGTTCCACGATATAGCTATGCAGGGGAGAGTGTAACTTGCATTGGACTCTCGCCACAGAGTGTGGAGGGATAACCTGTCTCTTAGACACCGTGACCTTGGATACCAAGGGACTATCTGATGAATGGACATCTAGGGAGATGCGCATACCATCAAAGTAAAGCTCTGCCTTGCTCATGTCTAGCACAGATTTGCCAGGGTCACGAAGCAAATCAAAGCCCAACAGCATTTGTTGCTCAATGGGGGCAACAAACATGTTGACCTGGTACCACTGGTGACCAACCTTCAACTTAACCGGACCAGCTACAAAGGCTGCCATAGACAATTCCCTGCCAGCCGTTTGCAGCTTTACATCCCTTATCTTGGGGGGCTTGTGCTTCAGGGAATTGTAGACCTTATCAGAAATGATGGTCACCTGGGCAGCAGTATCTACCACTGCTGTTACTTGGACATCCCCTACTTGGACCCCCATGGTAAACTGGGAAGAGGAATTGACCTGACAAACAACAACAGGGTCTGGTTAGACTCCCCCCGTGCTTACTTGGCTGAAATTGGCAGCCAACCGGGATTTTTTAATTTTGCAGGTCTTGTCTGCAGACAGGGACGGGAAACGACCTACTTTTTCACCGTCCCATTCTAGTTTAACGACTTATGGTTGTCGTTAAGCTTAGGGCAATTTCTTTTAAAATGCCCTATTTCGCCACAATTGTAGCATCCGGTTGACCTGTGGGGTTGGGACAATTCTGACAAAAAGGTTTTTGTCAGTCTTTGCTCCAGGTCATTTAAGGCTTTGCTTAAGTCATCGGTTGACATAGGCTCTGCCTGCTGTTCCCGTGATGGCTGGGAAGCAACAGCAAAAACCTTTTCCGGCTTCTTCCGGTCACCATACATGGCCGCATACACCTGCTGGTACTGGCGTACCATTTGTATGGCTGCATGCACAGACTCAGGTTGCTGCATGCAAACATGGTGACCTGCCTCTTTGTCAACCATACCCTGACAGAATCTGTTCACTGTTTGGACAGTGACAAACTCCTCTGGCAGCTTCTTAAAAGCTCTATAACCTAGAGTGAGCACTCGGTCAGCCCACTCATCTAGGGACTCGGTTGTCTCTTGTGCTGCATTCTGAAAACTTACCTGTGCAGCAGCTGGCAACTCATGTTGGCCAAATCGGGCAGCCAACTTGCTAACCAGCCTCTTGTAGGTAAGCTGACCTTGTTCACAGACAAGCGCATAATACTCGAGCGCTTTACCATCTAAACAGCAGACAAGGCAGCTAACTTGTTCTTCATCAGTCCACTCGCCTTGTTGGACATAGCGAGTGAACTTTAAAAAGAACGGTTCCCAAGTACTCTTACCATCATATGATAAGTGTTCGGGAAAGGCAGATATCCAGTTACGAACCCTAGAACGCCTATGGGCAGATGGTGCCCTGGCGAACATAGAGTCATCACTGCAATCACTATCCACTACCTGGTCAAAACGTATGGTACGTTTAGGGGTGGTATAGTCTGGAAGTGGTAAGGTAGGGGGGTGTGTGGATTTTGACTTTTTGGCAGTAAAATCCGCAGGAGTCATCAACTTCAGATTTTTATCTGGAAAAATCTTGTCGTCTGTTGCAAGGGTGCAAACAGATGACCGTTGTTGCTGCTTGTGAGCGGCCAGAACATTGGTTGCCGCTTTAACCACCTTCACCATTTCCAACCAATCATGCGTACTTGGCTGAATATCGTCCTCCTCCTCGTCCGTGTCTACCTCCAAGCTAGACTGGCCTAGCTTGTCAGTATTCTCAGCTGACAGAGACATATTCTGTCTAAAGTCTATCATAGCAAGTATCTCAGGGGAGAACTTGCGACGACAGACGGCCTCTAAAATCTCCCTGGTTATATTACCAGAGCACTCCCTAACTGCAATGAGCGCCTTGGCTAGGCTTGCACCCACATTAGGAATTGCCTGTAGCCTTTCCTCAGACGCAAAGTTAATAGCAACCAAGGGTGGTTGCACAACCTCTGCTTCCTGAGAAAATATCTCGAACTTTCCCTTTATATTGATATTCTCCATAACAACGAAAAGATACTGAGAAATATTCAAGTTAAAATGTGTTTTAACCAAATAAATCTCAATATCTATCTTCTCCCCCTTTATATGGCAAAAGGGCTAAATGGGGTTTATCAAAATATAACAGTTACTGTACCAGTGGCAGCAGAACGAAAAGGAAATCCGAAAAATAAACAAATTCCAAAGAATTTGGTCCTTCCAGGCAACGTCTAACCTAAGCGGAATTTGAGGGCAAATTCCCGCTTAACTACGATTATTTACGTAGAAATTCTGGTTTAAATCGTTCAAGCAGATTGGCCCACTATGAACAAAACCAAGAATTCAGGTAGACTTCGTTCTATGAGTGCAGAATTTGAGGGCAAATTCGTACACAATCGGTAAAATTATGGACCTTTGGTAGCGTCTATCTTTCGGAACGGAATTCGTAAAAATTACCGCTGCCACCAATATAGAACTGTCGCGATTGATTATAAAGGGATTGACAATACAAACAATCGACTTACCTTCCACGTCTGGATCGTAGCCAAGCTAGGAATTGCCTAATTCTTCTTAGTTATTTTACACACAAATATGGCGCCCAACTGTCAGCCTAACACACTAGTTCCGGTTGGTCCGGAACCTTCCGTTAACTTCCGTCAACTCCCGTAACCAGTACCATACGGTACTACACTACTGAACTTGGTGTGGCCTTACAAGTTACACAGTGTTTTTATTTGGTTTACTATTACTCTTTCACATAATATGTTTGTATTATGAAATGGGCCTTCATATGCAACGTATGTATGTATAGGAGAATGAGGAATTTTGCAAATTTTTATAGCCTGTATACAAAATATAAAAATCACCTGTATCTGTACCAAAAAGAAGTTGCAAATGGCGGCGGCACGAAATACCCAAATATACCCAAATACACCCAAATATACCCAAATATTGCCCAAATATACCCAAATATAGCAATATTTATTTTTGTTTGTATAAAATATAGATTATAATGAGAAATAAATAAATATTTATAAAATGACATGACTAAGCCTGCTATAACTTTCATTCATTCCGTTGAAATGGGCAGTTAAGATGTTGTAAGAAAATAAAGTTGTGACATTTGCTTATCTACAATATCGCTTCTTTATGAATGCAATTTTAATTCAAGATATGATATTTGTTGTCTACACTTACATTTTTAAGGTGTAATTTTGTTGAAATTTCATATCATAATAGAGGAAGAAGTCCATGTTATTAAAAAAAAAGCTTTAATGGAGTACATATGCTGTATCTTGGTTCAAAACACAATGATAGGAAAATGTATATTTGGGTATGTTTGATTATATCTTAGTGAAAGTGTATATTGTATTCATGATTAAAACAGCACTTTTTTAGTATAAAACATTTATTTTTAGTATAATTGGACAATATTTGGGTATATTTAGGCAATATTTGGGTATATTTGGGCAATATTTGGGTATATTTGGGTATATTTGGGTATTTCGTGCTGCCCGCAAATGGCGTTAAAAAATGCAAGGGAGCTTATTTTAGTCCAAATGTGATTAAGAACTCCGCTATAATGAAATATTTAGGGTCAATCTATCAATAATGATTAACTAATTAATAAAAACTAGAATACAATTCTGAATACCTCGGATGCAGCTAGATGGTCCGTATCTATGCCTGTGTTTTGATCCACGGTACGCATTTTTGCACGGAATTTGTGCCTGTCCCCGATGGTATCAAGTCCAAGGCGGCTAAGTTCTGCGTCTGTTAACTTCGCAGCTGTTTGGTCATCAACGTTTTGATTTATGAAACCAATTAATAATGAAGAATGCCCAATTTCTGCAAGGGCTCGTGATAGGTGCACGTTCCCCGCCATCTTGTTTGCAGTAAGATGTTTTAAATACCCGAAGATATCCGAATGAACCCAACATAATTGTATGACCACCCAGCGCATTGTCAAATCCACCAATAGCATTAAGTAGACTAAGCGTAACAATTTCATCACACAACAACATGTTTTATTAACCAAGCATGATAACATTACTACCAAACAACAAACTGCCGCAGCTGAACATGAAAATAGTACGACATAACAACATATTGTTACAACTGAACACTATGATGTCAACACATACTCGTTAATTTAAATGACTGAATATAATGCCAGTTGTACACAACAGCATATCATTTTAACTGACCATAATGACATTTGACCGTACAGTATATCATCTGAACTTAACATAATGACAGTATCACACAACAGTTTGTGTTCACTACTGAACATAATGACCTCTGCACCGAACAGTATATCATCTTAACTTAACATAATGACGGTATCACACAACAGTTTGTGTTCACTACTGAACATAATGACCTCTGCACCGAACAGTATATCATCTTAACTTAACATAATGACGGTATCACACAACAGTTTGTGTTCACTACTGAACATAATGACCTTTGCACTTAACAGTTTATCATCTTAACTTAACATAATGACGGTATCACACAACAGTTTGTGTTCACTACTGAACACAATGACCTCTGAACCGAACAGTATATCTTCTGAACTTAACATAATGACAGTATCACACAACAGTTTGAGTTCACTACTGAACATAATGACCTCTGCACCGAACATTATATCATCTGAACTGAACATAATGATAGTACCAAGAAACAGTTCTTTTTAGTAACTGAACATAACGACCTTTGCACCGAACAACACATTGACTTGACTGAAGAAGATATAATCAGCACACAATATAATGATAGTACCATTTAACTGTTCTATTTCACGACTGAACAGAATGAATAAAGCACCCAACAGCATATCATTGCAACTGAACATAATGAAAGTATCACCAAATAATACACTGCCTCAACCAAACAAAATGATAGTACCACTCAATTGTTTATTTTAATGGTTGAACATAATGAGAATGGCACCAATCACCATTATTATAACCGAAAATAATGACTGTCACACCTCACATTATATCTTTTTTACTCTACATAATTGTGTTACAACATGCCTGTTTGTTTCAAGAACTGAACAAAACAACTAATGCACCCGACACTACATTGACTTGGCTGAAGAAAATGTAATCAGCACACAACATAACACTTCAATAACTGAGCACATTGGGATTTCCACCCAACATATTCGGATTTCCTCCCAACATATTGTATCTCAGACTCAACAGAACGACATTCAACCAGGCATATCATTCAATCTTAACATAAGACAGTCCAGGCGTTCCATACACTTCCGGACCATGATTGAGTAGTCTGTGGCTGCTTGCAATTGTGTCACGCGCTTTTTCCCACATAATAATAAAAAACCGTTTGTATAGTATTGCTCTTTTGTTACCATTTGGAAACAAAACACATTTCTATGCACTAATTATGTGTGCAATTAGTCGTTAATAGTCCATGATGGTTATTATTAACAACAGTAACCGCAGTTCCCATAACGTTTCCTTGAAATCCAGTCTGCAATTACCGAAAAGTAGCTCAAAATGAATAATGCTCTGTATACAGAACCATAATTATTCAGGAGCCATAACTCTATGTTAAAAAGTCGGACAATATCCCTCCCAGTTCAATCGGCGGAGGATAATAATATGACATACTTTAAAGTTTTCATATCTTCAAGATTCCATGCCAGCCAGATGTCAAGTTCACACATCTCAAATATTTTAATATCATTATTATGCTCATTATCATTATTATGACGTTCTACCAACGTTGTTACAGTAGGACAGCAAAAACGTCTATTTAATTTCATATAAATACATCGGTAATGCTAACGCAGAATTACGGATAGTATAATTCACAATTATTGTATTATGCTAATACATTGTATATAATATATAATAAAGCTCATGCGATGTGTATGCATACATTTATATGCATGTGTATGCAATTCGTTATGGTCGCACCAAATTGCTAGATATGCATAATTATTCTTTAATACCTATGTTACTATATATAGTAACACAAATTAGGGCAATTTAGGGCTATTATGGCAAGATGTAGGTCATAAGGCAATTTTGGCCGCCTTGCTACTTGGCATTATTTTTCCATATTGGGCGAGTGAATGAGCGCACGAGCAGAATGACGTAATCACAACTATCATGGCTGCTGACGTTGAACGAACTATAGTCACTAAAGTCTTGCAAACAATGTTTTTTAAAGTTTAAATGATATAGGCCCTAATTGATCACAGCCAGCAAAGCTTATCACTGAAGATTTATAAACTCAAGACAATACTGTAGATCTACATGACCTTCAGAAATTCCAAAAATGATTTTAGATTGACTGAACGAAAAGGTCGGAACGTTCGAGACCTAGACAGTCTCAGAAACCGTTCTTGAAGGCACAAAACTTCATAACAAGAGCTGTCACAGGAGACAGCGAAGCTCGACTATTAAAATACTGGACACAGTAAGGAGGACACAACTATGAAAGAAAAATCAATTATGTATAATTATGTATTAAGATATAGTAAAAAAATAACATTTGTTAACATAAATTCCAAGATCAAGGGGAATAATTCTAGAAATAGTCATGCTAGAGTTATGGACCTTGCCACACAACATTTGTGTAATGATAAGAAATATATATTTGAAGTTTGAAGTAGATACCTTAAAAAATAAAGAACAAACACATATTGGTTATTAAACTAACCATTATTTACTTTATTTTTAGCCAATAAATAATTATACCTTTAAATTGTATGGGGTCTAAACAAATTAATTGTATACTGTCTGAATTGTATACATACCAGTCTCTCACAACGCATTGCTCACCCCAAATGAGGGTAAAATAACTCTGACATAAAGAAGTCGGCGTAGGGATGACAGTTTTATTTAATAAAACACAATATCGTTCATTGCTTTCAATGGATCATTGTTTTTCAGAGTTTAATATTGCAAGTGCAAAATTGATAGTTCCACTGTGTTACTATGTATTCAAATATTCAAAACTACTTTCACTTTCGGTTTTAATTTAAACTAACAATTGACGAAATACGAGTGTTGAACGAAACTGGGTTTGTAAAACCAATGAAGGATTGTCAGAAGGAGTGTTTTGCGCATGTTTTGAGTAAAAATGATGTAAAGGCTATTACACCAACAGAGTATGGAAAAAGTTTAATTTTTCAAGTGGCCCCATTTCCGTTTTGTTCTATCACTTCGGTGTTAAAGCTGCCATGTAAAAGTAGTGCGTTCCATCATGCTTAGAGTGGTTTCACACAGGTCAGTAAGACCGGTGTACACAATGTACTGTCTGCACTTATGCGACAGAAAAAATATCAGAAAAAAGGAATTTAGTATTACTATGAGTATTTATTAAAGAAATTGTATTTCAAATATATTTAAATAGTATTATTGAAAGTCATTTTGTATGACAGACACACAAATCTAGTGCTCTGCATAATAAATGTAAGAAGAGACAAATAAGATAAGGATATTTTTGCAAATTATTGCACTTCATATAATTTTTATTGCATTATTTTTAAGATGGACATGTGTCACTGTCAAGCAAATGAAGATAAACATCACAGTCGGTGGGAATCTCCAGTTTCCAGATGTAGTGATCATAACTGTATAGGCACCATGAACACTTTGGACTAGTTGGAATATTTTAGAGAGCTAGTCTGAGTTGAATCCCCAGTCAATAGTAATGGCCAGTCATGGACATTGTGTTGAAGGAAAATGTTAAAGCTCGGATTTCCCGCTTAACCAATCATTACTTTACCTTATATTCAGTGCGGTAATGTAGGAAATGGTTACTTTCTGGAACGGAGCTGTCAATTACTTTTATTTTTTTAGCTTGTTAGCGTTATCGTCAGACAGATGAGAAGTAAAGACTTCGCAGTTTGACTGTATACAATTTGCTTTAAAGAAAGTATGTCGAAATTTTAAAAGTTATTCGTTGATTTTGTAGAAATTGACCAGAATTTACCTATGTTTACACGCATCGTTTGGACGTCGAAAACGACGTGCAATGACATTTCAGTGAAATTTGGAAACTTGCTCGTATTTTGGAGCATTTTGAAGGATTTCGATGAAGTAAAAAGTGTTTATAATAGGATACATTATTCCTAGAGACAACCACAAAGATAAAATAGTGATCTGGTGTATTTTTACAAAACAGTCTCTGTTTGTTTTGCATGATAGTTTTCTCTCGTAAGGGACCTTTATTCTTTATATATAGTATTATGAGCGTACATGGGTAAATTAATTGTGTCTAGTGCCTGTGGTTTTAACATGTATCTTAGCTTGTCTGGTTTAATGAAAAGTAATAAACCTGAGAAATGAAACTATGAGAATAAAATTGTTGTTTTAGTCCCCTTCTGTTTTCACTGAGGGGACTAAAGGCTGACCCCTTTCTGTATGTCAATGAAAGCTGAATTTTGATATTACTTAAAAGGTACAAAAGCAAGGTTCATCATACTGGTATCTGATATAGAACTATACAGAGATTTAGCATGTTATTATAATTTATGCTCCTGAAAGGGAGAGAATATAGTTGCGGTCTTAACCATCTGTCAGTCTGGACTCAAGTAATATTATGGATAAATATCTGTGTTCGTTCCATACAGACTTGTACTTTTGGGGAAAAAGGTTGCTCATGGGAGAAAAATATGTTCTTTATGATGTTTTTGAGGTTTTAGTTGATAAAGGAAAAAATACACGGTCTTAACTTAGGAAGACATTAGTCCTTCACACTCTTGTCCGGAATATGAATATAACTAGATATGTATTGAAGGGATTTCATGTAAACTTCACAAAGTGATAGAGACTTTTAAGAGAAAGTGCAATGTTCAAGAAACATAACTCTACCTTGCTTCATGTTTTAATTATCTCCCTTAAGTTTAAAATGCTTATTCCAAACTATCACTGAATCTACATCAACTTGAACGACTCGAATTTTCAAAAGTGTCAAAGAACCATAACTCCATTCCTTAGTTTTTAGCTTTTGTGATCGCTTTTCGTCCGGCGTCCGTCCGTAAAATTTTACTTTAAATGACATCTCCTCATAAACCACTGAGCCAATTTCATCCAAACTTCACAAGAATGTTCCCTTGGCTGTCACCTTTAAAAATTGTGCAAAGAATTTAATTCCATGCTGAAATCTGGTTGTCATGACAACCAAAAGAAAAAAACTTTAAATATCATCTTTCAAAAAACCCTTATAGCTAGGGCTAAGATATTTGGCTTGAAACATCGTCTAGTGAGTGTCTACCAAGTTTGTTTAACTAAAAGCCCTGGGGTCAAAATTGGCCCTGCCCCAGGGGTCATTGATTTTCCCTATGTGCATATAGTAAACACTTTAAAAAATCTTCTTTTAAAGAACCCAAAGAGCTAGAGCTAAGATATTCATCATGAAACATCATCTAATGAGTGTTTTCCAAGTTTGTTCAAATAAAAGGCCCGGGGTCAAAATTTGCCCCGACCCAGGGGTTCATTAATTTTCCCTTTATGCATATGGTAAAAACTTTAAAAAAATCTTCTTTTAAAGAACTAAAAGAGCTAGAGCTAAGATATTTAGCATGAAACATGTTCTAATAGGTGTCTACCAAGTTTGTTCAAATAAAAGCCCTGGGGTCAAAATTGGCCCCGCCCTGGGGGTCATTGTTTTTTTCTTATATGTGAATAGCAAAAACTTAAAAAATCTTCTTTGAAAGAACCCAAATAGCTAGAGCTTAGATATTAAGCATGAAATATCTTCTTGTGATTGTCTACAAAGATTTTTAAGCCCTGGGGTCAAATTGGCCCTGCCCCAGGGGGTCATTAATTTTCTTTAAATGCAAATAGTAACAACTTAAAAAATCTTCTTTTAAAAAACCCAAAGAGCTAGAGCTAAGATATTCAGCATGAAACATCTCCTAATGAGTGTTTACCAAGTTTGTTCAAATAAAAGTCCCAGGGTCAAAATTGGCCCTGCTCCAGGGGATCATTGGTTTTCCCTATACATGTATGCATATAGTAAAAGCTTCAAAAATCTTTTTTTAAAGAACTCAAAGAGCTAGGGCTTAAATATTCAGCATGAAACATGTTCTAATGGGTGTCTTCCATGTTTGATCTAATTAAAGCCCTCGGGTCAAAATTGGCCCCGCCCCAGGGGTCATTTATCTTCCTTATATGTGTATAGCAAAAACTTGAAAAATCTTCTTTGAAAAAACTCAAATAGCTAGAGTTTAGATAATTAGGTGAAACATTTTCTAGTGAGTGTCTACAAAGTTTGTTCAAATAAAAGCCCTGAGGTCAAAACTGGCCCTGCTCCAGGGTTGTCATTGTTTTTAACAGTATGTGTTAGTAAAAACTTAAAAAATCTTCTTTTAAAAAACCCAATAAGCTAGAGCTTAGATGTTTAGCATGAATCATCTTCTTATGGATGTCTACCAAGTTTGTTCAAATAAAAGCCCTTGGGTTAAAACTGGCCTTGCAGGGGATGGGGCTATATACAGGTGAGCAAATTCAGGGCCATCATGGCCCTCTTATTTAATTATCTACCTTTATTATATATGTACTTAATTATGCTTGTCCAGAGAAATACTGGAAAGAGTTGATGAAATTTGATTAAACTTTTACACAGCGAAAACAATCAAGTGAAAGAAAGTGTTTTGTCAAAGAACCCTAATTTTTTCTAGCTTAATTTTACAATTATCATCTCTTAAAATACATGTACAACAACATTTAGAATAATGGTTGTCTGGAGTAAATCTTTTCAATGATATCACACTCAAACTAAATACAGTTGTAGAGACTAGTTAGCAGAAGTCCTGTGTCAAATAACAGAAATTCTACATTACTTAGTTTTTTAATTATCTCCGTATATATTTCATGATACTGTTCAGAGAGAGGATTAAAATATTGAAGGAATTTGATTGAAACTTTATTAACTTTATACAGTGAAAGAGATTAGCATGAGAAGTGCAGTAAACAAAAGCCATTATAAGTTCTAATGACATGGTCACATTCATATAATGTGATGCAAAAAATATTGACCATTTGAGTGTTTACTTGATACTGATACAGAAAATTTGATATATATCACCATTGATTATTTTTTCATAGCTTTGTCTCACTTTATTATATCATGTGTTAAAAACATCGAGCTTGCAGATTCCTCTGGAAGCTCTATTTTCACTTGTTGCTCTTGTCAAAAAGGGCCAATAACGGTTTATGATGGACCTACAAGTACATGTAACCTAAATATTATATTTGAACATGTGTGTCATAGAATTATTGTATCAACTACTGTTCATTTACTGAATTGTGCACTTTATATTTATCAACCGGCAAGACCCTTCACTCATTGAATTATCTGCCCCGAAATAGAAAAAATAGTTATTTGATCCTTCATACGTCCCAACTGCAGTGCCTTCAGCACTTTGATTCATTTATGACGGTATCAATATCGTATGGTCGGGATAACGGACTGGCGAGGTATGAACCTATAGTCGTCTTGAAAAAAATAAGAATACATATGACTGCTATTTACTTCTAAACGCAGACATATCAAAAATGTGTTGAAGTTGCATGTAAGTAGTATGCACATGTATTATTTTCTTTATTTTTGTAAAGGACAAATGAAAGGATCAATACTTAACGGATGTGATGACGGACGGAAGGGATTTAAACCTATAATCGCCTCCAACGAACCTGGATGGGAAATGAAAATATGTATCATATTCAGTAATAAATTTATTATAATGGATAAATATATAAAGATTAATATACTATTTAAAGAAATCATTATGCAAGGTTTTACAAAAGAAATTCACTGTGTTAATGTTATTTAAAAAATTCCAACAAAGTCCAGGAAAGATCTGCAACACACAAAGACCTTGCTCAATGTTACGCCAGTATAAATTTCACGCATCATATGGCAATCCTGAAAAAGAAAATCCGGTTTTGAAAATCTCCAAAACTTTGTCGTTTCTTTATTCAAATCTAATATTAAAGAAAAAAATGAAATATTGGCGAATCGAGTGAAAATTCCGTATCATGTAAACAAGATTGGCGTTATGTTAAAGATTCCAACGTGTTTTAATCTAATTATCTAAACTATCGGTATCATTGGAACATTTTCGAAAAGAGCATAAGCAAGAAGTTAAGGGTGGTCCAAATACTTAAATACAATTTGCAGGAAGCTTGATTCCAGACAGGACGGAAATTATCTCATCGTGGAGTCAGGTATCAGACTGTTCGATATTCACCAAGCACTTTTGTTCAATTTCAAGAAAACTTGATAAAATTAGAATTTTAAGCTGATATAAGTTTTATTTTTAATTTTATGTTCATCACATTTATCTACCATATGACTGTGCTTTTATCTTATTTCTCGATACACCATGAGCAATGACAAAAAAAATCTGACCTTTTATAATTACAGGCACATACTAAAACCACATCTGGTAGGACAACACCTCGACTTCATGTCACATTGGGCGTCATCACTACACCGTGTGCCTTGGTCACACATGCTTAGTATTCCTCCTCTACCGAAAGTTGTCAATGGTGGACATTTTATTTCTTTTGGTACAGTGCCTAGATGTAACGATAGATTTAGTGCAACAACAACAAAAGCAATACATACATATATATACATTGTGACTTAATCAGTTATATTGTAATTTAATCAGTTATATAGTGATTTATTTAGTAATATTGTGGGTTACTCAGTTATATTGCGATTTAATCAGTTAAATTGTAGTTTAATCAGTTATATAGTGATTTAATCAGTTAAAATTGTCGTTTACTCAGTCATATTGTAATTTAATCAGTTATATCGTGATCTAATTAGTAATATTGTGGGTTACTCAGTTATATTGCGATTTAATCAGTTATATTGTAGTTTAATTTTTAATTTTTTTATTAAACAAAGATAAAAAAGTTCAAATGTTTGTTATTTTCCCCTAAAAATACAATGTAAAATAAAAATGTGTTTTGTGCATACCAACACTAGCAGGTTTTTTTTTTTTTTTTTTTTTTTTTGGGGGGGGGGGGGGAAGGGGGATGAATAAACGTTTGTATCAGGAATATAGTTGACAATTGAATAAACGATTAATACAGAAGAAGGTCTTTGGAAACTGGTGACCGTTGAAGACCGGAGAAGGTCGAACATAAAACAATTTTTTCTTTTTAGGAAATTATTAAATAGGCCTACCATTTTATGAATAATTCCGAGCAAAAAATAAATAAAGTAAACACACAAGTTTACGCAGAAAATATCTCTATTTATTATTGCAGATGCCACTACGAATATTTTAATTTTGTAGATTTTCAGTATAAACAATTTATTGTTCGTAAAATTTGAGATAGATATTAAAGAAACATTGATAATTTCAAACACATCATTCAAGTTGTTCCACCTTAAACGGTAAAATAATTATAGAAAATTAGAAATATCACGCAATAGTTTTTTGTTTGTTCTTAATTAGGTTTAATTCGGACTTATTCCCTACAGGTAAATCCGTAACGTACCGGTAAACGTTATTTAGCTAGGTTTTCTAAAAGGTCAATTAACCAATCATGTACGGTTTACAGATCACATGCTCCTCCATGTACCGAAAACAGGTAACGTGCTCCTCCATGCCTCAAAAGTTAAACGCGTACCAATACCCTGCGGTCTCCAGACCGCATGGAATAATTCACGATTATTATATGCCAATCTTTAATAAAGCTCACGCGATGTGTACGTACATACATATGCATGTATATGCAATTTGTTATGGTCGCACCAAACTGCTAGATATGCATAATAATTATACATTTAGTAGGTAACGCCGGCAGTTGGAAAATTTTCAGACATTTTCAGATATTTGTAAAGTACATCACTTTTCGTGATAATTTGTATGATACCGGTTTAACGTCGCCATAGTTGACCTGACTGTTGCGTAACTCTGTAGTAATAACCCCAAAGGAGCAGTAATTTTGAACCGTTTTAGTTAGATAATACGGGAGCAAATCTAAATTGTATTGGACAAACATGTCAAAAAATAACTCTTTAGATGCTAAGATACATGTATTTTGTTAAGCAGCATATGTTAAGTTATCAAATCAAAGGAAAACAATGTGTGATTCATTATATAGGTTAATATCTGAAATTTTCTGGGGGATTGTTTAAAAAAACGTGTATTCTAAAAATTCGCATCTGAAAATACACAGAAGTCACCATTAAATACACATATGAGCCGCGTCATGACAAAACCAACATAATGGGTTTGCGACCAGCACGGACCTGCTTTCGATGCACTTGATACCATGTTACAAATATCGTAAGATATCTATTACATAAAATAAAATAACTGTGTTTATTATTTCATAAAATAAAATTGTATGAACTTTTTGTTTAGTTTTTTTTTGCTTTGATACTGCAAACAACAACAAAAATACATGTGCCTGTTATATTATATTACATGACATTACATGTTGACAAAAAGTATAAAACGGGCAGCCGACTGTAAACAGTCTAGACAATCACGAAGGAGGAGCAGGCTGGATTTGATCTAAATAAGAGGAAAAATGGAAATGTTACCGCCACTTGAGATCGGAAAAGAAACAAAAATATCTTTTACAATTCGTCATGCCTGGATGATTTCTTGATTATTTTTCTGAAGCATTTTATATCATGTTCGTCAATGGTAATGCTATCGTCTTTTGATGCATCTTCATTATTATCAGATTTTTCCTCGTCAGAATTGTCTGATTCTGGTTCAACAACCTTATCATCCACCGTTGGTGCATTTGAATCCCCAATTTCTCCGTCCTTCTTTGCATCTTTTTTCTTTCCGTCATCATCATCTTCGTCGTGGTCAACATCATCGTCGTCGTCGTCGTCAGCCTCATCTTTTTCTCTTTGAAGTTTTATTTGTTCAATCTTGTTATTCAGTTTTTGTATTCTGTTTTCACATTCCGAGCCTTGTTGACTGTAGAATTCAATGACTTTTTCCACTATCTGATACAAACAGAAAAGTTTATAATATCTTATATTTTCCATGATGAGATTTCTGTTGATAAAATTGTTATGATATTTATAATATTTTCATAGAAATATTTTTCTTTTTCAAATTCGTCAATAATGTATGACAAAAGGCGTATTTCATAGTTATTTTTCATACTGAATGACATATGAGCCGCGTCACGACAAAACCAACGTAATGCGTTTGCGACCAACATGAATACAGACCAAAAAGCGCATCCGCGCAGTCTGATCAGGATCCATGCTGTTCGCTATCAGTTTTTCAACTTGTTATAGGGTTTCTAAGCGAACAGCATAGATCCTGATCAGACTGCGTCGATGCGCAGGCGCAGGCTGGTCTCGCAAACGCATAACGTTGGTTTTGTCGTGACGCGGCTCATATTTTGACTTAGTTATTTAAACATTTGGGCAATCAGGAATATGAAGAGGCATAAATTATATCTTGCTGGATCAACAGTTATATTGGAAACTTTAACGATAACCATCGTCTGTATTTTAAATAGAGGTTATACAATTGTATTTAGTGAGATTTCTTCATAAATTGACAACAGCCGTGTATATAAAACTGCATGCATATATAAACGTCGCGATTATTCAATGAAAAGCGACGTTACAAATACGACAAGTGTAGTTACACGTGCTGTAAACACGGCTGCTGTAAATCCATTAAAATTTTTTATATTTCCTCTTATTAAGGAATGTATATATATACAGTATGTCTGCACATATTTTTTTCTTAGAAATGATGCCTCCTGTGTTATAAATTCGTCATAAATATTTCTGACAGGTTATATGGCCATAATTATACGGTTGTATGCAATATAACCCTCGCATAGCCTCGCAAATCTCAAACAACCGTTTATTTCATATATGGCCATGTAACTTGTCAAAAATCGTTTAAATTAATTTTTAAAAACGTTTTAATAAATAACATAAATGTCCCAATTATCCTATGAAAATCGGTGTTTCAAATATTGAAAACATACCTGTGTTTTGTTCCTCATTAAAGCCCAATATTGATCTACCCTTCTCACTGCCGCCTCATAGAACTGCACGGCTATACTTGTATTGTCAACGCTAACATACTCTGCCAGGTGCAGACATTCTTCCGCATTTAGAGCAGACGATTTACTTCCGGACAATTTCCCAGATACCAAGTCAGAGAAATTAGGCAGGGCTTCCTTCTGTATTTGAATGAGATCGCTCATACTTTTGTACAAGTGTCCAACTTTTAAACTCCTTTCATCAGATTTCAGTTCGTTGTAAACTTTCAACTTTTCGGGATTTTCAATATCTTTATGGAAACGGAAAGAAGCGTTTATGTGCTCGACAATCTGGTCCATCACAACTGTGTTGTTACGAATAAAGCGGAATCTGTCGAAAGGGTTCGTATAATCAAACGAACCATCTTTTAAAGCGGTTGATGCATACTCAAGTATCATTATATGATTAACCATTATTGAAAGATTTCGCTGAATTTTGTCCGTTAGGGGCACTGTTATTTTACCGCTTTTTGTCTTCATTGTCATTTTGTCGTATATCATAAAATGCTTCGCATAGAAAATCAAAACGTCTGATACTTTAGTATATAGGTTTGAACTGTTGATAAATTTAACCGATTCTTTGAACTCCTTGTTAGACAAATCAATGACGTCATCATGCATCCGCGCCGATTCCTCACCAACTTCCGCCTGCGTTGCGTTTGTCCCATTTATTTCGGGACAGTAAGAATAAAATATGTAAGTTGTCACTAGAAGGCCAACACATTTTAATCCTCGCATAATCAAATCACAAACAAATAAACGAAGAAATGTCGTCTGCTTTATTTTCCCAGAACTATTTTTATTTCCCGTTGCCAAAGTTTTTATTTATAGAAACGTTCCTTTAATGTAATTACGTCTAGCATTTCAAGGTAATTTAACTAAAAAAAAGTTTATTTTATTGTTTTATGAAAAGATGCTTATTGTATTACACTGAAATAGTACGTTACTTAATGTACGTACGTCATCAGTTTATCCAAATACATAAATATATTTGAACAATTCATTGAATTTCAAATGCCACGTGACGAAAAACGAAATGTCATTATGATAAAATAATGTTTTAATTATAAGGTTAAGATTTCTATAAAGATAAAAACAATTTTTATTGTCTTCACTCCAATATTTATATGAATGTTTCACTATCGGGTGATCTACAATTAATTTGTGAAGAGGAAAAAATACAAATGTCTTCAGGGCCTTAATTTTATTAAACAAACTACCAATCACTGTGATTTTTATAAACATTTGTATTTTTCTATCAATAATACGAGTATTTCTCATAACCTTATTTAATATTAATTCATCAGAAGATTACTATATATTTGTTGATACAGTAACCTCATATAATGCATTAAATGATCTGTCTTTGTTGATACGATAAACTCACAATGCATTAAATGATCCGTCTTTGTTGATACGATAACCTCATAATGCATTAAATGATCCGTCTTTGTTGATACGATAACCTCACAATGCATTTTATGATCTGTCTTTGTTGATACGATAACCTCATAATGCATTAAATGATCTGTCTTTATTGATACGATAAACTCACAATGCATTAAATGATCTGTCTTTGTTGATACGATAACCTCACAATGCATTAAATGATCTGTCTTTGTTGATACGATAAACTCACAATGCATTAAATGATCTGTCTTTATTGATACGATAAACTCACAATGCATTAAATGATCTGTCTTTGTTGATACGATATACTCACAATGCACTAAATGAGCTGTCTTTGTGATACGATAACCTATATATGTGTATCAAATTAACCAGATGCATTATGAAACTTAATTGCCATAAATAGTTCTATGGTTGTGAGGTTTTACATTGGTAGGAAAATATTATGATATACCGGTGTTACATTTTTGGAAGTCTAGATTTCGGAATACGCAACCGGCGTCCTGGTGACAAATATTTTAGTTTTCTAGAAAAAATTAGTAAAGAAGTTCAACTCCTATTGAAAATAAAAATGTTTTGTAAAATCTAACCTCTTTAAATGAAAAAAAAAATCAAAACCTACCAGTTTTACTCCCATCAGGCATCGACTCTGTGTCAGCCACAGACAGCATCAAAATCACACAAAATATTATCAACATGACTTGAGATGAAATACTTGTGCACTGTTTCGACGTTATAAATCTACCTTTTGCAGCTACTGCTCGTATCGAAATGGTAAGAGTGTTTATATACTGTGTAAGGGTGCATGTATGCACAATGATACCAGTGGCGTAGCTGCAATACGCAAAAGAGGTAAAAAAAAATGTGATCGTTTGAATGAGAACACAATGTAAAAACTCAGTTATGGAAAGAACACACCGTATTTTTGTTTTTTATTATATGTACTATATCTACATAAAATCATTCATTTTTATAAATATATAAAAAACGGTCTCTGATTTGTAATTAACGTAATCAACTTCTTTTGTGATAAGCCTCATATGTAAAATAAATACCGGCACTTTCTGTACAAGGTCCGATTGAAGTTTTTCATTTTTTAAAAGAATCAATGCTAGACTATTTCGGTGTATTTTAACAAGGAAAATACGCCCGTGTCAGAGATGTGGGAATTATAGACATTTTATATCTTAAATCTCGCCCAGCGCCCCCGCTAATTAGCGTGTTTTCGCCCCGCGCCCCTCTGTTGTATTTCTTAAATCTCTTCTCGCTACCCCGCTTCGCGAAGTTTTATTTCTTAATTTTCGTCTCCCGGTGTTTCAGTTGTGTCATGCGCGTTACAAAGATATTGTTTTTTCAATATGTCGGATAATTTATACAATTTCATGACCATAAAATATCACATAAATATGGTTTAAATTCTCAAAAAAATGCATTCACTTTGAAAGACTTTATCATAATTATTAAACTATTTCAGTATTAAAATAAGCACCATCCAGTTAAGAAAATTGGCCAGTTAAGAAAATTGGCCAGAATGCATTGATATGCAACAAGATAGTGCCCAGAGCATATCATTTAAGATATAAAAACTTCGCCCCACGAGGTCGCGGGACGAGAATTAACAATTAAAATGGCGGGGGCGCGGGCCGAAAACACGCTAATAAGCGGGGGCGCGGGACGAGATTTAAGAAATAAAACAGCGGGGGCGCGGGGCGAAAACACGCTAATTAGCGGGGGCGCAGGGCGAGATTAACGGAAAAAAACTTCGCCCGCGGGGTCGCGGGACGAGATTCAATAAATAAAACGGCGGGGACGAGGAGCGAAAACACGCTAATTATCGGGGATGTCAAACGATGTTTAATAACTGTATAAAACGGCGGGAGCGCGGAGCGAAAACACAATAATTAGCGGGGGCGCGGGGCGAAAACACGAGATTTTAACTATAAAAATGGCGGGAGTGCGGAGCGACAACACGCTAATTAGCGGGGGCACGAAGCGAAAAGTCGAGGTTTTTAAGAATAATTTGGCGGGGGCGCGGATCACAGCACGCTAACTAGCACCCTATAACAATAAATATTTCGCTACGCGGCCCCGCGGTTTTACAATTTAATCTCGACTTTTCGCCCCGCGGCCCCGCTAATCAGCGTGTTTTCGCTCCGCGCCCCCGCCATTTTAATTGTTAATTCTCGACTTTTCGCTTGGCTGGGTCGCGGGACAAAAACGCGGAATGGTACAAATCAGCCACCATGATAATCCAATCATTCCTAAATGACTTAATCCTTTGAGCTGCCAGGGGCTTTGCAACATGAACCCCCATCACTACTCCGCCTACGCGCCCCCTAGACCTTATAAATTTGTGCGTACATTTGAAATTGCCTCAGCTACGCTTCTTGATACGCTAGACTCCCAGATGTTTCATTATACATATAGATATACGTGTATATAAGAATTTGATATATAAACATGTATATGCGTGGTTGCTTTAACTAGAAAAATCTGACAAAAACATTTCCTTTCTCATTAAAATAACTATCGGCAGCTAATTAAAATAGCTTAATCTGTTAAATATTGTAATATACTCTAGTAATATGTTTGTTAATGCTAATTGCCAACATTAAAGTCACTTTTTAATGTATTATCTCGTCTGATATAAATAATGTGTATTCTGAAATATCACTGCTCTTTCGTTCACTTGGTAATGAGTAAGTCCGAATTAAGCAACAATAAATGTGTGAGAGAGACAAAAATTTATAGACTATTAGACTCAGTTTCCGGAATAAATTGTCCCGGAGTCCGAGAACTTCCTCCTCGACCGAGGATCGAACCTGCATTAGTTCATTAGTTAAGGATGGTTGGTTCGATGTCGAAAGCGGAATTTATATCTCCGTGACCACTGATCTCGGACATTGAGTGTTATGGTCACATTTGTTTCTCAACACTGATTCAGTAATCGTGTGGGAGTCCTTAACTTTAGGGAAAATGGGTAATTACTGGTTAGTTATCCAGAACCGGACAGGAGAATCGAGATAGGACCAAAAATATGCTGAACTCGCTGTAAAATCATAAAACAAATAAATAAATATAAACAATAAATTTGCGCTTCATTCACATCACATTACTTCTTTGAACTTTGCAAAAGTTCCATAACAAAGATGTTTCCATCGATTAGATCAAATTTATGGCGACGCCGACTTTAGATTAAGTTACCGTTACATTATTAATAAAGTCTTAAAATTTCTATCACATATTTTTCTATCAATAATATTTTTCATTAGCTTTTTTAATATAACCTCTTAAATGATCATTTTAGGAAAAAATTTAAAAACCAGTATTGACAGACCATGATAACATTAGTCATAATGAATTGTTCTCTTGTTCATATATCCCGTGCTTTTAGTTGATTTACCCAACTATAGAATGCAAAATGTCGACATGTTGCTATGTACAAATAGGTTTATGAAAATAAACTAGCTTTTCAATACAATTTGCTAGTAATAAATAAAATATACACGTTACATCTAAAATGTTTTTATTCGATACATAGATCTATGTAAAACTTTACTGAATAAAGATTGTCAAAAATAAACAAAGAGAATGTCAGGATTCAGTCTTCGACTGTTTGGTAAACAACTTTGGTCTCAACGCCGACATGGTGATTAAAATGGCTTCCTGAAAAACAGAAAAAATTACGTCATTGATGACATCATAGTTAAAATTGCAATGAAGTTAAAACTCTGATTTAACTTTCCTAAATGTCAACACTGGTAAAAATAGTAAGAACATTATTCATACACAGTTTAATGAAACTCCAAAAAGAGTTGCACACGTTTTTTTTTTGTTTTTTTTTCAGTATGCCAGAATGATAGTCTGTTAGTTATCATGCATACTCCAATTAACTTTCCTATATTTTTACACTGGTAAGATAAAAACTATCTTATCTACATCACCAGTATACAGTCATGCCAGCTTGAAAATGACTGCTAACAGAAGACAACAATTACAAATTGAATACAGGCTAAGTCTAGAGCACACATTCAGTCGCATTTGGGCTAAATTTTAACCAGACATGGTTATATCTATTGCTACAGTTGTATTATCACACACCCAGTGTACAAGTTTGCTTGCTTGTTGTTGATTTTTATTCAAGTGACACCAACATTGCAAAGATCGTACGCCAATTTTTCAGGTGTCGGAAGAACTCAGGTGCTCATTAATGCATTTTTCTGGCAAAAACAGACACCCTAGCAGATCCACAGACCTCCTATAAGCAAGCTGGATAACTTCTTCACATGAAATTATCAAAGGTCTCAGAAGAGATTACCTCAGTTCTGATGGTCCTGCTGCCTTGCTGGGGACAGGTATTAATGTAATGTTGAAATAGAAGACTCGGGTCATCCACTGCTAAATTCTCGTCTGCTTCTAGACTGGTCTCCAGACCATGTACTCCTCCAAACACTATTAATGCATGTCTGAAATACAAAAAAATAGTTTAATCCTGACAATTTTGCAACAATAATGAGTTGCATATTGAAAGTAGCTCAATAGCTCAGTTAGTTAGCCCACTGACTGCCACTCCTGAAGTCTCAGGTTAGATCGTGGGTAACACCCTTGGGATTTTCAGGGACACTTTCAGTGTTTCCCACTTACCTAGAGGTGTACTAGTAAGAAATCCAGGTAATCCTCGATTATATCACTGCTATACACTGGGCATGTAAAAGAACCAAGAGGTTTATTCAATTGTGTAGAGAGAGCTAGAGACTGGTGCCCGGATTCCCGTGTATCTCATTGTTGCCTCCGATGTCATTTCTACGTCCCACGTGGGGTTTGACATTAAAGGAAGATAGACTGACAGATATCAATGCATTCAAACCAAAGTCTATACTCCATGGTGCTTAATCGAAATCCGTACACTTTCAAAATGAATGCTGAAGTAAAGACTGCATGCAATTTTGATTGTTAATACACATTTTGGCTATACTTTTAATCAATATTTGCAACAACAGACTCTTTTCAAATATGCTTTTGGTTTACAGTTAATAGAAAAATAGCATTCATAGTTCTCAATGCACAAATAAGAATTGTTTGACTATGTTTCTTCTCTATACTTTTAACAGCATAAAAAGGCAATAAAAGTTTCAAATGCCTACGCCCCTCTTCAGCTTAAGTTTTGTGTGAAATACTGTTAATTTTATATTTATTTATTTATTTATTGTCAGAAAACAAACCTATGCTACTGTTCAGTAAATAGCCATGCTAAACAAATGAATTAATTTTTTGTAATACAATGTAATTCAGCAAATAATTAATGGATGACGCGAGTCTTCTTTATGAGTGGTTGCATAGCTGAGTGGTTAACGCAACCAACAAGTAATCTAAGGATTGTTGGCTGAATGGGTTCAAACCCCAACAAACCCCTTGAGCAAGAAACTGTACATTCATTGCTAAGTACTGGTTGGTTCCAGGAATAGATTTTAGAGTGTACAGTAAGCTTAAAGCTTTCAACACAATCAAACTAAAATAAAATTGTATAAATAATTGTTGAAGATGTATAAATGTATTTACGAAAAATTTCTAACTTACTTAAAATCTTTTTTGTCTAGTTCAAAGTCATCAATATCGGAGCCTCTCTCTGATGTTCCTATGGTAAGGTCATACACTTCCTTATAAGAGCATTCAGTAAATACAGCCCCTATACTGCTCGCTAGCCTAACACTGTACCCCCAGTACAAACCTGCATGGGTCCGAGGCTCAGATGGGGGGACTACTGTCCCTTTGTTTTTCTTTCTCTCTGAAAAATATTATAAATAGTTAATGCTTCAGACTAGTCGTGTATTTTAGGGTTTGTGCTAGGGGACACAGCCTTTATTCAGCGGGAAAATCCCTGGGTACCAGCCTACAACTTTGACATATTTCCTCAGTACAAAGATACAAAGTTTAACCCTAAGCCTGCTGGTGACTACAGAATCCACCCATGTGACCAGTGCAGATCATGAACAGCCAGAACATATGAGCCGCGCCATAACAAAACCAACATAGTGCTTTTGCAACCAGCATGCACATTCGCGCAGTCTGATCAAGATCCATGATGCTGGCTATGAATTTCTTTACTTGTAATATGGTTTGTAAGCAAACAGCATAGATTCTGATCAGACTGGGTGGATGCCCAGGCTGGCCTTGATCACTGCTGGTCGCAAACGCACTATGTTTGTTTTTGTCACGGTGCAGCTCAATTATGTGTCATTTGATCATGGTCTGCACTGAGTTTAAATCACGTTTTGAAACTTTAAATGATGAAATTTTTTTTCTAAATTTTAAAGAAATTTCAATTGGTAAGACACACCAACATTATAGGTTATAAAATGTATGAACTTACCTATAGAGGTCAGGTCCATTTTAACTGTAACTCGGACACCAGGGACCAACTGTTTGTCCACCTGAACATCCTGTCATAATATCAAATAATTCATTAAGTTGATCCTCTTGAATTTCCATTTTTTGGAACTTTCCATTAACAGTTATGGGCATATTCCTATACAATTAAAGTAGGTTAGCCAACAGTATAGAGCTTGATCCTGTGTTGGTTGTAAAGGCCTTTTACTTTCAGTTCCAGCCGGTTAAGGGTTTAGCAAAAAGAGTTTTGTAGCTAATGATAAATGTAGCTTTTTAGTTTCAAACATATAAAAATCATAACAAGAGCTGCCAATCAAACAGCACCCTCAGCTATTCTCAGGGTTCAAAAGTCAAACAGAAGCCATGTAGGATTGTTTTCAAAGATAACAAAGGGCTAAAAATCAAATAGTCAATACAAGAGTTTTCCTAGTTGAAAATTTGTCTTTGATCATCAATTTTTTGTGATTTGTAAATGACAGCATGGCCAGGTGGTTATGGCATCAGATTAGTAATCTACAGATTGCTGGCTGCCTGAGTTAAAAACATGTCAGGGGCAGTCCTTGCTTCCTTGATCAAGAAACTTAGCACTGCTTAGTACTAGTTGGCTCTAGGAATGGTTGGAGTGTGTATGTATAAGTGTATTGCTTCCTATAAAATAGTGTATAAAATAATTCTGTGTGACTTTCCTAATTCTATTCGCAATTTGATCAAAGTAGCAAACTAAGGGCAAGAAATTCTGCACCCAATAATTGGTGAAATTTTAGCAAATGTCTAAGATGGTTAAAGTAACCCCTGCTGCTCTTGAAAATTGACCTACATTTATGATCCTGCAGGCAAGTAACTGTACAAACTGATCTTGCGTGCAAAAACCTACACAAAGAGCCATTATTCAGTCAAAATCAAAATCAATGTTAAAAGTATGTTCAGTAATTGTGTAAAGTTTATTCATGACGGGCAATAATTACAGTCAAAAATACCTGCTAGAGTTATATGTCATGTTAGTCCAATACATTAGACGTTACAGGCTTGTTATAGTTTATGATGGTCAAACTGAAAATATCTCAAAGCAACGTCATATTTATAGGACTAGTGTCATGTCTGCTAAACGAAACTTAAAGGCACATTATGCCTCAGAAATCCATATATTTTTAATTTAGAAATATCAAACATGTATTTAATAATGTTTAAATAATGGATTAAGTGCATGTTAGATGTTATACAACTGGAAAAGCACTGAACATGCAGTTATGTGACAAAGGTACCAAAATGTAAACAAAAAAGTATTTTAACTTCGATACAAAATACTAATTCACTATAATTGTACCAATGGCCATAAGAACTAATGATGCGAAAGACAGTTCCTGTATATAACAAATTAGTGTGTTTTTGGAAACTATTATAAGATACCAAAAATAGTTTTTGAAAAATAAGAATTCTAGTATTTCTGAGGCAAAGTGGGCCTTTAAAATCTCAAATGTGTGTGATGTTTCAATTAATTTACTTTTTAGTAATTGACACACATGCAAAATTATAACTGAAAACTTCAAAGAGAAATGATGTTCGACATTTAGTACAATATAAAATGTTTATATATAATCTAGGGGGCACACAGCAGGGAATACATACCTTCATTATACCAACATTTACATATGAACCTTTCCCCTCCTTGGAGTGTTTTTTAACTACCACACCTTCCCTGTACAGGGCCTCATCATTGGCCCTCATATGGTGAGGTGAATCAAGGGGATTTAACACACCTGAAAAATCAAAAAAAAATCCTAAGTTAAAAAAGGACCTATTAGTTCCAGTCAGTTTTTTATTAGTTTTTGTCAGAAAAATGGGGCAGCTACATTAATTCTGTATGCTTGTCAATGAAAAATGACTCTTTAACTGTACACTGTTCGTATTTTGGATATGTGAGAAAAATAAAATATTATATTCACGTAGATTCAATACTAAATTTATTGAACTTGTTGCATAAAACAATATAGTATACTGTTTATACATGCCAAAAGCCGTTGTGATTTTATAATATTAAAAGTTTATTATTTATTATAAAATCTAAAAAACTAATTTGATATTCATTATTTATTAACATACCTGCATATTGCAGATCTTTATGTTGAGGAAAGAAGGATTTTCTAAGGTACTGAGGACATTCCAGGTATTGTAAGATACGTGCCAGCTGCACGTTACCACGTCCGTGTTTACCTACACCGGAAAATTCTCCTTCAGTTGTCCTGAAATATAACATGAAATTAATGAAATTATTCGAAACATTCGATTGCACATCAAAACACAATTTACTTGAATGATGTAATAAAAGTGATAGAATTCTCCTCTGTAATTATAAAGGTTCCATTTGAGTAGCAATACCGTGACATTCAAAAATCAAATTTTTAATTTTGTTATATTTGTTATACATGTATAAATGACATTAATTTGTTCTTTATCACAAGAAAAAATAATGAAATAATGAAATCGAGTAAGATTATTTTTCCATGAAAAAAAAATACTTTTGCTTTACTTTGAATTGAAATGGGACTATTTTAAGTAAAACTATAAAATCATCACATTTCCTATCTGCTATTTCTCACTTACTTTTCTGTGGATCCTGTTTCATCAAACACAATAATTTCATCCACATTAAACACAACTGCTGCTCTTGCGATCTGAAACAATAAATGCCAAATTGTTAAAATACGAAAAAAAGTATTTAAAGTTGTGTTTAAGTAGTCTTACTGTAATAATTTTCCGCCAAAAACATTCTAACATAGCCCAATATCGTAGCAAATCGGATATTTCCGGAACATTATTTTTTCAAAATATTGGGCATAAGACTATTTACAATCACTCCTCCTTTATTGCTATGTACTAAATGCTGGTTATGAACGATTTAAATTATTATAAGTATTGAATACCTAAGATCATGAATAATATAGTTCTGGAAATGACTGATTTAGTACGATATAGGCCGATATTAGATTTTTTTGGCGGGAAAGCATTACAGAAAGACTATACCTTAATACAATTGTATAAAAATTTCAATAGACATCACATAAGGTGGTGGCACGGCCAACTGGTTATCACATCACACTTGTAATCTAGGCAATGTTGAAGGTTCATACCCAGTTATGGGCAAGCCTGGCTTTGTTTCCTTGAGCAAAATACTTTACATTCATTGCTTAGTATTGGACTGGACGCTTTGAGGAACAGATTCAAGAATGTATCTGTAATCTTATAACTTCCAACACAAGTTTCAAATTAATGTCTTTACCAGATTCAAAATTGGGACGGGACGCGATAAATTGATCGTATATAGCTGTGTTTGGCAGGGGTTTATGAATCTTAAATATGTTCTGTTTTTACTTCAATATGTTCTGTTTTTACAAAGAGACATCACATAATTTTTTTCATTTTTATAATTGCTGACTCACCTAGCTTTTTATTTGGAAGGCTCCCATTGTTTATTACCAAGGTTTTATTTTTGTTTGTTCGTTTCATTTTACACCTTTTCCCAACAGTATTTCAGTCATATAGGCGGGTAGTTTCCTAGCCATCGTTCTTGGAGATTTACACCAGTAATAGACTACCTTCCTCCGTGCTAAACTACCAAAGCATCTCCCGGGGATCAAACCCACACTAGAGAGGTAACTGGATTAGAAGTCATTGACTCTAACCCCTCGACCACAGAGGCAGTACCAAGGTTTTATATGAATAGTTAAGATTTAGCAAGCAACAATATACATGTACCATTTGGTAAATGAATGGATAAACCACAAGTTGGTCTGCATCAATTATAATCAATAATCAAAACAGATTTGCAAAAGAGAAGTTTGTTTCTTTTCCATGCAGTTTCGAGGCTGAAATTAGGCCCAATTCAAAATGCCAAAACATATCTATATTTTTCACAACTGTTTAATGAAAATTCACAATGTCAAATTGTAGTTATAAACAAAATTGTAATTGACTTAAAACAGGAGACAAAGATGAACCATGGGATCTTCACATGAATCAATGCATTTTCCAATTAATAGATAAAATCTTGACAATACTTAAAGAAGTACTTTTATCACAAATTAATATTTAAAGGGTGCTCACTGTTCATAATTCAAAGGGCCCTGGACCCATTCAAAAAAAAGATAAAAAAAAAAAACAACACTGCCATTAATAATCAATAATGATCACATAAGTAAGCCACTATCACTGAGTGGTTAAGAGAAGGGACATAATGTAATGCTGTTTATTCTTAACTTGAAACACACAGTTCATGAGCCCTGCAATCCTTTTTGTTCATGTTGTACTTTATTTAATAGTTTACCAAACAAATATATACAACTAAAAACAATCAATTTCTTGAATAACCTTTTCCACTTTTCATTTTTTTAAAATCAAACATAACTTGTTCTATCATATACAGTTGTGAGATGGTCCAGATACATCTGTGACAACGATTTTTTCACTCGATCTCTTTCATAACTGTATGATTCATCATCAGCAGAAGATTTCTGCAAGAACCTTAAGTATATAGTCATACACTGAAGGTATGGTGTTAGACGTATTGGATATTCAGCATCTTTGACACAAAAAATTTGTTTCTCAACACAGCCTGGATTGTGTCGGAAATTTGTTTTCAACTGTGCCATAGCTGGCACTTGACAGGCCAACTTTGGGAAGCTATCAATGTCCTGGTACCTGTTCATTTTGTCTAAAACATTTAAAAGACAAGGCCCTATATTGATTGATTCTGATCTTTTACACTTAAAGTGATGATTAATCATCATTGTTTTCAACATAAAAGATGTATAAATTCTCTCATTTGGGTTTGACTGGCGCAAAAAATATCCAAGCTTTTCACCATCCTCTTCACCACTGATCAGATATTTGAGAACTCTGTATGCCTTTACGTGCTTTTCTGATAAAACGCTTTTCATAAATTTCACCTCCGTTTCTGTGAATGTTATACCATATCCACCGTCTGCTACTAGAAAGTAACTTCCAACGCTTAAAATTTCTGTACGAAACTCATTTAGCTCGCATACTTCATTCACTGTTTGTTCAAATTTATCACCTATAACTTTTATTGCAGGAACGAAATCTACATGTATAGATCTTGTTTTTTTAGTCTCATCCTGGTAAAGAAACAGTAATTTTGCTGCAGGCCCTTTTGCGTCGTAATATGCCTGAAAACATAACTTCCTTTCGTCTCTGTGGTACTGTAGCATACTGCCAGTGCCATGTCTTTCCACCACAACAGAAAGTCCCGAAAACGCCATCATCAGCACTTGCATCAGATAAGTTGCTGATATTAACACACCTTCTTCTTCATTAAAGTAACGTGAACATTCATCATTAAACACAAGAAATATAAAATCAAATTCATTGGGAAAACCATTTTTAGTCCCTTCATAAAAACTTCCGACTTTCACAATTTCACCAGCGGTTTTGGTTGGTTCCCTCTTTTCCAAAATCTCAGAAAGTCCATAGTCTAAATTAGGTACTGATCTGTACTCCTCAAAATATCCCAGAATCAAATCTGCAATTTTGGTCACAAGAGTTTCAATTCCAGTCTGTATAAATTCAATTTCATCTCTTGTAGACTTTAACACACATTCTTTGGTAAAGACATCATTTAGATACAATTCAAGTTTGTTATTTTGTTTCTCTAAGAAGTATTCCCTTCTATTTAACACTGAATTTTTTCTCTCCTTTAATCTATACACACCCATATTTAAACTTTAGCCTTTTTGAACTTTTTGTTTTCTGGTTTTTGTTCTTTAAGGTTGTTTCTTTTTTCACAAAAATTTCATCCTAGTAATCAAATTACAGATATTTTCTTCATGAAAAAAAATTGACATAAACGCGTATACAGACTGATCATAATTTCACACTCCTCCACAAAAACAACTTACATTACTTCTCTTTAATTTATGTTCTCTAAAATAAGGTGTTTATACACAACAGGCCCATCACTGCAACTTAATACTTCATGTACTTACAAAAGTATTGTAAGAATAGCATTGAATATTACCAATAAAATTTTACAAATGAATTATTAAGTTAAGATTTAATTAACTTTCTTTATGATATAAATTTCTAACCATTTTAAATGCATTATTATAATAAAAGGCAGGTCGGACATTTTTTTGAAGGACTGTTTAGATTATTATAATTTTTATCACATGATCAGTGATGTATGACTGACTGTGGTAACATACAGGTATAGTGAAGAGGTTAACATGGTAGGTTAAACCAGAATCAGTGATGTGAAACATTATAAACATAGTCTACATTCAAATGACAGTTTACCTGATGACAGAGCGAGGTTTGTCTAAAAAATAACATATATATACGACCTACAACCTATGCCACTAATACAGAACAAGGCCAGTTTTGTATAAATGTATTTGTCTAACCAGTTTACCGGATGAAAGAGCAAGACTCATCATGAAAATAATATATATGACCTACAACCTATGCCACTAATACAGAACAAGGCCAGTTTGTATACATGTATTTGTCTGACCAGGCTCTTTACTCTCTGATCCTCTTTATCTGATATTTCCATATTCAGAATTTTTAATGGACAATTTCAAACTTCATGCAGGATGAGACAGAAAGAACTAGAAGTGTGTCCATTGGACACATATGCCCCTATACTTTGTTTGCTGTCAAAGAGGCATAATAAAAAAAAGTCACTGTGACCTTTCACCTATTGACCTAAAAATGAATATGGGTCATCTCCAGGGCATGGGCAATGTTCATTCCAAGTTGCATAAACCATGACTTTGTCCTTTTCAAGTAATGGAAGACTGAAGACCTAAAGACTGACCCCATCACAATTTATAATGGCTGAAAGTAAAAAACAGCTGTTTTTTGACTTACCTGTCCAGCGAGATAGGTTCTCAGTTCTGGTGATTGAGCATTGTCCAGGATAGACCCAGGTAGAGCTATAGACACTGTATATGGTCGACCTGCAATAACAGATAAATATATACAATATTCCAGGATAGACCCAGGTAGAGCTATAGACACTGTATATGGTCGACCTGCAATATATTTTATTTCCCATATAAAGCAGTATTAAAGAAATAATCTGACTGCATCTTAAAACCAATTCTTTTTGGATTAGGTTGATACATGTAAACATATTTCACTGACTTAAAATGTATTAAGCTATATGTATTGCCGGCAACAAGAAATTATAGAATTATATTGACAAAATACTTTTGCACACTGACTGATAGTGAAAAGACAAAGGCACTCTGAATGAAATCAAACATAATTCTAGATTTTTTTTAAATAAACACAACCACACTGCATTTAGATAAATTTATAACATGTATTGTAACACCAGTTAGTTTCATGCAAAGTTGATAGAGAATTGATATACACTGTATTTGAAATCATCCTATTTAATAAGTAAATATAACATCAATTTTAATTTAAAAAGGGGCTCAACTCCTAAAAATATTGCTTTTAGGAAAATGCACCTTATCTTGCAACTGTGCCTTGTCATAAAATTGTTCATATTTTTTTAAAAGTTTGAAATAAAATATTTACAAGACTAAAACAACAACAACAACAACAAAGACAAGGCAAAATCAAAATAACTAGACTTTTTTTTTCAAAATAACTTGCCAACAAGGGGAATTACAAAGAAGTTTGTCTACCATACTGATACATGAGCATTTATTTATATCATGGTGTTTAAATTGGCCTTCAGCTTTCTTTAGGTAAAATATGTTACTTTTAGATAAACCGTTGCATATAATTGTCAAATCAGGAAAAATGAAATTTGCCATCGATAAAATATATAAACATGGATCTTAATAACATAAATCTGTGATACAAACAATAAGGAAACCCCCTCTATACCTCTAATCTATCGGTTCAATCTCTATATGTAAATTAGTAAAGTGGACGATTTGTTTCCCAATCTTCTATTTTTAGAAAATGGGTCAAAGACAGAAAAGGCCGGGTTGCATTTGTACACTAAATATCATGAGGCTGTGATGTTACGAAAAAAAATTTCCATTGACCCATTAATGTCGAAAATATAATTAAGTAGGTTTAAAGGAAGTGGATTAGCTACACACCTAAAATCGAATCCCACAGTATGGGACCATGTGTCAATGCTGCATGCCAAATATCAAGAGGCTGTGATAAGTAGTTGCTGAGAAAACTGTTACGAAAATTTCCTACCATTGACCATTAATGTCAAAAAATCTAACTAATTTAACTAAGTGGATAAACAGGAAGTGGATGAGCGACAGACCTGAAATCAAATCCCACAGTATGGGACCATGTGTCAATGCTGTATGCCAAATATCAAGAGGCTGTGATAAGTAGTTGCTGAGAAAACTGTTACGAAAATTTCCTAGCATTGACCATTAATGTCGAAAAATCTAACTAATTTAACTAAGTGGATAAACAGGAAGTGGATGAGCGACAGACCTGAAATCAAATCCCACAGTATGGGACCATGTGTCAATGCTGTATGCCAAATATCAAGAGGCTGTGATAAGTAGTTGCTGAGAAAACTGTTACGAAAATTTCCTACCATTGACCATTAATGTCATAAAATCTAACTAATTTAACTAAGTGGATAAACAGAAAGTGGATGAGCGACAGACCTGAAATCAAATCCCACAGTATGGGACCATGTGTCAATGCTGTATGCCAAATATCAAGAGGCTGTGATAAGTAGTTGCTGAGAAAACTGTTACGAAAATTTCCTACCATTGACCAATAATGTTTAAAAATCTAACTAATTTAACTAAGTGGATAAACAGGAAGTGGAATGAGCGACAGACCTGAAATCGAATCCCACAGTATGGGACCATGTGTCAATGCTGTATGCCAAATATCGAGAGGCTGTGATAAGTAATTGCTGAGAAAACTGTTACGAAAATTTCCTAGCATTGACCATTAATGTTGAAAAATCTAACTAATTTAACTAAGTGGATAAACAGGAAGTGGATGAGCGACAGACCTGAAATCAAATCCCACAGTATGGGACCATGTGTCAATGCTGTATGCCAAATATCAAGAGGCTGTGATAAGTAGTTGCTGAGAAAACTGTTACGAAAATTTCCTACCATTGACCATTAATGTCATAAAATCTAACTAATTTAACTAAGTGGATAAACAGAAAGTGGATGAGCGACAGACCTGAAATCAAATCCCACAGTATGGGACCATGTGTCAATGCTGTATGCCAAATATCAAGAGGCTGTGATAAGTAGTTGCTGAGAAAACTGTTACGAAAATTTCCTACCATTGACCAATAATGTTTAAAAATCTAACTAATTTAACTAAGTGGATAAACAGGAAGTGGAATGAGCGACAGACCTGAAATCGAATCCCACAGTATGGGACCATGTGTCAATGCTGTATGCCAAATATCGAGAGGCTGTGATAAGTAATTGCTGAGAAAACTGTTACGAAAATTTCCTAGCATTGACCATTAATGTCGAAAAATCTAACTAATTTAACTAAGTGGATAAACATGAAGTGGTAAGCGACAGACCTGAAATCAAATCCCACAGTATGGGACTATGTGTCAATACTGTATGCCAAATATCAAGAGGCTGTGATAAGTAGTTGCTGATAAAAACTGTTACGAAAATTTCCTACCATTGACCATTAATGTCAAAAAATCTAACTAATTTAACTAAGTGGATAAACAGAAAGTGGATGAGCGACAGACCTGAAATCAAATCCCACAGTATGGGACCATGTGTCAATGCTGTATGCCAAATATCAAGAGGCTGTGATAAGTAGTTGCTGAGAAAACTGTTACGAAAATTTCCTACCATTGACCAAAAATGTTTAAAAATCTAACTAATTTAACTAAGTGGATAAACAGGAAGTGGATGAGAGACAGACCTGAAATCCAATCCCACGGTATGGGACCATGTGTCAATGCTGTATGCCAAATATCAAGAGGCTGTGATAAGTAGTTGCTGAGAAAACTGTTACGAAAATTTCCTAGCATTGACCATTAATGTCAAAAAATCTAACTAATTTAACTAAGTGGATAAACAGGAAGTGGATGAGCGACAGACCTGAAATCGAATACCACGGTATGGGACCATGTGTCAATGCTGTTTGCCAAATATCAAGAGGCTGTGATAAGTAGTTGCTGAGAAAACTGTTACGAAAGTTTTTTTCCCCGCCCGCCGGCCGCCCGGACGCCCGCCCGCCCGCCGCCCAACATTCACCATACTATAACCCGGGTTTGCACCAGTGCAACCCGGCCAAAAATGAACATCAATGGCATCCTATAAATAGTTCTTGGGACGCTGTATTGAAGAAGGCTTAACAGTGATATAATTCACTTTTCCAAGACGAAATTACAGTAAACTTCACTTATAGCGAACACGGTTATAGCGAACTTCCGGTTATAAGGAACAATTTATTTTGAAATATTGTTGTATATAATTCAATATATCTATGAAAATGAATTTGTATAGAAGTATTTAATAGTTTTCTATTTAGGATATTTTCAGCATGAGTTCTTGTCACAAAGATAAAACTGTTATTCCTTTTATTCTATTATTTCTTTTCTTTAATAGTTTTACTCGAGTAAAATAATTATGATCATTTGTAATCAGATTTCAACATAATCATGCATGCTTGCAAACAAAATCAATAGAAAATTACAAAGTATGCTTGATTGAAATAAAAAGAATTCTATATGTTTTATAAGTAAAAGTCAATCTTAAAATATAATAGAAGATATTCAATATAAAAGGAAGAAAAAATGAAAAATCTTGTTTATTTTTATTCATGGAAAGAAAACGAAAAGCACTGACTTAAGAAACAAAATATGATATTTTATGAGAAATTGAGAAAGGGAGTAAAACTAAAACTAAAATAGCAAACTGAAAGGATTTTTAAATTCCAAAATGTAAGCTCTGGGGTATTGTGTCAAAAAAAGAAATAAATGACAAATTATTTTTAATCAAATGCTCTTCAAAATGGCGGACGATGTTTAACAATCAGTTCGTTATATGTATATCTGTTCGCTATAAAAACTCCTGATACAAGGAACTAATTCGCTATATGCTCACAAGGAACTCCGGATATAAGGAACATACTTTGTATGTCCCAGTGAGTTCGTTATAAGCGGAGTTTACTGTACTTTGAAACAACACAGAATTTTGTCCAACAACTGACAATTTTGTCAACTATGTTTCATGAATTAAAAGGTTAGAAATTATCAATTTACTCATAACATCTAACTGGACCAGCGTTCACTGTTTACTTGAAATTCTAAATTTTATTTAATTTTTATGCCACCACAACATCTGCTATGTGGTGGCATACATATAGCTGTTCAACTGTGTGAGTTTTTTTTATTTCATTATACCCTCTGGAGGTGTCTTGCTTTAAGAAAGATATCATATCTAAATAAAATAAAAAATTTTACTGTCTTTTCATTAGGAGTGTAATGTTTATCCGTTTAAATGGCTTCGGCCGGTTTCTAGCCAAAAACCGGAAAATTAAATAACCGAAAACGTTAGTATTTAAGACCAACAGACAACGAAATTTAAGATTGGATTTTAACATTTCTTTTGTTAATTTATGATAAGGTATGACATTGTATTTTAGTTTGGCTTTTTTCCAATGGCACGCTATCATTTACAATACAGTCCTAACAGACAATGGTACTCCATAATCAGGCATGTTTTTCTAATTGATGTCAAGTATAACAAAATATGAGCAAAATGTGCTTTCTTATCATAAAAACAAAGTTAAAGTTTAAAGAAGTTTAAAAAACTTAGAATTCTTTTAATATGGTCATTTAAACGTTTTACACGGTTATTAAGTCGCCGTTTAAACCGGTGGCATTTTTGCTAAATGTGACACCCCTAATTTTCATTTCAGACATTAAAGTAAAGATATAAATTTTTTTTCCTACCGAGTCTTTCTTGTACTTTTTCCTCTTCTTCTTTAACTTTTTTAGCTTCTTCTTCCTTCTGTTCAATCTGTCGCTTCTTGGCAAACTGCTTTAATAATTTTTCTTCTTTCCATTTTCTTTTCAATGCTTTACCTGACCACCAGGAAAATTAAAGATTCTGTTATTCATGGAATCATTTATTATCAATTTTGTTATCATTTAAAAATCAAGTTTATTGGAAACTATTAACGTACACAACGAAATTTAAACTTTGTTCATTTGTGAATTTCCTTCCACACCTTTGTGACAAACCCAGAATTTTGAATTGTTAAGAGGCCTAAGGTTATATAACAAAAAAATTGCCCATGATATTGATGTACTAAATAAGGACAGCTCTAATTAGTGGTATTATGTCCAGACAAACTTGAAAAATTTCAGCCATTCAGTCCATTACTCTGACAAAAATCATTGAACTGGAAAATCACGTTTTTCTACCGTACAATTCTATTTGAATGATCCAGTACAAGTTTATAATTTAAAAAATAAAATGAATCATCAGAATGTTTTACATATGCACAACTTGGATTGGTAACGATCATTTCTTATTTGTAATTGCACCTGCAGATACAGACAGACAGACAGACAGACAGACAATGGAGAAGTGATTCCTATATAGGGCCGCCTCTCTGTAGCAGGCAACACAAAAATAAAAATTTAACTTACGCTCTTCTTTCCATTTCTTTAATTCTTTTGGCTGCAAATTTGAAAAAAGATAAATTTATAAACATTTTATCTTGATCCAGGAAATGCAGCAATTTGAGGAATTTATATGTAAATTTTTTCATAGTGACATACATGTTTATAATTTAAAAATAAAATGAATCATAAATAAATAATATCAAAAAATAAATAAATAATCCTAAAGATGATGTTAGGCCATTTTTAAATTATATTAATTATGACAAGATACATCTATCAGAAATAAATTCACCTTTAATTAGAGTTTTCGTGAGCTGATGGAAATTCTGTTATAATTATTAACAAGAGGGCCATGATGGCCCTGAGGTCGCTCACCTGTATATAGGCCCCACCACCCCTGGGCCAATTTTTACCCAAGGGCTTTTATTTGTTTATTTGAACAGACTTGGTAGACACCCATAAGAAGATGTTTCATGCTAAACATCTTATTTCTAGCTCATTGGGTTTTTTTAAAAGAAGATTTTTAAAGTTTTTACTATACACATATAGTTAAAAACAATGACACCCCTGGGGCAGGGCCAGTTTTGACCCCCGGGCTTTTATTTGAACAAACTTTGTAGATATTTACTTAAAGATGTTTCATGCTAAATATCTAAACTCTAGCTATTTGGGTTTCAAAGAAGATTTTTTAAGTTTTTGCTATACACATATAAGGAAAATCAATGACCCCCCCCCCCCACCTGGGCGGGGCCAGTTTTGACCCCAGGGCTTTTATTTGAACATATTTGGCAGACACCCATTAGAACATGTTTCATGCTTAATATCTTAGTTCTAGCTATTTGGGTTTTTTCAAAGAAGATTTTTTAAGTTTTTGCTATACACATATAAGGAAAATCAATGACCCCCCCCATCGGGCGGGGCCAGTTTTGACCCCAGGGCTTTTATTTGAACATTATAACTTGGTAGACACCCATTAGAACATGTTTCATGCTTAATATCTTAGTTCTAGCTCTTTGAGTTCTTTAAAAGAAGATTTTTTAACTTTTTACTATATGCATATAGGGAAAATCAATGACCCCCTGGGGCGGGGCCAATTTTGACCCAAGGGCTTTTTTTTTAACAAACTTGGTAGACACTTATTAGAAGATGTTTCATGCTAAATATCTTAGCTCTAGCTCTTTGGGTTCTTTAAAAGAAGATTTTTTAAGTTTTTACTATATGCATATAGGGAAAATCTATGACCCCCTGGGGCGGGGTCAATTTTGACCCCAGGGCTTTTACTTGAACAAACTTGGTAGACATTCACTAGAAGATGTTTCATGCCAAATATCTAAGCTCTAGCTCTTATGGTTCTTTAAAAGAAGATTTTTTAAGTTTTTACTATATGCATATAGGGAAAATCAATGACCCCCCCGGGGCGGGGCCAATTTTGACCACAGGGCTTTAATTTGAACAAACTTGATAGACACTCACTAGAAGATGTTTCATGCTTAATATCTTAGCTCTAGCTCTTTGGGTTCTTTAAAAGAAGATTTTTTAAGTTTTTACTATATGCATATAGGGAAAATCAATGACCCCTTGGGGCGGGGCCAATTTTGACTCCAGGGCTTTTATTTGAACAAACTTGGTAGACATTCACTAGAAGATGTTTCATGCTTAATATCTAAGCTCTAGCTCTTACGGTTCTTTAAAAGAAGATTTTTTAAGTTTTTACTATATGCATATAGGGAAAATCAATGACCCCCCCGGGGCGGGGCCAATTTTGACCCCCAGGGCTTTTATTTGAACAAACTTGGTAGACACTCACTAGAAGATGGTTCATGCCAAATATCTTAGCTCTAGCTCTTTGGGTTCTTTAAAAGAAGATTTTTTAAGTTTTTACTATATGCATATAGGGAAAATCAATGACCCCCTGGGGCGGGGCCAATTTTGACCCCAGGGCTTTTATTTGAACAAACTTGGTAGACACTCACTAGAAGATGTTTCATGCCAAATATCTAAGCTCTAGCTCTTGGGGTTGTTTAAAAGAAGATATTTAAAGATTTTTCTTTCGGTTGCCATGACAACCAGAGTTCTGCATGGAATTAAATTCTTTGTACAATTTTTAAAGGTGACCACCAAAGGAACATTCCTGTGAAGTTTGGATGAAATTGGCTCAGTGGTTTATGAGGAGATGTCATTTAAAGCAAAAGTTTACGGACAGACGACGGCCGGACGACGGCCGGACGCCGGACGAAAAGCGATCACAAAAGCTCACCCTGTCACTTTGTGACAGGTGAGCTAAAAATACTTTGTCATAATCAAACTACCACTGGAAATTGACCCACAGACTTAAATGTCAATTAAAGTAACTATGTATGTGATTGACCTGATAGCATTCTTTGACTTATGCAATCCTGAAAAACAGGTGCTCTGCATCTTTTAATGGTGAGCAAACAACTAGCTTGAAATATTTTGCTGGCAAAAAAATGTGCGAGATTTAATTTTCATTTCAAATGTATTATGCTGGCCCAGCCTTAGACTTCCTGGCATTTAATTAGGTTATTTATCTTAAAAATGTCATAAATCTAGCCTCACAGTGTGTATAAGCTAGTCGTATGTGACTCATGAAGAACTTTTGTCAAGAAAAAACTTTCTTAACTTAAGATCCATTTTGCCATAAATGAAGACAGTGTACCATTACTTTTGTAGATATGAAAAAAACATTTCTTCTTGTAAATATACATTAAATATATAAATATACTGGTTTAATTTTGATGCAATGACTTATGATAAACTTATAACTCAGAACAATCTGAACATTAAACCTGTGTGTACGAAAAATAACTAGTATAGTACTCCCCGAGGGTACCGCGTCCTTGCCCATTCCGGTGCAATCAGAAAATATGTTTCTTAACACACTGAACGTGACCAATCGAATGTTTCCACCTTTAAAGTGAAAGTGGAAGTGCTACTTTTTTGAATTTGGATAAAAAAAATTAGAAATATTTTCATTTCAAATAAATTTCTGTCATTGATAGGAAAATCCAAAGCTGCCTGAGTGTGTTGTAAATACTTTTTTTATTTTATCCCATATTTACCAGTTAAACTGATAATTTCTTGTTCTGACAAATAAATTGAAGGTCATCTGCTGAAACAGCAGTGACGTCATATTCTGTTGAAAAAATTCAACTGAAGCCAAAAAGGGCCATCAATTTACATACCACGGTACCATAGTGCTCTCCATTTAAGTTTCCATTCAAAACATGACTAAATGACCATAGATGCCGCAGATGGGGGACAGGTTTTTAGCCCACGTTTTTATGGAGCACAATTCACATCACCACTCGTCGCTGATGTCTGCACAGCGGAATTACAGACGAGCTCAACATAGAAGTAGAAGTAGATGATTCTTATTTAAATCATTGAATTATTCTATGAATGACATGTGTATTTTAAAGTCAAGATGCGACAGTTAAACTTAATTTAATAAAATAGTAAATACAAGTTATTTTTAAGTATACAATGTGCTGGATATAAGGGGGCAGGGGACATATTCGAATGATGGCCCCGGTCAAATTTTTTAATAACTCAGACATGGTGTTTTGAAGGTACTGATAACTTCTGATATTTCTCTGTCATTGTAATTCTTTCTTGTGTGTGTGTAGTAAATGAGATGTATTTTTGGGTTTTTACCCGAAACTAAGCATTTTGGTAGCTTTGTATGTATTTCTGACTCTCCGAATGGAGGTGAAAAAGTTAAAAATCAAGCTTTGACAGTTGGCGCCAAACAAGTAAGAAATTTCAGATAAATTTTGTGAAAAATCTAAACGTATGACAGACACTTTATTTGTCTTTTCTGAAATGCCATAGCTTGCACTGCGTGTTACTGATATTTTTAAAGGAATCGGGCGGATTCTGGAGTATGCTGCACCTTCATGAAGATTGCCCATATTGGTATATTTTAGGTGTGATTTTGGCTGGGTGGGGGTAAATATAAATTGCTGTCAGTCGTTTTTTGAAGGAGCAATGCATGCAAACTATTATTTTCTTCAATGTATGTCATATATCATTGAATAATGCTGTGAAACTGGTTTATCTGCCTGTGAAACAGATTATGAAATATTTGGAATTGTGTTTCTGGTCACACTGAAATACAGAATTTTTCATTTTTAGGTCCCCTGCCCCCTCATAAGAACAGTGGTACCATGGCATAGGCAGATAGGGACCGGCAATCTCCTGGATTAGACCACAGGGACCCAGCACAGTGTTGGGATAGTGTAACAAAAGTAATTCTAAAAAAATATATATACTGTATATATAATATATAGATTATATATAAAGTATAATATTTTTTCTAGAATTACTTTTTTACACTATCCTAACACTGTGCCGGGTCCCTTTGGATCCTACCACAGGTAAACGTCGCGTGACCATGACTTACACTATACCCCCGTTCCCCCTCTACAACCCAAAACCCTAAAAAAAAATTATGAAAAAAAAAAAAATTTTTATGACTAAAATATTATAAAGGTATTTTACTCTACTTTCATTTTGCATAGAAATATCACTAGCATCTCAATTATCAGCGCATATATTCATCAATTTTTCACCAATCTTAATAATCTTGGTCTCAAATCTTAGATAAATAAATACTCTTTAAGAAAACAACACTGGCACCTTCGCTGATTATACGTAGCAAGAAATATCCAAGCCCAAACTGTCAACAAATGAAACTCGGAAGAGATCTGATTGCACCGTTTCGGTAAAACTCTCACGAGTAAAACACACTAAATTCACCGTGAAAGAATATTTCTTTGTATTGCGTATTTAAATATGATAAAATTAAGTTATTATTTATAATAATTGTTCAATCAAAGCATCTTATGAAACTATAACGCACCTTTTTTCCTATATGTCAAATTCTCATTCCAAAATGAAAGTAAAATGGGCCTGCAGATTGTTTTCAAATGGAGTATTTTCATTGGTCACAGGAAAACCTCGGACCAATGAAAATACTTAAAGGGAAACAACTCTGCTGTGCCAATTTACTTTCATTTTGGATTGAGAATTTGACATATAGGAAAAAAGGTGCGTTATAGTTTCATAAGATGCTTTGATTGAACAATTATTATAAATAATCAGAGCTCCAGATAATTTTTTTGGCCAAGGGGTTTTTACCCCTCAAAATTTAGAGTGAGGGGTAAAATGCAAATTCTGAAAAACTTAAAGGGTAAAATCTGTCAAAAAAGCATTTTGCAGTTTTTATAAACAAATTAAACTTATTGTTTTGTTTGTTTGTTTGTTTTTATTTCTTTTTTTACAAAAACCTTTACAAATTAAATACTGATTAATGTGAAACAATACAAAACATGCCATGTAAAGTCAGACTTCCAGAGTATACTGAAACTCAAGTTTAGGATACACAGCAAAATTATCAGGGCTTCCATTTTCAAAATTTGGAAGTCAAAGACTTCAAAATCTTTGATATTGGAAGTCACATTTAATAGGTAAAGAAGGAAAAGTATTGATTTTTGGAAGTCACAGGCAAAAATGAAGGAGTAAATGACTCCCAAACTTCCACTAGTGAAGCCCTGAAATTATTTAATTTTCTAGGAGTCAATATTTTTCTTTCTTTATTTCTGTTGGCATGTACCTTATCATATACTCCAGTTCGAACAATTATAGTTGAAATTAGATTAGAATTAAAAAAACATAAACAAGATTTTTTTTTATCTTTCCTTCAAAAAAGTATTAGTCTGAGAGAAAATTGTCCGTAATTGTAGACTGGGTACGAAAATATTGAGTACAAAACTGCAGGTGAAAAACATGTTATTTAAATCTAACAACAAAAGTTAAAGAAATTAAAATATATTTTTGTTTATATTGAGGCATAAGCATGTCAATAGATGCCTAAACAAACTTAATACTGTGTTAACTCCTACGATGATTATCTGGCAATAATTTCACAGGTTGATCTACGGGAGTTACCTCCCTTCTGTATTTCCTGCTACTTTCGTTTTTAACATGCGTTGTTGACAACAGAATTTTTAGTTTTCAATGCAATAAAATTGAAATACATTGTATTTTTATGCTCAAAACATTTTCTTTCTACATATCAAATGTTTACACTTCTATTCTTTCACGCATAAATTTTGACATACGAGCGTATTTTCATTTTGTTGTGCGTAACTGTGACGCACGAATTTTGAAAGTGATGCGTATTTTAGATTTTCTATGCGTATTTTACGCTTATACGCACGCTATCTGGAGCTCTGATAATAACTTAATTTTATCATATTTAAATACGCAATACAAAGAAATATTCTTTCACGGTGAATTTAGTGTGTTTTACTCGTGAGAGTGTTTTTTTTACCGAACGGGCTGCAATCAGATCTCTTTCCGAGTTTCATTTGTTGACAGTTTGGGCTTGGATATTTCTTGCTACGTATAATCAGCGAAGGTGCCAGTGTTGTTTTCTTAAAGAGTATTTATTTATCTAAGATTTGAGAGCCCAAGATTATTAAGATTGGTGAAAAATTGATGAATATATGCGCTGATAATTTGAGATGCTAGTGATATTTCTATGCAAAATGAAAGTAGAGTAAAATACTTTTATAATATTTTAGTCATAATTTTTTTTTTTTTTTTTCATAATTTTTTTTTAGGGTTTTGGGTTGTAGAGGGGGAACGGGGGTATAGTGTAAGTCATGGCCACGCGACGTTTACCTGTGGATCCTACGGAACGTTCGTAACGAACATGAACTTAAAAGTTTTACTTGGCTAATGGCATATACTGTAACTTACATTTGTTGGAGGCTCTCTGTTTGGTTTAGAATACGAGTTCCCAGATTCCATGATGCACTGTCTTGATTATGCGATATTCTTTTATCTATTTTCTTTTTAACACGTTCTTTAATCACATTTGTTCTTTGAACGCTTGTGCAGAGCGTTTAACGATCAGGATTTGGTTTGTGCTAAAGTCCGTTACCCGTTATATACCGTGCAAGAAAATGGTCACGCGAATAAAGTCTTGTCTTTTGGAACGTTTTACACTACTCTCTGTTCAAATCACATATTTAAATAAACAGAGCATATTCTCACAAATAAAATATACACATACAGTACTGTTTCGATATGATTCTACATGCCAATTCTAATTAGTCAGATAAGTTCTCTCCCTTTCATATCTTAACACCATTTACAAGCAAATAATTCAACAAAAATATGATTTAGTATCATTTACATGCCAGGCTTATTATTTGTAATGAGTGTTAACTCTGAGACCTCACGGGTCCTGTTCCAGGTAAAAGATGAAATTCTGTATGCTTGCTAAAACTAGATTTGTTCGTGCAAGGACTATTTTAAATATATTTAAAATATTTAATTATTGACGACAGCTTCCCTGTTTGTATTCGTCAGTATTTTCTTCTAGCCTAATATTTAACAAGCTTTCTTATTGGATATTCATATCTCGTTTTTTGATTGGTCGTAATAGTTTATTTAACGGCACTGCCAGTTATTCGCGCCACTTCTTGATTTTTTGTTTGTAAGCGTCACTGTTTGAACAACACTGTTTGAACAACATTTTTGTAATATGATGTTAATATAATAGTCTTACAGTGACGCACATTCATTCATTAAAATTTAATTATTACTTTGATTTGAGTTGTTATTTAGCAAGGATAATAATTTAATATTTTTCTTCAAATTATGGTGATTTAAGGTGTCAGATCTAGGCCTTAGTACATGTACTTAGCTATTTATACCTACAAGAAAATCAGACAGTCTCCAAGGTGATATTTCTTCTGTTATTAATTGGACAGAAAGGTAGGAAATGAAATTCAATGTTGATTTATAAAAGGCAATGTGACAATGTCATATGTTTATTGCATGTAAACCGCTAGCCTGCTAGGAGCAGTATATCACTCTCCCTTGACTTCATTATATTATTAACCTATTTCAGGTTATCCTTCATTAACATGATATTTTACATTTTTCATTTTCTATGACAAAAGCCTTGATAGCAGCTCTGAGTCCATCCTAATATTCTTTAGGTGTCCCCCAAAGCTTAGGACTACTTCTGTTTCTCGCTTATATAGATGACATCCTACAAAATATCAGTTCCAAGTTTTACCTGTTTGTGACAATAAAGCAATATACATTCCACTTGGATGTAGAGATGCCTGGTGACCCCTTTTCTTCTAGATCCACCATTGTGTGATTTCTATAGCCATAGAAGATTTTCAAGAATGTCTTCCCCTTCTCCCGAACATCACGTCATGGCCATCCTCTGAGCCACCTCTTCCTCGGAGTATTACAAATCTTCTATCTTTCCTAGGACTGATTCACACACTCAGATGTCCTATTCCCTATGCCAGAGCAATTCAATTTAGCAATATGCAACACACACTGAACATGTTTCACCCTTGTTTTTTAATCCCCCATCCCTCCTTGCTGATTTAAATTTTAAACTTTTCTTCTTAAATTTTCTTTTAAACAACACTCTTAAAGCTTCTTTCGAGACTATGTCTGTTGTATTCATGCAGCTACATTGATATATTTACACGCACATTACGCATGTGGTCTTAACTAACTTAAATATTTGCAACTAATATAGAGCCAGGAAAGCCTGCATGTCTGTGCAGTCAGGCCAGAAAAGACTCATGAAATACTTTTGGCTCACAAAATTTCAATTTTCGTAAGATAATGGATTAGTTTACAAGTTGGGTGTTGCTGTTTTATTTTACGTGATAGAACACCATTTCGTGAGGGTGAGTGGCATTTGAAATTTAAATAATGTCTGCAAGTTTCACCATTTCTCTTTTAACCCGACAGATAATTTTTCAGAATTTTCACGTGGTGAAGAATGGAAAAGTTCCTGTTAGTAAGTGACAAAACTAGCGCCCTTTTGGCTGCTAAGATTGGTCCTGATGGGATTTTAAAGGATAGTAAAGTTAGTGACGATCTTTGTTCACAAAGTAAGCTGGTGACATTGTTGTCAACAAGTGGATACACATTAGAGGCTCACAGACTGCTGGACAGAATCAAACGAGATTTTATGCAGGTACATCTACATTGCATATGATCTGAGAAAAGATGTTAGCTAATTATACATTAAATACAGTTAAAGAAGAAAAAAAATAAAAAGGCTCACGTTTTGGATGTCAAACACAGTAGTGCTTTTAATGTAGATATGTAACTTTCCTAACTAATGTTTAACGGCCAGTATTCTTGCCTTAATTAAATGATGTCAGATTTATTGATTGATGAATAAGCCATTTTAAAGTACATGTACATTCAAATACTTTTACTTTCCATATGTTGAAGAAATAAAAGTACATGTATCTATTTATCGTACAAATTTACACACATTTTACAGGAAGATGGCGACTTGATTTCTTTTAAAAACATTTCTGATAGAAGCAGGAAAAGCAAGAGCTTTCCAATGTCTCATTATTGGATATACATGAACGTTTGGATAGCCATGGGTGCACATAGAATTGGGAGGTATTTATGTGAAAATATTTCCATAAAAAACCGGACACTGTACATTTCTGTGTAGAATTGAACTTTCTTTTATGAACTCTGTTTGTTTTTCAGCCCATTCCCATTTTAGTAACACGTCTATCATTATTTTTCTTCTATATTTTAATTTATTGACATTTAAATGATAAAAGAAAAAAAAATTAAATATTTTCTTTCGATTAGGCTAGAGTATAATTTCGTTTATTTTACGAAGAATTTTGATTTTAATGTATTTGACATCGGTCTTCTTTACTTTGTTAATAGATTTGACACACCAAAAGGCGTTTAAATTATATTGAGAATCATCATGTCTGTCTATTTATAGGTTTGATATTTCATTCCCAGCATTCAACTTTTGCAAGACGTTCTTCCACCCGGATCATAATCTAGTCTGTGTCACAGAATCAATTACTGAAGTGAATGACCAATCAACAATGGATTGTTTAAGTACTGCTCATTTTGGGCTGCTTTGCTTGTATGTGGGAGGTAATTATTTTTAATTTGGTATATTGTTTGATGTATAGAGGAAATTTTGTTTGTTTTTCGTGAATATGCTTCATATCACGCGAAGAGAAAAAGCAATATTTTCATTTTGATTTTTTGATACATAGGATATTCACGTGAAATAAATTTAAGTTACACACGCAAAGATGACGTCAAAGATGACGTCAGTTCGGCAAAGCTATATCACAAACACTGCGAGTGCTATACTGGAGTGATATGGATTTTAATACACCGATAAAACCAAGTAATTGTATCTCACTGGTAAGCATAAAACAAATTAAGTTCCTTATCATCTTTTACAACCTATGTATTTGTAATACCCTTTAATTGTGTATTTTTCAAACAAATTTGTTTCATTTTTACAGACATTGAAAGAGCAAAGATGTGTGGTGAGGGGCTGTTAAAGATGATGTCCACGCAACCAAACTTTGATAAACAAATACTTTTGCGCATGTCAGTGAAAACTGGCTCTCTAATTACAAATCCGCCAGAAAATATGGAACCATTTTATGTTTTGAAACGCGATTCACCTAATCAGTTGTACTTTTTCTTGGGTTATTTTGGACTGTTTATGACCAAATTATTTCAAGCTACTCATGAGCAGAGATTTTTAGACAGTGCTAAGTCCGTGATGGACTTTGCCTTAACTTGCCACGAGAGCATATGTTTGTACAGTTTTAGCCATACAGTGGCTTATGCTGCCGCATTATTGGCTGTTGAAACCACAGAAGCTAAGTACAGACGGTTTGCTATAGGGATCGGAGAGTATTTAATCTCTATTCAAAGTGAAGAAGGATTTTTCTGTAAAGAAATGGATCGTATAGATATGTATGACCAGACTGCTGAAATTGCTATTTGTTTAAGGGAATTGAACAATGAAATTAAAAAACTTGTTAATAGATAATAAGCTGTATTTGATTACCTTCTATACAAGCGAAGTTTTAGGCATGCGTAAAATGGCTTCGAAGGAATTGTCAGCTGTGCACTGCAAAAATTGCTTGGTAGACGAATGCCTGTTTAGATCTGCCCAGTTGGAAGCATAACGACACGAAATTTTCATTACGTCATACTAGTCTAGTAGTACTAGTTTTTTTACACTGTGATCGACATAACAGGTACCATTTAGTCGTATTGTGCCAGTAATTCGACACCATGTGTTTTATTTATATATAGACAGAACCTGCACGCACGTAATAGTTTATCCTCATGTCTTGAACATTATTAATTTTATCCCAGTTAAACGATATCTTAACTTTTTTAATAAGCAAATGATCAACAATAAAAAAATCAAAGTTGAGTATAAACATAGTATATATACATGTATAAGTCATTAAAGGCATCAGACCATTTAAAAATTTCAAAAAAAGCCACACATACGTGTGACATTGCTTTACTATATAAATGGCGGCTATACTGTAAAGTTTTTTGAAGCCGAACAGCACTATCTAGATCATCTCAAAAGAAAGAAACAAGACGGCCATGATGGCCCTGAAGTCGCTCACCTGTATATAGGCCCCCGGAGCGGGGCCAGTTTAAACCCCAGGGCTTTTATTTGAACAAACTTGGTAGACACCCATTAGAAGATGTTTCATGCTAAACATCTAAGGTCCAGCTGGTCAAGTTTTTTCTTTACACATATAGTTAAAAACAATGACAGACCTGGGGCAGGGCCAGTTTTGACCCAAGGGCTTTTATTTGAACAATCTTTGTAGACACTTACTAGAAAATGTTTCATGCTTAATTATCTAAACTCTAGCTATTCGGGTTTTTTCAAAGAAGATTTTATAAGTTTTTGCTATACACATATAAGAAAAATCAATGTCCCCCGGGGCGGGGCCAATTTTGATCCCAGGGATTTTATTTGAACAAACTTTGTAGACACTCACTAGAAGATGCTTCGTGTTTAATATCTAAACTCTAGCTATTTGAGTTTTTTTCAAAGAAGATTTTTTTAAGTTTTTGTTATACACATATAAGGAAAATGAATGACCCCCGGGGCGGGGCCAATTTTGACCCCCAGGCTCTTATTTGAACAAACTTGGTAGACATCCATTAGAACATGTTTCATGCTAAATATCTTAGCTCTAGCTCTTTGGGTTCTTTAAAAGAAGATTTTTTAAGTTTTTACTATATGCATATAGGGAAAATCAATGACCCCCTGGGGCGGGGCCAATTTTGACCCCAGGGCTTTCATTTGAACAAACTTGGTAGACACCCATTAGAGGATGTTATATGCTAAATATCTTAGCTCTAGCTCTTTGGGTTTTTTAAAAGAAGATTTTTTAAGTTTTTACTATATGCATATAAGGAAAATCAAGGACCCCCTGGGGCGGGGCAAATTTTGACCCCAGGGCTTTTATTTGAACAAACTTGGTTGACACCCATTAGAGGATGTTATATGCTAAATATCTTAGCTCTAGCTCTTTAGGTTATTTAAAAGAAGATTTTTTAAGTTTTTACTATATGCATATAGGGAAAATCAATGACCCCCTGGGGCGGGGCCAATTTTGACCCCAGGGCTTTTATTTGAACAAACTTGGTAGACACTCACTAGAAGATGTTTCATGCCAAATATCTAAGCTCTAGCTCTTTGGGTTTTTTAGAAGAAGATATTTAAAGTTTTTTCTTTTGGTTGCCATGGCAACCAGAGTTCTGCATGGAATTAAATTCTTTGAACAATTTTCAAAGGTGACCACCAAAGGAACATTCCTGTGAAGTTTGGATTAAATTGGCTTAGTGGTTTATGAGGAGATGTCATTTAAAGTAAAAGTTTACGGACGGACGGACGAAAAGCGATCACAAAAGCTCACCCTGTCACTTTGTGACAGGTGAGCTAAAAACATTAAAATATATATATTTCAATTTCTTCAAAAAACAAACTTATTTCATAGTTTCTAAAAGTAAACAAACGGATTAGATTGAAAAATTCAGATGTTTATATACATTTTTAATTGCATCTCACCATATTTCACGGGGGAGAATCACGCCGTTCGTTACCAAAACAAACAAGATGGCGGATGCAGCCAAAAAGTAGGTTTTCCCCTTTTTTCTCTGAAATTCGTGATGTTCTGATGTTAAAGTACATATAACAACCTTCTACACAATTTTCCTGGCACACAGGATGTTGTTTCATGATGTTTCGTCCCGTACTTCATCTGAAATGCGCCTCACGAGAAAATTTTCCACCGGTTTGATCGTGGTAACGTACGGCTTTTTCTCTCAAATTCACTGTTTCTTTTACATATATGTATATTAACTGAAACCACTGACTTAAAAAAGTTGTTATATGTTCTCAAGTAAGCAATCATGCCAATTCTGGCTAGATTTACTGCTGTAAATATTAATATCGGGGCATTTTCCGGAAATGATAACGTATGGCGCACAAAATATCAATGATAACGCACGGCGCTTTTTTTTGATTAACTGATTTTCTTTATAATAGAAAAGTTATGTTTACAAGACATAAGTGGATGTGTAGAACCAAATTAAGAAACTGAAATAAATAATATAAGTGTTCAGCTTTATTTGTCATCCAATGAAAGCGTTGTATTTCTTAAAAAACATTTGTGTAAATTTTCATAGAATAGAAGAACAAAAGTCGATGATATATCAAAGTCCGTTCATAGCAGCCTTTTATTTTTCATAGTACTTCATAGAACCGCATTTGTGCAAATGGACAGGTATAGTGATGAAATAAAGTTAATACTTATGAAGCCAAATAAAGCTTGACACTAAGTATGTTTGTATTCATCCGTAGCTGTTCTACAGAAATAAGAAATATTCTCCGGTCGCTATCGCCCCTGTCGAAATAGAACAACACGGATGAACACTTGCATATTCTTCGTAAACAATAGTTTAAGAGTAGCGTAATAATTTTTAAAATCGTTCTTTCATAAAGATAATGACGTCATTTAAGCACATGAGCGGTCTGGCATTAAAGGTTTCAGACGGGTTTCCGGCATGGATAAAAACATCGTAATCCAAATACGACTTGAAACTTCATAATTAACACTACAAATTAATAAGCAAATTCCAATGTCACTCTTTTATTGCTGATACCTGCAATACTTTTTTTTTAAAGAAATTATTGTTTTTGTTGGGGCGTTTGTGGAAAAAAAACGCCAGAATATGATGGGCAAGTACTTGAATGTAATTGTTTTGATCATCTTATGACGTTTCTTTTATTTACAATTATGAAATCCGCAATTGATGCGAAGGGACCTTCATTTTTTTAGGATATATGTATAAACAACGGTACTTTCGTTTCTGTGTTAAAAATCGATTTATATACAACAATTTTGCATTAATAAGTTCTGTAATGTGTATCTACATGTATACGTGTGTGTGTACAAATGTATATGTAAATACAAGAGACCTATAAGTTACTGGTTTAAAAATCAAATTTGAAAATGTTCATTATGTAATTTCTTCAGAAAATTTCGGCTGGTATTTATCCCTTTACCTCATATATACGCGAAACAACACACTTTCGACCCACAGACGCTTGGGGGTCAAATCCTGCCCCCCAACGTGATACGCCCCTGTAAACACTCTACCAAAACAATTTTAATATTTAAACACGAATGGGACATCTATTACAACGATAAAAATGGTTTTCAAACAATATTTACATATTTGAAAAAATACCGTATACCATCAAGTCTTACTTTATTGAGACTTTTTATTGAGACTTGATGGTATATCGAGTGTTCCTCTCCTTTTTTGATGTTATCTACTTTTCTTCAAATTAACGGTTGAAATATTTCTTCATATATAATTTTTTTTCATGTTTATTTAATACGGACATCCCGATTACATACGGACTCAGAACGCGATAAGAACGTTCGGTAATCCGGACTAAATATCGTTTATGTCTCCTGTTATCAACTGAGCAAAAACAAAATGACGCAATGAAAACAAAGTATACAACTCGGTTTGATTGCGAAAGCTTAATATACCGTTTTTGAAAAAAAAATCGTATTTTAACGTCTATAAGGAGTATTTCTAAAATAATTTTATTTATTTAGCCATAAAAAAAGCATACAGAATCGTTCCGAATGAATAACATCAAGTACAATTTGCTATTGTTTCTCTAGCCATACAGGTATCTAAATGTAAGCATGGAGGGTAAACCTACAGTCCCCTCTGGTTAAACTGGTAGGCAAACAATAAGGCATAACAAGACATAAAACATTGATCATTTTACCTCAGACTTTTATTTCTTAAAAAATACCATGATTTATCAATGATAATTGATGAAATAAGAAACAAAACATTAACAACAGATTTAATGACAAAGAATTGTTTTCTTACAAACAACATTTGAAAATGGCATATGAAAAATGAAAATGGCATGACATTTAAAAGACCAAACTTTAAAATGAATATCACTTGAAAATTGGACCATACTGCCATACGGAAAAGCAATAAAGAACCTCTGAAAATTCATACTTTCTTCAACTAATATTTCATAGTTGATAAAGTTTATTGATAAACTCCTTTCCTGTACATGTTATGCTCATACCTATTGAATTCCTTATGACCAATATCTAATTCATCATGAATCAATGAGACATTTACAAATAACTCAAAATTCTTTTCAAAAAATTTGAAGTCACTGTGTAGGAAAGTAAAATAGCAGAAGTGGCTAGTACAAAGAAGTGACAAAAGACAAAAGTCCAAACTAAAAATTTCATTTCCTTCTTTCATTGTCATGCTCACTCTAAAGTACTTTCTGTTGTACATCGTCAAATATATCAAAGAACTTCCAACTGAATTGTCTTCAGCAAACTAGATCATTCAGAGATTTCATCCATAATTCTCATAGTTTTCTCAATATCGGGCCTGCTTATACCCACCGGAATACCCCCCGCCGTAGTTCCCGTACCTATCATCTCGATCATCGTGCCTCCTTTTCATTCCAGCCCTAAATCCGTCATTTCCACCTCCGCCATATCTGTTATTCCCACCACCATAGCCCCCACCTCCTTGCCTGTAACCCCCACCTCCTTGCCTGTAACCGCCACCTCCTTGCCTGTATCCACCTCCCCCTTGTCTATGACCGCCACCATCACTTAATCTCCAATCATTTTTTCTTTTGGGCGGAGGTGGTGGTTGTCTTTCCTTCCTTTTTCCAAATCCAAATTCGCCGCGCATACGAGCTTTCTCGTTCTGTCGCTTGATTTTTCTCTTCAACGGTCCCGAAGTTGAAATATGACACTTGATAGTTAGTCCACCAAACTCTGTATTGTTTGCTTCCTCTATGGCTCTCAAACAGTCCTCCCGCTCCTCAAAATGAACAAATGCGTAGTCTCGTACTTTCTGCACGTGGAACAGTTTTCCGTAATATTCAAACTTCTTTCTCAGCATCTCTTCTGTAACGTCAGATGATAAGTTACTAACATGGACAGCTTTTACTTTGACCAGTTCTTGAGACGAGGGTTCATACTGAGGCTCGCACCATTCAACCTTTAACATTTGTCCATCAAAAAGCTGAAACAGAGAGTAAAAATTGTATTCTGTTGATACATTTGTAGTTTTACTTTATAGAGCCTGGTCTGTACAACTGGTCAACAATTTGTAATCAATGTAGGTCTCTAATGACCCATTACTTATACCAGTACTTATTTCAATTTTTTCATCTGGATTTATAACCAATGAATGGTTCTGGACATAATTTTCTAACTATTTCAACATGGATAGGCATAATTGAACTTCATAAATTAGTAGTTCTTGATTCTTGTTAGAAGGTGGCTATAATATTATGCCAAAATGAATGTCTGAAATGGGCCACCTTGAAACTGTCTCCGAATTTTTTTATTGACAACCTTGCAAAAGTCTTTAGTTTTCTTGCAATTTGAAACAACAGGCCCAAAAATCACTTCATAAACACTGCCCCTTTTAATAACTGTAGGAGTAACACTGTCTCACTTAACAAATGTTTGTTTGTTTGTTTCGGGTTTTACGTCACATCAACACAGTATAGGTCATATCGCGGCTTTACTGGTGGTGGAAGACCTCAGGTGCCCTTCCGTGCATTATTTCAGGCATGAACAGGCACCTGAGTAGAACCACCGACGTTCCATAAGCTAGCTGGATAGCTTCCTCATATGAAAGATTCCAAAGTCCCTGTTGGGATTCGAACCCACAGCGGTGAGGGGCAAGTGGTTTGAAGTCAAAGACCTTAACCACTCGGCCACAGACGCCCCCTTTAACAAATGTGCCACTGGCCCTGTAGCCCAAAATCATAATGGTGGCTAAGAGCCTCTGTATTGTAGGAATAATAGTGGCCCATAAGCCTTTAATCATTATACATTTATCTTGTAAAATTTCAAGAAGTTTTGTTTGTTTTTTTTACGAGAGGTAAAAGTCAATTTTCCATCTATTTATTATTGACTTACTTAAATATTCCCTTAAGATAAAAAACAAAAACAATACAAGTCTGCAATAAATTACGGTATTTAATCATTTCATAGCAAAAATTCTTTTTCATTACTGAACTTTTTGTTTATTCATTATTCAATGTAAATACAAGGTATGTGCAACAGATTTTATTTATCACAAGGGTATCTCAAAATGAAGATACTCGCACACAAAAATCAAGAAGATGGCTGCAATGTCAATTATTTTAATTTCAAGTAATGCAACTTACTCTTGGTCCAATACCAGACAGCATTTTCTTCCCCTCAGCTGCCAGACCATGATTTTTGAACTCGACAAAACAGAAACCTCGGTTACGGTGACCTTGGTCAGCTCTCTCTTCACTTACAAACACTTCTATATCTGTTATACCTGTACATAAAATAGTAAATACACTGTAACCTTTACAGAGCAAACTTCAGTCGAGGAATCACCTCTTTATAACAATAAATTGTATCATTTTTTCCCAAAGTAATAAACTGTTCACAATAAATTTAGGCTCTGTAGAGCAACACATCTCCACAGTAATCAAACTCTTTGCATTCCAAACACTACACAAACAATAAACATCATTGATACCTATAGATATATTTTTTTTTGGTTGGGTTTTATGCCTCAACAACAACTGTGAGGGTCATATGGCGAAATTCCAGCTTTACTGGTAGAGGAAGACCTATGGTGCCCCTCTTTGCATTATTTTAGGCACAAACTACAACTTTGTAAGCTAAAGGATAGGTTCCTCACATAAAAAAATCAAATGGCAGGATTCGTACCCACCCCTGTGCAGAGCAAGTGGTTTGAAAGTGAATGACCTTTACCTCTCACCCAGAGATGTTCCTGTATGAGTGCAACGGATTTTATCAAACATTCAAGATACAAACACAAATTAGGAAGGTCGTGAAATTAATTATTTCATTTTCCTGTTTCAATTTTTTTAATTATTATACAAGCATTGACAAATCAAAAATACGAGTTGCATAAAAATAATATTTTTCTACACAAATATGGATTAATCATTGTACCTTCAACATATTCACCAAAAGTCTGTTTCAACGCCTCGGCAGTCATTGTCTTAGGAACGTTTCCGACAAAAATCCGCTTGTTACAAGATGAAAAATTTGCCTTCAATGTCTGGCCTTCCTCGATCATCATTCTGTAAAGATTTACGATGTTTAAACCATTTTAACAAAACAACACATTTTTATATAGATTTTTTTTTGCTTAAAGAAGTACAAGTATTGCAAACTGAAATGTAAAGGGAATATAAATGTTAAAACTTCAGTTTTTCCATCTTTAATTTGACTACAAAATATTATTACCTGACATTAATAACTGCAAACATAAGTAAAGGCCTTAAAAAGTAATTATTATCATTATCAGCAGGCTTGAAAATTAACTGCTTATGTTCAAAAGCAAACAATGGACACTATCATCAATACTAAGTCACCTTTTCAATAATCTATATAGCGGTAACAAAGGTTTCTGGTAAACAGTTAAAATAGTCTGTTTGTGTAAAAAATTGAAGATCTGAAATTATGTATTATCAATTATTATCGGTCATCAAAATGGGCCAGAAAAAAACCCTGTTCATAAATCTATTATCTGCAGTATATTTTAAACTATAAGTAAGCTCACCCATCAATCTTCCGGAGAGCCCTTTCATTCTCTTCCTCGTCCCAATATTTAATAAAACAGAAATTTCGGGTCAATCCCGTGATGTTATCTACCATGATACGTAACTCATAAATCTTGCCGAATTTTGCAAACACTGGAACCAGTTTGTCTTCGTACCAGTCTGACGGAATCTTACTGACAGAAATCTCACGATGTTCCGGTTCCAGGCCTTCCCAGTCTGGTGCAGGTCCATAACATCTTTGACCTGGTATAAAAAATACGGTTGTGACTTAATGTAATATTATGAAATGGCAGATCATGTCAACATAATTCAATGATGATAACCAAATATGCATGTATTTGCTAATAATTATACATGTTAAATCCAAATAAAACCAAAGACAACATTTAACTGCTTTTAGTTTTAACATATTTACTTCAGCTCAATTTCAAAACGATTTCTGGCAACTTATATCAATCACTTTTGAGTCTGCTTTCTGGCACCAACCAGGGTCTGAGGTAATAAAGAAATTCTCTAAGCTCAAACTCAGATCTCGGTTTTTTGATTGGTCAGAAGTTCCCAGAGACTGTACACTGACCAATGAAAATCTTGAGATTAGTGTCAAAAAAGTTTTATAGCCTTGAGGCCAGTACTGGTGTCATATGAAGAAACATGATCGTAACCAAAGTAAGGCTCGAACCCATGATCCCTGGGTTAAGAGGCAGACATCTTGAACACAAGGCCATCACTCCCCTCAACACCTCTCTTCAGACAAAACAGAGAGATGTTTTCACAAGACAGGAAGGCCTGGGTTTTAAAGTTTATAAATATTCTAAATTGTAAATCAATATTTAATCAGATCTTGAAAATCACACATATATATATATACATGTATATATATCAATATCACTTTATCAATGTCAGCGCAAACACATACTGCAAGAAAATGTTTGCAAACAAAACAAGAGCTGTCGGTAGGACAGCACGCTCGACTATTCTAAGTGCTTGATAGTAAAAGAGCCTTGATAATGTTAAATTTTTTAAGTTCATAAAGGGCTATTTTTTTTTTTATAAATTCATGTCTAGGCCTTAGAGAGAGTCTAATTATACAGTATTGGCTTGACTATTCGGAAGGTAATGTCACAAGGGTATTTATTGAGTATAATAATACTAATTACCTATAAATACATAAATTTGACAGAAAAGGTACAAAGGCTTGTTATTAAGATGTTTTATCAAGTAAATCACTGCTTTATTATTATGAACACATAAAATTGTTCCAAAAAAGGCACAAACCCTTCAGTAGTTATTGAGATAACAGCTTACAAGCAAAACTTTACCATGAATTTTTAAGTTGAAAAAGGGGGAGAAAAATCAGCCTAAATGCAAGATAGAATTAAGGATCTTTGTCAGTGACCTACAATTATGACCCTAAATGCATATGTGAAGTTTTAAATAAATATCTTTAATAGTTATTGAGATATGTAAAACTTGCATGTTAACATTAACCAAGAGACTAAGTAGAAAAGGGGATATGAATCAGCCTTAATGCAAGATAGAGTTTTGCAAGATAGAGTTATGGAACTTGGTCAGTGACATAAAATTATGACCCTCCAATTATGACCCTAAGTGCATGTGTAAAGTTTCAAGTAAATATCTTTGAAGACCTTTAACCCTTAACCAAAATTTCTAAGTTTCAAAGGGGCAAATAATTCCGCAAATATTGCAGGCAGAGTTATGCAATTTTGCAAACTGATGAACATTGTTACTATAAATAAGTATTTTAAATTTCAATTGAATATCTCAAGCAATAATTGAGATATATGACTTTAGAAAAAAATTTAACCAAAATTTCTAAGTTCCAAGGGGGCATTATTCTGTCAATATTGTAGGCAGAGTTATCCAACTTGTCAATCTGATGTACCTTGTTACTATAAATAAGTATTGTAAGTTTCAATTGAATATCTCAAGCAATAATTGAGATATTTGACTTTAGAAAAAAATTTAACCAAAATTTCTAAGTTAAAAAGGGGAATAATTCTGTCAATATTGTAGGCAGAGTTATCAAACTTGTCAATCTGATGAACCTTGTTACTATAAATAAGTATTGTAAGTTTCAATTGAATATCTCAAGCAATAATTGAGATATTTGACTTTACAAAAAACTTTAACCAAAATTTCTTAGTTAAAAAGGGGCATAATTCTGTCAATATTGTAGGCAGAGTTATCCAACTTGTCAATCTGATGTACCTTGTTACTATAAATAAGTATTGTAAGTTTCAATTGAATATCTCAAGTAATAATTGAGATATTTGACTTTTCAAAAAACTTTAACCAACGCAGACGCTGACGCCGACGCCGGGGCGACTACAATAGCTCTCATATTCTTCGAATAGTCGAGCTAAAAATACAAGCATACTAGCTTTCTACAGCTTGGTGTGAAAGGGTCTTTACTCCTTTATTTATTTCATAGGAGTTATTACCCTTTTGCAACAAGCCATCGCTTCAATCACATAATTCAGCACTAAGTCTAGTCTTTTCAAACCTGCGATTAAATTTTGACTGGTCTACAAGACTGGTTAACTAGTTTATTAGACTGTTTTCAATCTTATTTTCATCTTTACATATCTAGGCCAAGATATTCAAAACAAACCTTGTGTTACTTTGAGTGGATAATGTGTCTTATTCAGTAAATCATCGACCTTGTCTTGGTTTGGTCCATTAAATATGGTAGCTTGGTTCTTAATATAATACCTGAAATATGTACAGAGAAATTACAGTAGATCATCGACCTTATCTTGGTTTGGTCCATTAAATATCGTAGCTTGGTTCTTAATATAATACCTGAAATATGTACAGAGAAATTACAGTAGATCATCGACCTTATCTTGGTTTGGTCCATTAAATATCGTAGCTTGGTTCTTTATATAATACCTGAAATATGTACAGAGAAATTATAGTCCATTTCAAACAGAACAATAACTTTTAATATTTCATGATAAGGACAAGGATGGGAGTTAAATGACACAAGACCACTAACAGTTTTTAACAAAATTTGACATTTCTTAAACTTCCTTATTCAAAAGTCTATGTTTAAGAAGTAATATGTAAATGGAAAGCTGTCTATAGATAAACTGTCAAAAAATCTGTGGTTAAGAGATACACTTTATACTAAATTAAAAATGTGTCCAGATGCCCCCATGTTCCACTGTTTTGTCGGACAGTATGTCAGCAGTTCAATGGCAATTCCATATGCCTCTTCCAGAGTTGAAGCAAAAAATAAACTTGTCAAGTCCACAGAAAAGGACAGTCAATGCATACAAACTGCTTACCCAAAAATCTTGGTCTGTGAGCATATGTAGGGAGCTTTACGAGCTATGTGACTTAGATCTTTGTTTGCCAGCACCTTGAAAAACTGTATGCCCTGCTTCCTGCTGAACCGAGTCAACGCCTTCCTGACTGTCTCGTCAATGTCTTCTAGCTCAATGAAACCACGCTCAACAAGTTTAAATATCTCAAATATAACGTCCTCCTCTAAGTTGTCTTGTAGCAATTCCTGCAAAAAAACAATACGCTGAAAATTACTATAACATGTAATGGAACTATTGACTGATTGTTTGTTTGGTTGGACAGGTCTTTTACATTTTACAGACACTGTAAAGAACATGTGGCCACTTTCCATTTTTACTAGGAAGTACTCAGATGCCTCTACCTGCATTATTTTAGGCATGTATACATATGCACTTGTGCAAAATCACCGACATTCTGTAAGCTTGCCGTGAAAGAATCCAATGTGTCTCCCACGAGTTAAAATGGGAAAATGGTTAGTAGCAAGGGCTGCAATGATTCACCAAATGTTCCATTCGATTTTGATTTCAGGCACTTGAATTCCATTACTTTTTATTTGATTCATGTAGGATTACTATTTAAAATTAATATTTTTAATGAAATAAAGATAAGTCATACTGTTTTAAATGAGCAAGGAAGATGCTGCCTGCAATATACTTGTATTAAATAACCAATGTTTTCATTCCTATGGTTTAAAGGAGAAATTCAAACTAAGCAGTAAAATTCAAACAAACAGCAGAGAAATTATTCAAATAGCTCACGTTAAAGGTTTTGTACTAACCTAAACATAAACTATATCAATATGCCAACTCTTTAATAAGCTGGTAGTGCTGGTAGTTCTAGGAGCAAGAAAAAATTCGACCAGGACCTAGTTCTCATGTATGTTGGATGTCATTTTATTTTCAAAATAAATAAAGTTTGAACCACTGTGTGTGTGATATAGAGGATATTGAATGAGTGCAATTTCAATACTGAATTTGTTGCACAAGTTGAATAAAATTATATTATGCAAGCCTCTGGCGAGCATAATATTATTTTATTAGATGAGTTCAATAAATTCAGTAATGAATTTACACGAATTTAATATTCTATTTATCACATGCCCCAAAGACAGTTTAAAGGGAAATAAGAGTTATTTTTCATTGACGCACCTATAATATAATGTTAACATTACACTATGTTTGTAATAAACTAATGACGTCACGTCAAAATATATGCACGGCCATGCAATACCATTTTTAGTTACGGAGTCACAAAATTGGCACGGGTATGTGATAAAATAAATAATTAAATAAAACAAGTTTAACTGATCAGACGGGTCAGGTGTATTTATAAATACCTGGAATTGTGAGGTTGTTCGGACATTATTCTCCCACTGTACGACCTCGTCACTTTTTGTTTCTTGGATATTGACATTTAAACATGTCTGACTGGTCTCCATCACTGTACCTGTAATACATTATGATAAACATCACTGTACCTGTAATACATAATATTATGATAAACATCACTGTACCTGTAATACATAATATTATGATAAACATCACTGTACCTGTAATACATAATATTATGATAAACATCACTGTACCTGTAATACATAATATTATGATAAACATCACTGTACCTGTAATACAAATATATGATAAACATCACTGTACCTGTAATACATAATATTATGATAAACATCACTGTACCTGTAATACATAATATTATGATAAACATCACTGTACCTGTAATACATTATATTATGATAAACATAACTGTTCCTGTAATACATAATATTATGATAAACATCACTGTACCTGTAATACATAATATTATGATAAACATCACTGTACCTGTAATACATAATACATATGATAAACATCACTGTACCTGAATGTCTTCAATTATAACATTTCTATTTACTGATATTGACTGACCTTTATAACAGCATGTACATCAAAATGTACACTTTCTGTCCAAAAATTAACATTTCTGAAAAATTGTTTCATGTTACTGTTTATGCTCGTTAATCTGTTTTTATGCAGATTAAAATTTTTTTTTGGCGATATCTTGGCCATCACCTAACTAGTTTTCCTGTATAACTAACCAGTAATTGCCAATTTCACTACTTATCCCACACTTTTTTTAAAATTAGCTCAGCAGTGAGTGAGAAATAACAAATTTATATATATATATTCGAGATGCCATTAAAAAGAATTATCTATTGTGTAAGAGAATTTTTCGCCTCTCGCAAGGGTTGAACATGCAACACCAGGTTAACAACAAATCGAATGCTCTCCCTTTGAGCTTAGCTCGCTGTTAGTTACATGTACACTAGAAAATTATATATCATATATGTAAGTTTTTCATAACTTTATATAAATAAGTGTATGCATGTACTCAATATTATTATGAATATAAAATCATCTGTTTAGTATAATTATTGCTCTTAAATACAAATGTACACAATATGTTATAGAGACACAAATATCCACTTTCAAAATTCAACAATATTTTATCAAAATTATTCATCTTAGAACTCTGTGAACTTTACATACCATCCGACATCTGCATCTTGCTTTATCTTTTTGTAGAAACCAATTTCTGTATTTTAAGAACTGAAACAAAAAGTAAACATACATGTGTAACTTAAAACCTGCCAGAATACACTAAAGTCTTAACATTTAAAATTAAAAATAATGAATAAATATTCCACTAAATTACTTCTATGTGAAGTACCACTCTTATTAATAGACCTTTACAAGCATGAATACATATATTATATGGAAGTAGCACTCTTTTACAAGCAGTCTTAAAATGGTACATCATACTTTTTCTATAGATGGTCTCAGAAGTCTGTTCACCATGAAGTCATATATGTATGTAAAGATATTTTTTTCCCCTTGATAAATTTACTCTATTTGCTTAACATCAACAAAGAGCTTAAGTTCACGCCATTCAGAGTTGCGGGAATGGGAAATCCTTCAATTTAACGAATTGTAGCACATCTGTTCCATTTTCATCATTGATGCCCATGTCCATTTCAACCCAATTTTCTTCTTAAACATTACACAGAAAATGAAAATTTCTGTCTGGTGTAATAATATCTATCTAAATGTTGCCTAGAGTATTTCATTTTATATTTTCCTTTTTTTATTCTATACATATAAGAATCATTTCTTAGGTGTAATGATAATAGCATTACTAGTCTCCCAGGGCAACAATAATACTTGTCTTTGTAAACTTTTGCACAAAACAAAATGCAGAAATTGTCTTCACATTTATTGTTGTCATTTATCTTCACCATATATGAAGAGCTCTTTAATCTACTAACATTTACCTCTATTCCTCAAGGCTGACATTCAATGTCGGAAGTAGTTCCATCTCCAAACTGAGTTTCTGAGCAGTAACATGAAAGTCCGTATTACACTAAACCTTGTAGCTGAGGCATATTTCTATAGTTACTGTAGAAATATCCAACCTTGGATACTGAGGAAATATCCAATCTCTGGTTTCCCAATTTACTAGTCTATCTTTCCTCAAAGAGGTACTGAGGAAAAATCCAATATATCAAAGGTTTTCCAATAAGCCATCTTTACTCAAAGAGGTACTGAGGAAAAATCCCATATATCTCAGGTTTCAACTTTGTGAATAAGCCATCTTTCCTCAGAGGTACTGAAGAAATTATGAAGATATTATTATTATCCAGTTTGGTATCAGCCACATGTCATCAAACAGGTTCAGTTTGTAAATTATAAGCCATCTTTCCTCAGAGGTACTGAAGAAATTTTCATTATACAGTTTGGAGTTCAACCAACTTCCCTCAAAGAAATACTGGGGAAATATCCAATATATCTCAGGATGGCTAAAAAGCCATCCTTCCTCAAAGAGGTACAGAGGAAATATCTAACTCAGATTTCAACTTTGTGAATAAGACATCTTTCCTCAAAGGTACTGAAGAAATTTTCATTATCATAATCTAGTTTGGATTCAGCCATCTGTCATCAAAGAGGTACTGAGGAAATAAATATTCAATCTCAGGTTTGCCAATATGCCATCTTTCCTCAGAGGTACTGAAGAATTTTTCATTATCCAGTTTGGAGTCGTCAAAGAGGTACAGAGGAAATATTCAATCTAAGGTTTGCCAATAAAATTTAGCCATCTTTCCTCAAAAGTACTGAAGAAATTTTCATTATCTAGACTAGTTTGGGGTTTTGTCATCTGTCATCAAAGATGTACTGAGGAAATATTCAATCTCAGGTTTGCCAATAAAATTAAGCCATCTTTCCTCAGAGGTACTGAAGAAATTTTCATTATCCAGTTTGGAATCCTCAAAGAAGTACAGAGGAAATAAATATACAATCTAAGGTTTGCCAATAACCCATCTTTCCTCAAAGAGGACTGAGGTGCTGAGGAAATATCCTATCTCAGGTTTGCCAAAAAGCTATCTTTCCCCAGAGGTAGTGAGGAAATATTCATGATCCAGTTTCGGGTTCAGCCATCTTTTCTCAGAGGTACACGTAACAGAGGTAATTTCCATCCTTGAGTTTGCCATAAGTCATGCTGAGGAAATATCCAACTCTGAGTGGACAACTTACTCATCAAAAAGCTAAGGATAAATTCAATCTCCAGTTTGAGACAATTTGAAGCAATCTTTCCCCAAAGAGGTACTGAGGAAAATCACTTGTGCTTGTGCTTGAGGTTCATGTATCTTTCCTTCAAAGAATTACTATGGAAATATAAATATTATCATGGGTTTCAGGTTCAGTTACTTTTTCTCAAAGAGCTACTGAGGATAAACAACCTTCCTTAAAGAGGTACAGACTAACAGAGGAAATACATTTCACACCAATAGGTTTGAACTTCAAGTACTCTTGATGTCAAAAAAATACTGAGGAAATTTCATAACTGTATCTATGAGTTTGCAGTTTAGTAATCTTTCCTCAAAGAGTTACAGAGGAACAACGGGTAAGAGGTGTGAGAAAAAAATATTAACAAACGATTATTAAAGCAGATGTCTGAGACCAGTTTACACAAGACACAGAATTGCCTCAGCAACATTTTCTGACTTCTGTCATTTCTGAAAAACACACTGAAGAACTCCATCGAGATCACCACTTCATTCAACTAAATAATTAACATATTTGAGTTACAAATAAATGTTAACAAGAAATACAAAAAGAGAGAATTACTTCTTTTTCAAGAGTACAGAACAATTGTTCCTCGAGTTAGAAGAGGATATTCAAAATATCTAATACAACATGTATAATCTGCAATCCTTGGAATATGACAATTTCGCCAGAATTACATTGTCTATGTCCATGCAGCTCTTGAATCTTGATCTGTATAGTGAAAGAAAAATAAAATAAGATTAAGCGAGGCCTTTTTTTTCTTTTTTTCAAAGGTAGGATGGTGCCCTTTGGTACCTTCTTGGTTAATATTTCATAAATTTATATTTATAAAAATCATAAAACCACAATACCAAGGTAATCAGTATAAACTGTGTTATGCCAACAGCCAACTAGACTTTACTTTCACCTTCTTAAATTGTATATGATTATGACAAGTTTACATGTATGCCTGATTTATTTTTTTGTTTGTTTAGTGTTTGTTGATCTATCAGTCACTTATTTATCAACAATTTATGTATGTTTCTTCTATAAATAAGTAATTAAATTCATTTTAACTTTCGTCAAAAGTACTACTTTAATATCTTTTTTAAGAACGTTGACGTTGAAAATTTTGATATCAATAGCGCAAAAGCCCATATAAGCCTACAAGTACAATGTACTTGCTGGTTTCATTAATTTTGCAAAGTTAACAAAAGATTTAGAATATCCAAAACTACAGCATTTGCTGCTGAATTATTGTACATCAAGTTAAAAATAAAAGATAAAATAGTAAAAAACACCCAAGCTCTTATCTGGATTAAATCAATGTCATTAAATATCTGTCTGGCACAAGGTACTGTAGTGTGGAAAATCAACTATTCTTGACGGACCTCAAATGTGTCAACATAATCAGTAAGGTGGTGCAATACCTCAGTTGGTAAGACCACTGACTATCACTCCTGAGGTCCAGGGTTTGATCTTGGGAAAAACCGTTGGGATTTTTCACAGACACTTTCAGTGTTTTCCACCTACCTAGAGGTATACTGGTAAGAAACCCTGGTAATCCTCGCATGTATCAGTGCTATCAGTGGGCATGTAAAAGAACCATGGGGTCTATTTAATAACAGCTAGGGACTGCTTCCCTGATTGTATCTCATAGCTGTCTTTCAATTCAATTCAATGTATACCTGCTTAGTGTAATCGTTAGCAGTAATTGAGTAAAGTGGCGGTATGGGGGATATGATAATTGATATAGGTAGATAATCATAACTAAACAAATTAGTTCATTAGTGAGGAAGTCTAAGCTGTCCTGTGTGAAATTTTCAGATTATTCATTATTGACCTTTTCGAAAACCTAGCTAAACACCATTTTCCGGTACGTTAAAACAGTCATTGTTGCATTTGCTATTAATAAAATTATAAATAGATATTTTCTGCAGAAACTAATGTATTTACTTTTATTTTTTTACATTTAATTATTCACACAGTTATATATTTAATTTTTTACTTAGAAAGAAATAATTGTTTTATTACACTTTAATCCAAATAATGCCAAAAAACATACAGATCGTTTCTACACAGTACACGCCCTTTAGGTGAATTCCCTAGACCTGTGTTTACAGAAAGTACTAGAAATGCGTTTAGCTAGGTTTTCGAATTCGTGAATAAGCTTAAAGATAATATGAAATCTGTATGTTCCTTTCTAATTTATTGTGCTAAATTTTTCTTCCACACAGCCATAGCCATAGGTTGTTTTGAAAAAAGGTGCTAGTGGCATTGATTTGACACCATGTTATTTATGCAATAAAATAACCATATATTAAAAACATAAAAAGAAAAAAATATTAAAAAATGGATATTTTATTACATAAATATCACATTTTAGGTCAAATCCACTAGCACCTTCGGTTTTGATTATTCAAAAAAATGCCACAAAATGCCGGCTGCTGGGAACAATCCCAACAAAGGCGGCTACATGAAATGCACTTATGGTTGGAAATACAGATCTATGTATTGAAAATATTAGAAAAATGTTATTAACGCTATTATGGACAAAGAATCTGATCAATAATTTAATTTTTCTGCTGTTTTACCTCGCTTGCTAAAGACCGGATGCTAAAAGCTGTGACTGGTTTTCAAAGTATAGATAAGAAAAATAACTACACGAAAGAAGACAAAACTACACAAAATAAATATAATTTATCGACATCATTTTGCAAATTTTCGCAACTTACCGATTTTATTTCTGAGATGTAAATACGTTTTAAATAGTTTCATGAGGCCATTAAATTGATTTATTCAAAGTTAACATTCTTAGAAAGTGAAGGAATATGCGGGATAACATATAATAGCTCACTGGCGCAATAGGCCAATGGGCAACATTAATTTGTACCGGGAGGAAAGTTCAAAAGTAATTAAATTACGTTAGTCAAACTGATTGCGCGTTTAGATATTGTGCTATTTTGTGTATTGACAATAGTTACGAGATTCGTACCCAGAACATTAATTATCTCATAATCTAGCTTTGGCACGTCAAAATATTTTGACTATCACATACACACACTTAAAAAATCTTATAAGTGTGTATGTAAAACATCTTATAATGTGAGTCAATATTGACCGTATCATGCTGAAATTTTCCACAAATACAATCGAGAGACATGGTATAATATTCCAGTTATTTAATTTCATAACAAACGCAAGTTCAACACACATGCGTGAAAACTATTAAAATGTCACAAAAATTATTACATCTGTGATTTTTATTCTAAACCAACGTGTGCCTACCTTGACTTTAATATGCATCATTGCAGTTTGATTTATCGTTGGTAGATTTTAGTTTTAAGAAATCTTGGTTCGTTACTGGGCGATTGTCTTAAATTTGCACTTCGCATGGAAGTTCAGGAAGACTGCTGGACATCACTAACCATATGTTCATTAACGGTTATCCCAGTGCCAATCGCTACCAATATAATGAACCTCATACCAAAGTTTTATCAATGTCTAAAGAACAACATATGACTGCAGTTTCTACAGGATGTGATATTACAGATACACACTTTCAAAGCGCCAACAATCTTTCTGAACATTTATAAACAACATCAACCTAATGGAATATCACCAAAATTTCTAGCTATACTTAAATGCAACAGAAGCTATACGGGGTGAAATGAACATCCTCATAAGAAGTTTTGGTGCAGTGCCACAAACCATCGCCTACAAGTATGCGAAAAGTGTCATAGTGAATAAATAAACTCCAATATTATGAAAAATGTTGGTTCACATTCATACGACAATACTGGCAGGTTGTAATCAACAGTCAGAACAGGCATACAATATTAGAATAGTTTTCAATGATAGATTAAAATTTTATTTTGTGACATTTGCTTATAACGCAACATCACATTTATTCGACATGTTCATCAAATTTGTGTTTCTTATGAAATTTAATAATTGGAATATTATATCATGTCTCGACTGTATCTATTGAAAATTTCAGCAGGATCCTACCAAAATTGACACACATATGACACCATTTATATATGCACACTTATAAGATTTGTTTAGTGTATGCTTTAAACTTTATCACGGAATTATGTAATTAATTAAGATTCTTGATTTTATGAATAATATAACGTACAGTATTGTTTGCGCAGTTTTCATCATGAAAATTAATTTTTATATTTAAATTAATGGTAATCTTAAATCAGTTTTGCCTTCTGAAAGCAATGCTTACACATGTAATGAAAACCGTTTAATGGAACATGTAATGGAAAATATGGTAATTTTCTGACAGAACAGTTGTCTTCCAAGTCTACTTTAGAACTAAACATATCACGCTTTTCAAGAGAAATAATGAAGCTACTTAAAAGACAGATGTCAAAACAGTTAATCTTTTCATTTCGTTTTCTAGAAAGGTCAGCTGTCAAGTTGAGAATCATTCTCAACAACGCATGCATAATTTTTAAATATCTTATTTTTATTTAAATTTCTATGCTGAGTTTCAACCACGCCAGTTATTTTATTGGTGGTCTCGTTGTTTTGGACACAATTTTTAACTCAATAATGACATGTGAAAAAGCAATGTAAAGTAATTTGTGGAAGGAAACATGGTTAAACAAAACTCAAATATCTGAAAAACCTAACCAGAAATTGAAAGAACTTACAAATCTAAAAAACATAAGAAGACAGATCGAACGTTTGTTTTCTGGAATTCCTTTAGATCAATTAAAAATTATACGCATAAGCCATTACAGAAAGAAAGATCCTGTATATTATTTGACATAGTTTTGAGATTCCCAGATTTCAGTTATTTTAAATAACCAATGTAAATTCTACTTATATTCAGTTCTTTCCTGTAAATTTCTTAGAAAGTCAAACAGATTTTGGATGGTGTTCTGCAAAAAAAGGAATTGAAATACCTTTTTTTGTGAATAATGAAGGTTTTAAAGCTGTATTAAAAAAAATAATAATAAACATATATTCCGTGAGAAACATTTTATATAAGATATTTTAATTCATATAATAAACAGAATGCCAATCAATTTTTGAGAGTTTGAGCAATATCACTATATATAACTCAGTATGTACAATCTGATTATTATGAATATATCCAAAAGATTACAAAATATTCTTACAACAGTTAATCAAAGATATGACTTTACCCTGGTCATTAGCCATGCAATAATGTATTACACCAAGGAGGTGACACCCCGTCTTGTCATTTGGTATAGTACTCTATATAGTTAGATCTTGTGCACACCATGTGGAAAAGGGTGATAACTTTATCTATAAATTTATCATTAGTGGATCAGTCGAAAAATAAATTGTTTGACGATACAACGACAGAAATACCCAATTGTAATACTTATTTTGGCGGGAAAATTCCATGAGGTGCTTTCTATGATACATGCATATCATGTATTTTGTTAGATGTTGTATTTATTATGAAATTCAAATATCACAAGAAACAAATACATAATTATCACACAGAAATAAGTTTATCTTTGTTCCTTTACATATGTATCGCGACAACGTCAAACAATCGGTAATTTTGTTCGCAAAATAACCATAATTAAAGGATTTAAACATTCTTGTGGCCATTTTATTCTACTCTCGATAATCGTGCCCAACTGCGACTACACATACAAAGTTGTCAGACATCAGTAAGATAAGTTTTCGTTAACAGCCCCCAGTCCAAATACAGATTATCTTGCATATCCCAGCAACGTTTTCCCTTTGAACTCGGTCTTGCAAATCCTTTGATGTCAATACTGAAGCCTGTTATATGATTTGATTCTTCCAACACTGAATAGTCAGGCAATGTCTGTAATGATGTCATTCATAATTAACAGTACATAAGCTCCACCTACTGGGCACCGTCCTTTGATTGCATTCGTTTAGTGTTACATGTATGATATAGAGATAGACTGTAGTTGTGAAATGTAGTGCTGCTATTAAAAGAGTATAAAACAATTTCTTTTGGATCTTGTATTTAACCATTCCTTTATGGATTTAGTTAGCTATAAGCTGTAGCTAATACAATATCCAACCTTGAAACTAAAGAAAAATTGACTGTTAAAAATGACCTAATTTTAACGATCAATTAATATTCGACGACTGTTATAGCGTTGGGCTAATAGATTAATGAGGTTTTAAACTCAGTCAAGGGGTATTAGCCATTGTATCTGTAAGCAAGAAACTTTAAACACTTTGCTGAATACAGGTTTGTTTCTGCTACGGATTCTGGATCCTATCTCAAGCCTATAACCTCATTCACAATATTACATTATCGCATTATGAGTTCATGACTGAAACATATAGTAGCCTTAATCAGAGAGTAAAACCTATTTTGTCTTCATTAGAGGTTATCAGTTTAACAAATGTCATGTTATCAATTTAATGAAAGTCATAAAGTGCGAATGATTACGAGGACTATCGTTATTTACAAATTTGGGGTTTAACTACAATTTCAAAATGCTTGCAATTATACTTATTCTCAATCTTTTCGTCGTATTTGTTAATTCAAACAACGAAAAACGTTTAGTTCTTCACAGTGAATTTGATATAGCGCAGGAATTTGCCAATGTAAATAATAAGATTGTTAATTTAACGACAGTAATTGCGGAAAAGGAGAAAGAAATTATAAGCGTGAATGCAAAGCTCAATGAATTGACTGCTGCAAAGGATAAAGAAATTGAAGCGTTGAAGAAAGCTTTTGAAGAGAATAAAGGTACAACGATAGATTCTCTATACTATTAGTTAGCAAATGATTTACAATAAGTAAACTTTGTGTGTACGTAAATCTTATAATCTCATAATTTTGTGATGAAAATAATCAAGACAATGGTAAACTTTGACACGTTAGGTCATGAAACTACCATAAATATAAATAGACATTAAATGTATTCCTTATATGTTTTTGACTTGAAATAAAAAGATTTTGTCCCTCGTTATCAAAAGATATGTTGCTTTAAAAAGCAAAACACCAGTGAGACTAATTTCACTCACTGCCTACTTATCTCTGTAATTGGTATTCAAAGAGCAACAAGAGGAACAAGAATTAATGATTGTTTTTCGCTGATGAACCCGCAAAGTGAAGAAACCATTTCTAAATTATTTGTGTTAGTGTTTCAATTGTTGAAAAGTTCGAACTTTTAACTTCAAAAATTTTATTCTAATCTTATTATGGGCAACTTCATTCAGTACATGTATATCATATGGTATTTATATTGATGTGTATTTATGATTTTCATAAAAAAGTTGAGTTAAGTTGATATCTACAGAGCTTATTTTTTCAGGCTGTGGTTCAACATATGTACGATGGGGACGAACAACATGTGCTACTAACGGTACTGAACTCGTTTATTCAGGTAAATGAATATTAGTAGACAGTTCTGAAAAACGAATATTATATTATTATATTCTTATAAATGGAAATTGGTAAAATAAAATGCGTATCTTCATTTTTCTGTATTTTTACTCTAAAATTTATTATTCACTGCAGTTTATCAGATTTTCCGTATATTCATTGCTGTCTTTCCGGGCTACTTTCTTCTTAATGCAACCAATAAACCAAATTTTAAGGGGAAGTCTTTCGAATTGTACGGTCAAAAAGAAAAAAAAGTATATACCATACATAAATTGAAGTTTTTTCTACAAATGTCTTTGAACTAGCTCAATCACATTGAGCCCGCAACATTATGAATTTAGCCATCCTGGACATTACGTTTGGTTTAATTTTAACAACATTGTACTTGAATTAAATTAAATTCATCATAAAAACTCATTTTGTTGTTAATGACATAGGCTTCATGGCTAGCTCGAGTCACGGTACCACTGGGGGTGGATCTAATTACCTGTGTATATCACCTGATCCACAATGGAGCTACTACGACGAGTCGATAGAAAGTCTTGCCAAATTAAAAGGAGTTGAGTATCAGTTCTATGCCCATTATGCAGATGGCGCTGCTAAATTCTTCGGTCATAATGTATTAGATGATGACGCCACCTGTGCGGTTTGTCACTGTCGCCGGGGTTCAAGTTTGATGATACCTGGCAGGACAGACTGTTACAATGGATGGACCAAAGAATACAGCGGATATCTTGTCAGTGAGTACGATAATTATGCCCATGAATCAGAGTTTATTTGTTTGGATGACAGACCGGAGTCGGTTGTTGGAGGGCACGATAATGATGATGAGAGTGTTTTGTACTTTGTTGAAGCCTCATGTGGCAAAAGCTTGGAATGTCCACCATATATCAATGGCAGAGAAATAACTTGTGTAGTATGTACAAAATAAAATTTGAAAAATGAAAGTTTGTTACTACATGTATTTTGTGACCTACACAGGGTTTTATGCAAAAATAATTTACTGCGGCTTGGGCACAGCAAACATATTACTTAAATTGATGAACTTGATAATGCGATTTTCGGCTTAACGTCCCGGCAGATACAATTATACCAGCGGCCACACGGACACATACACAAAACACTTATCCTAAACTATGTCGTCAGTAATAGTAGGCGTAGTTCTGTTTGTCCTGACTAGCCAGAGATCGAGGTCATTAATTATGAAACTACAGATAAACCGATGACATTTTGTACTGGTTTTACTGCCTAGTCGGGTCAGTTGGAACATGATTGCAGCTAGCCAGAGCAGTCGGAACAGCCAGATTTGGCAAGAATGTCTTCGCATGTCTGGCTTACTTCACAAACATTTACACGTTCTAACGTTCTAATAAAAAAGTGAAAAATACAAAATAACAGAATCATCATCGTGACCCAGTTCAAATTTCTTACAGCTAATTATATTTATTGTAAGATATCGCTGTTAATGTACGATAATTATACGTTCTGTATAAACGGTATTAAATAAATGATATAAGAAGTTTTAAAGTCTAGCATGACCACCACGACGTAATTTCACAGCAGTGTTTATCAGAGAAAAATTAAATAACCGAGATATTGAATATGCAAATTGCTATTAATGCGTCTTGCACAAGTGTATCTAAAATGACGTTTATTTTATGTATTGATGAATTCGCATTATCTTAAAAACCGCACCATACCATATTGAATTTTAAAAAAGACTCGCGCTTATTTGAAATAAAAACTGTCCATCGTTAGTGTGTCATCAGAACTCAAAAGGTTTAGGTCTATTAAAGGTTATCGGTATATACAAGTGTCTGTCTGAAATGTATGACATAAAGGGCGACTGATAACAGAAATAGTCGTCAATTAGAACATAAGGATATATCATCAAACTTTCAAAATGTTTGCTGTTTTAGAACTTCTTCTAATTCTCAACTTTTTTTGTGAATCAAAGAGTGAAAAACGCTTAGTCCTACATAGTGAAACGGATATTGCTCAAGAAATTTTCAAAATAAATCAAAAGATTGAAAATTTAACAACTCTATTAACGCAGAAAGATAAAGAAATCAGTGATCTGACAAGGTCCTCTGCTGCAAAGGATAAAGACATTGTTGACTTGAATATAACGCTTAATGAATTGAAACGGTCTTCAACTGCAAAGGATAAAGACATTGTTGGCCTGAATATTACACTCAATGAATTGACACGATCGTCTGCTAAAAAGGAAAAAGAAATTGAGGGGTTGAAACAAGCTGTTTAAATAAATACAGGTACTGAGATTTAGTAAGTCTTTCAACTTTTCATGTTAAGGTTGTGAATTCTGCTAGGACGTGGCAGTAGCTTGCAATTACTAGTACCACTAACGTCCATGAACCAACTCAATCTTTAAGGATTCCGGTTTTCTCTAAATCATTAAAACTTGTAAGTTGACTGATATCAGGACAAAGTATACAACGAATCTTGAGTTGATATACTGTCTCGTGTTTAACAGAACAATGGTCAGAATAGACATATTCACTAAATTTCAATAACTACGTTCACCTCGGTATTTTTCTAAAAAAGTGGTGATTTCTTGATTTTATTGTTATGGTTTTTGCGTCACACTACCACTGCAATTGTTACATATCGACTTTCCTGTTTACTTAGACCCAAGATACCCCATCCGTGCTCCTTTAGACACAAACGGACACCCGTTCCGTTAACTAGCTAGGTAGTTGCCTCACGTGAAAGTTTCCAATGTCCATTGCAGGATTCGAACACCCCAACGGTGAGGGGCCAATGCTTTGAAGACAATGGCTTTAAATACTCGGCCATGGAAGACCCATATTTTCTTGAGCTGTTATAATTTCAATTGGGCAATTGCCGTTTCTCTTGTAATCAATACGAGGGATGCGCCACTCGTGAAAGTATTACATTCGGTGTTCACTCTGTGAAATATATTTCTATCTTATATGCAAAACAGACAAATATCCTCTATAGACTTATAGTGATGTGTATTTTGGACCAGATGCCTTTATTTACGTAAATAAAGTTGAGTTGATGACTACAGAGCTTATTTTTCAGAATGTGGTTCAACATATGTACGATGGGGCCGCACATCATGTGTGACAAATGGTACTGAACTTGTTTACTCAGGTGAACAGAGATTCAAAGTTTGCTTACTAGTATTTTCACTTTTCTTGTTATACATTAGAACCGATTCGGAAAGAACGCAATTCTTTTACAGTCGGAATTTCCTTGCCATTGACTTTATTATGATACTTTTTTCTTACAAAAGTAGTTTCATCTGGTTAAGATTCAAACAAATGTACAAGTTATGTACAAATTTACATGAATATTTTTACTTGGAACTGAATCGTTGTAACTAGTAGATATAAACTGTTAACTTTCTGTACTTTCATTGACAAATAATTGAAAAATATGAAAATCTGTCCTGACAAGCTTTACCTTGATCTTTGAAAATCCTGAGTGACACCCAAAGACAAAGTCTATATTTCAATGAAATATCCGCATGTTAAGTCTAAATTGTCGCAATGTATTTCTGTTTTTATTGACATAAATATAGCACTTATTAATGCTTGATTTTGGGAGCGTTGGTGGTAGAATCTTTTAACCACTGCCATCTGTGAACAGGTTCAAACAGCCGAGCTTGCAACATTTTGATTTGACCAATTATCATGGTTTCCAAGTTTCAATAATTGATATTATGTTAATCAATACTATAGGAACGTTTAAGAACATAAAAATACTCGTACTAATACAAATGTTTGTATATAAATGTAGGCTACATTGCAAGCTCGAGTTATGATAACACAGGCGGAGGGTCTAACTTTTTGTGTTTAGCACCTGATCCCCAGTGGAGCTACTACGACGAATCGATTACAAGTGATACAAGATTAAAAGGAGTTGAGTATCAATTTTTCCCCATCATTACGATGGTGCTACTAAATTCTTCGGTCATAATGTATTTAATGATGATGCCACCTGTGCCGTTTGTCATAGTCAACGGGGTTCAAGCTTGATGATACCTGGGAGGATAGACTGTTACAATGGATGGACCAAAGAATACAGCGGATACCTTGTCAGTTCAAACGATGGTTTTAAACACGAATCAGAGTTCATTTGTTTGGATAACAGACCGGAGACTGTTGTTGGAGGGCATAATAATGATGACGAGAGTATCTTGTACTTTGTTGAAGCCTCATGTGGCAAAAGCCTAGAGTGCCCACCATATATCAATGGTAGAGAAATTACTTGTGTTGTGTGTACAAAATAGTATTTACAAACTTATTATAGTACAGTGTACACGTTTGTTTACTTCTCAGGTGTAGGTGCAGAGTATTTTTACAACAGGGGGGTCGCCAAATGACGGACACAGGACTTATGCATATTCTGAAAAATGGTTTACAATTTATTTTAACAGTTTTCTTGGAGAGAGATGATATGAGAAAAAAGCTAATTGCTAATTTTTTGTGTGTGTGCTAATTTTGAGAATTTGATTGCCATCTTCATTAAGGATTTTTTTTCCATTTGCGACCTCATTGTCAAAATTATATACATGTAAATAAAAGCACATTTAAAAACGTTCTTTTCAATTATATATATTTTTTTCTCAATTTGCGACCTCGTTATCAAAATAATATAAATACAAGGACATTCAAAAAAGTTCCTTTCAATAAGATATTTTTGGGGATAAAGATGAATTTCTGGTTCAAGAACAAAAACTACTAACAAAAATACAAATGTATACTAAAGAAATGCTGTGCTCTGATAAAATGGACTGCTTTTGTAATAAAAATCGCAAATGTAAACATAACTACACATGTAAGGAAAATTAATAACAATTGAAGTTAACAATTCAGTAATGTATTTATTAAATTTAACATATAAATGATATGAATTGAGAACAATTTTGTATATCTGTTTTGAAAAAAGTAGCTAGTCATATAATGTTTTTTTGCATAACGCGACAATTCAAAATACTTCCACTTTCTTTTATAGAACGTGCGTCGGCGCCATTTGTTTTATTTTTTTTCTTGTTTTGCTAAACTATTTTTTAAATAGATCCCACTGAATAATTAAACCACTGAATAATAAAATTACAAACAAATATATTCCAACAAAAACAACATGTAAATTTTATTTGCTAAATCACTAACATAAAAATGATGACTAATCATTTGGGCTGTTAACGATAAACGCAAAACCTGCCATAGATTTTGATGAAGCTTCAATACCAAAAATCCAAAAAATGAGAAGTAAACAAAACATGAGACTATTGTGAATATTGCCCAGATTGTTTGTTATCTAAAAAGCCGTAATGTTATATTACATTGTCTAATGAAAACGTGATTATTAGTTTTATTACTTTTAAATTTGATGAGAGGAGCTTATTATTATATGGTTTGTATAGTAAATGATTGATTTAAATTAGTGTCGAATCCTTCTTCAATTTCAATTCTATTTTGAATCCAAAGTAAGTTAAAGTATTCTGACATGTCTAAATAGCAGTTTGCAACTGTTCAATAGAATTACAATTATAAAAGATGTCTATGCGGTCAAACAATAGCCTAAGTACATATTTAGTCAACACACTGCGGTCAAACAATAACCTTAGTTCATGTTTAGTCAACACACTGCGATCAAACAATTGCCTAAGTACATGTTAAAGTCAACACACTGCTATCAAACAATAACCTTAGTTCATGTTAAGACGACACACTGCAGTCAAACAATAACCTACGTACATGTTTAGTCGACACATTGTGGTCAAACAATAGCCTAAGTACATGTTTAGTCGACACACTGTGATCAAACAATAACCTTAGTTCATGTTTAGACGACACACTGCAGTCAAACAATAACCTTAGTACATGTTTAGTCAACACATTGTGGTCAAACAATAACCTTAGTTCATGTGTAGTCGACACACTGCGGTCAAACTATAACCTAAGTACATGTTTAGTTGACACACTGCGGTCAAACAATTACCTAAGCTCATGTTAAGTAAACACACTGCGGTCAAACAATAGCCTAAGTACATGTTAAGTCAACACACTGTGGCCAAACAATAACCTAAGTACATGTTCAGTCGACACACTGTGGTCAAACAATAACCCTAGTACATGTTTAGTCAACACACTGCGGCCAAACAATAACCTAAACACATGTTTAGTCGACACACTGTGGTCAAACAATAACCTAAGTACATGTTTAGTCGACACACTTACCCTTGTACTGATTCTCGTTGGTAACCAACTTGCTTAAATTGTGTATCTATTCGCTCAGAAAGGAAGAACAAATAACTCCAGAGTTATGTTATGTACATTAGCAGTGTCTAATCAGTTAAATGTTAAACTGTATGGCTCTGTGGTATTTCATAGATGCAAGAAAAATGGAAGCGACAAATCTATCTTGCTGGCCAAGTTCCTGACCATTGTTAAGTAAGTGCAATAATGTGAAGTCGTTTGTTCAGATATAATTTCAGAAATCGTAAGAACATATCTAATTTGAAATAAAGGATTCCGATATCAGTTAATATAAGTGTACAAGCAAGCGTATATATACATGTAGTAAAATAATACATCATTTTTCAAGTAGAACTTTAAATGTATAAATACAACTTACTAAAGGTTGTTTGTTCGACGTGGTCTTTAAGATGTGCAATGTTCCTAGTTGTTTTTATTTTCTGTACTTTCTTTCATTTAATATGATATAATATATAGTATATAGAATAAGTTATTCAAAATGCTCTTTTCATAATTGCAACGTTTTCTAGGATAGTAGACGGTCTAAATGCCGTTCCCTGCCGTTCCCCGCTAGCATTACCGTGACAATTGTGTTGTATGAGTTTGTCTAAAATACTCAATGATATGAGTCATATTCTTTGACTAAGTATTCTGCTGACGAAAGACAAAGTTTTCATTCATTATTCAAAATACAAAAGAACTTTGAAAACCCACGCATATTTAAAAAGGATTTGTACACAAAAATAAATAAAAAAAGATTCCATGTAATGTACATCATATATCTATCTACTTTATAAAGCATCAATATGACAATATAAAATGTTACAATATGTTAAAAAAATATATTTACACAAGTCCGATTATATAAACATTAGGCGTAAATGCAAAAATTTCATTTTTGATGAGCACCACTTAAGCAGCGGCGAAAGGCAAAATATTGGAATTATCGGAACACAGGATTAGAGCGTCCTGAAGTGATTCTTGTCGTTTCATGAGGAAACCCTTAACGGAGAGACAAAGTGCAGTATGGCAGATCTATACTTTACAATGAAGAAGAAAAAAACAAGATCTTATGTCGTCGCCTTCGTGTGGCTGTGTAATCTTATATATTATATAAAATTTTAAGAAATTCCAAATTAGATGGTTTGTACATTTGTGTAACAAATCTACGAGAATTTTCATGAAAATTGACCTATTGTCGGTCTCTTAAATTAATTTTATAACGAAATTTTTTATTCAAAGATTAATTTCACAAAAAAACATTGTTGCAATAACATGAAAATGAGTTGTATACCGACACATTTATTTGTCACAACAGACAGTCTCATTGCATTATAGGAACCGACAAGTCAGCCCGAATCAATGGACAAATCTAAGCCTAAAGTGTTTTATGGATCAAATGTTTAACAAACATACGTCGGCTTATTACAATAGTCCCATCGTTTAAATATGTCGGTAGTGTAACACCAAAGGTAGGTTTCTCCAACAGCTCTACAATAATTATTCGCAGCTGATACAGATGTATCCGGGTAAAGTGCGGCACTAGTTTTTTTATGACTGTGAGGAAATTGGGAATCCCATCTCTGACATGTTTTACCGCTTGTGGTGCTACCGAGACTCCCGGCGTAACTGTTTGGTGGCATACATGCTAAAATTAAGGAAAAAAAACAACCAAATCATATAGATTTAAATTTAACTTTAAATAAAAATGTTATATTAACAAAGGCTCACTATTTAAATCATCTATGATCCGCTTAAAAACATGTCTACACTTTCTATGTTTATGAACACATAAAGAGTGCTTTCCTTTTAAATTAGTAAAATAATGTATGCATAAAAACTTGTTCAAATGTTTCTAAACACATGCCATGTCAAAGAATATCCTTGCAAAAATACACCATAATTTAGATAAAGAAAAAAGATAAAATATAATAAAATAAATGATTATATGTTTGTTTGATTGATTGTTTCATTTTACTCCTCTTCCCAACAGTATTTTAAAATAAATGATTAAATATAGTTAACTTAAAATATAAGATAAATCGCAAGCATTGATGATAAAATTGACATGGCGGTCACTGAGAAAAACAATTTAAAAACAAAAGGTCCTTTAAATGCAATGAAAACATAAATTTAAAACTCGATTATAATGATTTTATTTGTATGAAATAATAAATAATGCATCATTTCTCATGCCGACTAAAGCAGTTGTTATTTGTAATACTGAAACTTTTCATATAAAATACATGTATTCAAAAATAAACAGAAAAACTTAACAACTTTAACGTGACGTACTTGGAATCTTTTTACAGCTGTCGCATAGCATTGGATAACACTTGATAATGTGAATATAGAAATTGTGAAAAGCAAGAAATAGTTGATGGTTATAAATTGTTAAAATTGAAAGAAGAAAAAACTAATTAATTAAAAAAGAAAGATAAGGACAAAAGTCAAGTAAACTGCTTTATATGAAATATAGGCTTACAAAACATAGTATCACGCTATCAACATTGTCCTCAAATTTGTCATAGTCATGTGAAATGAAAAGTGAGTTATTGTATAGCGACTACTGATACACAAAAGTTAAGTTGCCTGTGATAATATAAAAAAGGTAGTAAAAGTGTTTTTATGCCAACTAATGACAACACCTTCGAGTCATTTTATCCATAATTTTGCCTCAAAATATTGATACTCTAGTGACTATAGGATAACAATAAATCTCCTTTTATGCTTTTCATTCAGTAAGAATTTTATATGGCCTAAAGCTGTTATGTGGCGAAAGAATAATGGGAAGAACAATGAAGTAGCAACATGGAGAACGCCTGTCTGTCAGATAAATCGATCTTATATTTCCGAGACAGTGACGTTACTTTAAAACTGTTGTAAAAGATTATCTTGATTTAAATGATAACCATCAAGTGAAAATGAGGAAAGCGCAACAATAAGGTTGCTTCCTTAAATGTCGGAGTTGGAACATAACATAACGCGCAGATTCCAACATTCAAGTTGTTACCCAAAAATCAATTTTTGACCTTAAAGAAGAGTTTGAATTCACTTGCACCATGAAGTCACTAATATACAAAGCACAGTAGTCAACAACCTGACTAACAACGTCAATGCCGGTCATAGGTAAAATCATTTCACATTGATGCAGACAGCAGATAAAGCTGATCTTCACACTGTCTCGTCCACTTAATCAGCATCTACCTAACTTATTTTTTATCAACATAACATGAGTTATATTAAGTCCGAATTAATTAAATCGTTACTTTATTGATCAAATAAAAGATCTTACCACAATGCGAGTATTCCCATGACTTTGACGACAAACATTTAAACGTGGCTGGAGTAGCGGTAAACCCGTAATTACACTCAAGTGTAGCTGTATCTAGATATAGAGTTGATCCTGGTAGAGAAAGGGTCGCGACACCATTTGCAATACCTGGTAATGAACCGCAACCTGAAAGGGTGTGCAATCTAGAAAATTTAAACCATCAGAGGTGAAATTTAATTGAATTTAACTCTCAAAATGTTAAAAAAGTACCAATGTATCAAAAGTCCTACTTAGATCTCTATTTGGAATACCGTTGTCTTAACATGGCCAATTATTAATAGTATAATTGAAGGTACATGTATCTGAATAATATGTTAATTTTTTATCATATCAACTGATGAAGCTTATTAAAGCGAAACATGTTTCAATAACTGTGGAGGTTTGTGATCTTTTTTCATATTAGACGCTCATGTTACAAATAGCAATATATCAAACATTAGTAACGAAAGTGTTCGAAAGTTTTAAACCAGCTCGCTTCTTCCTTCTTAATGAGATCCATCAAATGTGAAGTTTCCAGCTCAGTTCATTACCCTCCCCACTGACATAAGCCATATGAGCGCTTATATGCGTTAAAAATAATTGATATATGTTATAAGTTAAATGAAAACTAATATTACATAATTATTCAATATGTTGGAACAAAAAAAAGACAATCATACTAATTTTTGAACAATTTCCTGCTGACCAGGTACCATCAGACTGACACTTGACACGTGATATATTCGTTTCATATCCTTCGTTACACTTGACAGTAGCTAGTGCCATATATGTTGTGTTAGACGAGTCCAGCAATGTAGCAATTCCATTTTCTGTCGTAGGTTGACCACAATCTGAAATACAAAGTTACAATGAGAAGGTCACCATTGAAAAGTCGTCTGACATGACAAAAATATAAATTCGACATGTTATGTTATCGTTAACCTAGTACATGTACACGGACATCAGTCGTAAACAAATGTTAGCACTCGCACAATATTAGAAGAACTTTGATAAAAATGATTAATGAGTGAAATGAAGTTATATATAGATGATTTCTTCCATCAAATGGTTTGAAAATAAATAGTAAGAAGTCCGGTGAGACACTAGTTTTCATAACGGAAAAAAATGTTTCAGTGAGATGAAAACGGAGTTATACGGTCGTGCACATATTATGAGGTGACCTGATTTGACCTACAGTCATTTAAAATCTGCTCTTTATTATATAATGATTTGTGTAAATGTAAGCTCCATTTTGTTCTAACTTCAGGAAAGAAATGTAGACACCCATTTAATGATGACATTCTTAATGGCGAGTACTTGATACGTTAGGTCGTATATGCAAAAACATAGAACGGAATATTTTTGTTGTTGTTGTTGTTGTTTGTTTGTTTTATTAATATATAATTTTTGTCTGTTTCTGTGTTTGGTTTCCTCTTGTCGGAACGAAATTAACATGATTTTATCAATATATGTCTGGTTAAAATTTTCACACAGGATAAACTATGAAAACATTGAACGCTTTCTACCTTTTGGGTCGCACGTCTTTTCTTCCCATTTACCTTCAACATGACATTGGACAGTAGAGATATCTGCAAAGATATTTGCTTGTTAAATAATAACGTAAAATAATCAGTTTATCTTATTTAAAGTCAATGATAATGAATATGTCCTGTAAAAATACAGTAAAAGATAAACTTTCAAAGCAACCAGTTTCAAACGCATATGATAAAGGAAAACAGTAGTACATGTATATCTATAATAGTCGTCAGTTTCTCTGCATTCATTTCATTTCTTCGAATTTACTATTTCTTTATATTACTTTCATTATTGATTGGTGTTACTTTGTCTTATTTATTTTTACGAGACTGGGATATTTGAAACTTTATTTGTATTACTTGGTATTCTATAATTTAACTATTTCTTGATATCAAGAGTATTTGGCATTCTATCATTTTACTATTTCTTGATATCAAGATTATTTGGAACTCTATAATTTTACTATTTCTTAATATCAAGAGTATTTGGTACTCTTTAATTTTACTATTTCTTGATCCTACAACTACAAGCTTTTGGCATTCTTAAATTTTACTGGTTATTGGTATTACTACTACTTTACTTTCTTCAATGCAACTATTTTTGTATCACTTAGCATTTTAATGAAACTATTTATTGGTGTAAGAGTACTTTTTGGAGTTATTTTGCATTCTTTACTGTATCTTTTTCTTGTTATAACTTGATGTTTAACCAAATGTTATCATTTCTAGATTATTGTTTCATTTGTTATATACATGAACACATTCTAGACATCATGAAAAATATTCTTCTAGCACAGTTGTTTATTTTTTATTTTTTGGTAAAAGATAATCAATGTTTTAAAACAATTGTAAGGAGAAAGATGCCTTTCATAATATAGTGTTTAATATAACTTTGTAGACCTGCTTCCACTTATTACTTTTATGGGTCACTATGAACAAGCCCTTCCCTTTTTACTGTCGATATATACTGTTCTCGATAATTTGTTTTCTAAAACATATCATTTTGTTATCATCTCTACATATGATATATAAGCAAACAATTAATACTCAACTTCTTAGATTCTATCAAATTCTGTCACAAATGGAAAATTTGTTAGTTTCATCTTCAAAGGATAAAACGTGATTACATTTAAGCATTTGAAAGTAGTTAATTAGCTAGCTGACATATATTGAATTTCGTCAAAGGTTTTGGTAAATTATGATCAATAAATAAAATATGCATTAGAAAGATCGATCTGTACTGTAAAAAACAAAAGAAGCGTAACATATGTAAAGGCTGAGTTGCCTTCCTAATTGCCTTTTTACTTTTTAAAATCACTTTAAGAATTGAAATTATATCCCATAACTGATTGTTTTTGCTATAATTTCAATTCTAATTGGTTTGTTTATTGCTTTTATGGATTTAACCTCATCTGACATGGTTTTATGCTTTCGTAAAAACATAATATTATATCAGAATGTATCTCCTTTATAAATTGTCACAAGAGGACCGGATTTCAGGGCGGAACGACCAGGCTGGAATTTTTTAACTTAATTCTATTGACGAACAGCAAAAACTTACGGAGGTGATTAGATTGTTTCATAATTTATTCATGCCTTAGTCACACTTTAATAAGTACAAAATACCATACATGTCATGATATCTAAAGTGTATAACGTTTGAATATGTCATACCGCTGACCTTCACGATAAAAGAATTAAATGATATATTTTTGAACAATACCTGTATAAAAACACTCAGCCTTTGACAAGATGTCCACAATTAAACATTTCGCAACTGGGTTCTCGACAATATATCCAATATTGCAATCCACATAGGCTTCGTCCAAAAACATATCCTTTCCGGTAATTGCTAGTTCAATAATTCCATTATCAATTGATTCAACGGCACCACATCCTGTTAGATGTTGTACAAAATCATAAGATATTAATCATATGATCAAACTAGTCGCATTATGTAAGAAAAAATTGAAAAAGTAGCTTAAGTCACTCGTTTTTAGCTGGAAAGAGACAATAACAGATCCACCTAGCCGCATTATATAATAGTAACATAAACTAGAATGATAAATCACAATATCCACCGCATTCAGTAAGCAAAACATAAAAACAAGAAATTTAAGTCATGTGATCATCCCAACATATTCAGTATGGAGATATATAAAACAAAACAACAATAATAAGATCTACAAAGCCGGTACATGACAGTTGAAAATAAGAAAAGTCACAAGACCCACCCAGCGCATTCAATAAGGAAACCTATAAAAACTAAAAGGAAATCACTAACACCAAGGAATAATTACCGTAAACAAAAAATTCACAAGATAGACCGATGTCCTCGTGAAAAACACAAAAGTAAAAAGATAGATTATGAAATCATTCATTCGTTTTAAGAAACGGAAACAATTGTGGTAAATCACAATATCCAACCAGCTGTATAGGTGAAGCATTGAAACGAGAACAAAATAAATCGCAATTTTTTTACAATATGTAAGAGAAATATTTACCACAAGATAATCGAATCTTGAAAACCATTTAAATTATTATTTAATGAAATACATTATAAATCAATAAGAATTGCTTATAATTTATACAAAGAATTAGATGCTTTCAAAAACAATGATTCTAAAAGTATTCAGGTTGATTAAACATCAAGAGTAGAACGAAAAGAAAAAATAAATCTGCCGTCCATTGGCTTCAAGATTGAAATAAATGTAAAAATAAACCATTATGACTTGAATATTTATTTACGTACCGATGTTTATACATCGTGGTGGGTATGATGGTAGACATCGCTGATTCGGACTACAAGGACGTGATCCACAGGGACCTGCAATTCCCTAAAAAAAAACAAATATGATAATTTCGTTTTCAACACTTTTGCTATTATTTGATTGCATATATAGAATCTACGCCTGTCTCTGTTTCATATTCACATTTTATGTTTTTCTTTTTTATATTTTTTTTTCATTTATTACTTTTTTAACTACTAGAAGTACATTGAGTATAATACCTTTCAAACCATTTCATTGTCTCAGAATACAGTTTTCCACAAAATGACTGAATTCGCTCCAGTAAAGTTTGGTCATTTATTCAACCTTCAATGTTTCGAAGGGTTAAACCCATCTTTATCAAGGAGTTTGCTGTTAATTTTCTATTTTTTCCTGTATTGATTTGTAGGTAACAGTGTAAGAAAAATGAAGATTAGTATGTTATTTAGAAAATTAACAGTACGAGGTATGATAAAAATGTTCGTGGCCCGATATACTTCTAGCCACTACACAGAAATTTACACACAATACGTCGATACCGATATCTTATTGAAGATTACTGACCACGTAACACGCGGTTTTACACCGATTAAGTAACATAAAACACACTTTGATCAGTAGAGGGCAGTGTCATTTAGACCAAATGGAAAAATTGAAATCAGAGCCGTCATTAAGTACCTCTGTAGGGCAGGGATGTCCCCCAAGAAAATCAATGAAGACTTCATGGATACACTTGAGAAGGAGCCTCCTTCTTATATCACTGTGAAAAAATGGGCTGCTTAAAGAAGAGCAGGGAGAGCATTGGGGATGATGAGCGGCCTAGGCGGCAAAGAGGCCACCAACGATGAAACTGCCGAAGCGGTGCACGATCTGGTCATGTGCGACAGAAAGCGAGACCTGTGAAGCATTGTTAGGGAAGTGGGTATAAGCTTTGGTTCAGTTCAGGCAATTCTGACTGATAGATGGGTCCCCAGACAGTTAACTGACGACCAGAAACGGACCAGGCTTGACATTTCAAGATATCTTTTGTCTCGCTTCGAGGATGAACCTGATTTTATCTACCGGATCGCAACTCACGATGAAACATGGGTCCATCACTTCGATCCAGAATAAAAAAAAACAGAACATGCAGTGGAAGCACCCTGGCTCACCCTCTCCAAAGAATATCAATCAGCAGTGAAGATGATGGGGTAAACTGACCCAACGCGTTCTGCTCCTGCACGACAATGAGTAAACTCAAACATCCCAAGTTTCTATGGTTGCCGCAACTGACTGCGGCTTTGAAATTCCCCCCCCCCCCCATATTCTTCGGACTTGGCCCCCTCTTACTTCTACCTGTTTCCGAAACTGAAAGCAAAGCTTCGTGGTAGACGTTTTGGACGCAATAGAGGTGTCATGGAGGCAGTCAATGAGTTTTTTGAGGACCAAAATAGAGAGTTTTATTTTGAACGGTTAAACAAGTTGGAGCACAGGTAGGCAAAGTGCATTGATGTAAAGGGCAATTCTATTGAAAAGTAAGACCATAAGTTGGGTTCTCTGACTATCGGAAGTACATTGGGCCGAGAACTTTTTGATCAATCCTCATATATGTGTAACCAAGTGCTATTTTTAAGGTTTTTGCTACTTCCCAAGAAACGTAACTCTGTCGGCCTCGTTTGATTTTAATCTTAACTTTGTGTGTCCCCTGACCACATTTGCTATTTGCTCAACCATAACGTTTCCCTTCTCAAGTTAAGGTCACTTGAGGCCATTCTTTTGTGTTAAGAAAAGCTGTTGGTCATTGTGACATGTAGATGTGTTGGTTTTACTTATTATAAAAGAATTATATTATAGATAAGGATTTGGATTGAGGAATTGGTATTTGTATGTTTTATTCATTTGTTCTTAAAAGTTCTAATGTCAACTAAATGAAGACTTATAGTAATTAAATACAGTTGTGGATTTGATAAAAGTTATTTTGAAAAATTCGTATTGTTCTTGAGTGTTAGAATTCAAGATGGCAGCATTATGTTCTTATCTAATAGTTATTCCTAGAAATCACTGTTTCTATTTGTATTGCACTGATGTTTCTAAATTACAGTTTACAGCATAATTAACAGCACAGTGAGACAGGTGTGAGTGACAGAGGTACATGTATATTTACAGAGTCTGATCCACAATTGGGCTTATTAACTGTGATGTAATACATTTAAAGATGTCTTTAATATGAACATAATTTATTTAAATGAGATAAAATGAATGTACTATTCATATAGACTGATCTGTTGATAGAATATTAGATTAAGTATATTTAAGGTACTGTAGTTTATACAAATGTATAAAACTATATATTTCATGATGGTATGGAATGTTTGGTATTTATACTTTCAGGGCTTGGTAACTGTGATGTAACTGTGATGTAACTGTGATGATGTGTACTGTATTTTGTATGATATATGATGCCTGATGTGGAGATGTACTTTGTAACCTGTTATTTATAGTCTCCACTACAAATTAAATCGACGAACTAGTATTACCCTCAGTTTTGTTCTTTTCTTATACAAGACCAAGAAAGACATCGGGGTCACATATATAATCGGTTCAATGAAAACAAACGGTTTTCTTCAGCTTCCCACGTTTTGTCATATTCAGAAAAAATGACACTTGAACAATGCGCTTAACGGAATGTGACGTTAACGGGGAATTAAAAACTTTAAAACTTTGTCAAATAAAAACAGAATATTTCATACATAAATACAGCAAAGCACAATATACATAAACTATGGATCTGCACATGTGATACAAAAATTCTCATGATAGAAATAAAAAACAAAATAACAGCAAAATTAATAGCAGAGAGGTTTAACCCATCGGAACGTTAAAGTTTGATACACTTTGTGAAATAGATAGTTATTTATTGTTTCAAAAATGGATAACCAAGCATAATTAAATATTCGCAACTTTCTGATTAAATTTCAACTATTAAACTATTGAAATATTTTGGCAATTAAAACATTTCATTTATGTTTTCATCGTTTAAAACAATTATTTATAATGTATTTAATGTTTGGTGTAATATTAAAAGAAGCATTATGATACGAATATTTTGTGTTTCTTTAAAAGGGGTACACATGAACTGTATGGCGTTAAAATAGTGGTGTTAGAGCATGTTAGAAAAAAGTAGCACTAAACGTTATATAATTTGTCGCAGGAGTAGTTACATATACACAAAGAAGTATTTTGACTTCCATATAAAATACCAAATAACTATAACTGTACTAATCGCCAAAAGCATCAAAAGAAAAAGATGGTTCAGGTAATTGCATAAGGAATAACAAGAAACGTACACCCAAAACTAAAAGCATTTTAGAAATAAAAATAAAAGCATTTCTGAAGCATAATGGGCTTTTAAGATATGTTAAACCAATTATCTTTTAAAGACGTAACGTCTGGTACCTGCAACATGGTGGTCCGAAAAGTATTCTATGTCCGTGACTCAAAAATTGCTCTGTACATCACTCATAAGGCTACCATGAATAAAACTATATTTTGCATTTACGTTATGTTAAATATATCATTTCTAAAAATAAATTTATAAAAACAAATTTTATTCTATCAAATAATATTGCCACTGGTTTAATATACAATTGTCTTTTTTAATATCTTAATAGTATGGTTTGAGCAATTAGAATTTTGGGTTAAGCTGTTGACAACAGTTTTAAAAAAGAAATCTTTCGGCCCTTTTCAATTGTTAAGAAGTATTCCTACTTACCTCTTTTACGTTTTTATGTTAATCAGTTTTTGTCTTTATAGTGTTTTGTTTTTTATTGTTTTAGTTTGTTAGTATGTGGGTTTTTTGTTGTTGTTGTTGTTGTTGTTAAAATAATACATTTCGGCCCTAATGTTTTGGAATAAATGAAAAAATAATTGATCAAAGTGGTGATGGTAGTTAACCAAGGTTGTGATGGTAAAAAAAACATAGCTTTATGATGGGAATTATTCTTAATATTCCTAATATTTAGCCCTTTTGACATTGCGTGTGAACTATTCCTACTTTTTTAGATTTCCTATTTATTTCTTTTACTTTCTTTTTCCTTATTAATCAGTTTTGTTTGTTTTCTTTACATGTACAGTTGTTTTGGGTTTTTTGGTGTTTGTGAGGGTTAATTTGCTTTTTGTATGTTTGTTCTTGATTTGTTTAATCATTCAAATTACTTTAATCATTTATCACTTTAAAGTAAGTTTAATACATTGTTAAGGGGAGAGGTGGCCTAGTGGTTAAGGTGTCTGCCTCTCAACCCAGAGATTATGGGTTCGAGCCCTACTCGGGTCACGACCATGTTTCTTCATATGACACCAGTACTGGTTGGTTCCAGGAAGCGGACTAAAAAGTGATTAATATAAGTTGCAAGATCTTGTTTCGCAATCGAGCTTAAATAAATATGTTTAAACCAAATAATACATTGTTGTTGTTGTTGTGTTGTTGATAATGGCGATACATTGTAACGAAATATACCTCTAACAGCCGCAGTAAAATATAGTGTTAAAAGAACTGATATATGAATGTATTTGGATGATAATTACAGTTTATATTCAAACATGCAAAAACTCAGATAAAACACATGTAATATCGATATATCATATATCGATGCATTATATATCGATATATTATAATGTACATCGATTCATAGTGAAACATATACAGGGGAGAAATAACTAATGCTCTTACTTGAATCAATTCTTACTACTTATTTATTAAACAAAGCACAGTTATACATTATGTGTGCCATTGCCACTTATTTCTTGGTATAAGAATAAAAGGGGAATAAACGGCTGATTATTTGTCAAATAAAGAAGTTTACACATTGGCATAATACGGACATGAAAATCTAGAATTCAGTATAGTTTCAGTAATTCATTAATGGCCTCCGAAAAAAGAAATTGAAATAATTTTGATATTTCACTATTATCTAGAAATAAAAGCAATAACAACAAACCTGTGGCCACTCGTTGATATCGGAATAGATTGAGAGTTCCTTCATCTCAAACTCTGTCGTTTGTACATCCGTACTGTCAGCATCATTCAGTTTGCAAGCGTTCGTCTGTCTGTCATAATCAAAAGATTTACAAGCCGTCAGGTACAAACAAAATCTTGCACAATTATGGAGGTCAGTTGATGTCTCGTGAATCATGTGCTCCTTAAGACGAAGATTCAGGTGCTCTAGTTTTGACTGAAACGGATTACACGTTCCAGTATATTCGCTTGCGATCTCCTTCAAATTTAAAATAAACAATATGGTTAAGGAAAAAACGTTATCTCTTAGTTTGTTGTATTTCATTTTCATCTTTATTTCTATTTATCACTGAAATTTAATTAAATTGTTTCCTTGCTTATTTTCATTAGATATTTTGAATATATTCATCCCAGCTCCATCTCCATTACATAATCATAACTTTAATGCGCGACTCATCAAGTTTGCTAATTTCTATGCCCCCAGTTCTCCACCACATTAATATCTAATTAACATGACACCTAGTAATATATCAGCCTTAATTTCATAATCTATAGAGATTACTTGACGTATAACGTGCTAAGTATCGGAAATACATGTATTAACTTGAAACTTTATTGGTGGATAGAACTCATTGGAAAGTGATGCATTGCATAAAAACAACAACTTTACTCTTCATAATTATTTTCGTTTTTGCCCATCGTTATTTTTCATGCTCAAAGGCCCATTATGCCCGCAGAAATGCTTTTATTTTGTTTCCCAATTTTTTTTTTGTATTTGGCAACACATGTTACGAATGCGATCCCAATTGTAAAAGGTGTTGCTTTTATGATCCGTTACAAATATGGATCAACAAAAATTACATTATTTAAAATAATTCATTGCAATTGCGAGAATAATGTCGCAATATCACAAAAGAAAGTTTTTTTTTGTTAATTGAACGTAAATATACCCTGAACATTAGAATTATTTTTTCTAATGATATGTCATTAACGTGGGATAACCAATCTTGAGCTTTGGTTTCCTTGTTTGGTTTATACAGATTTTATTTTAGTTCTATTGTGAAGGAAGCTAAAAGCTTATAGACACACTTTCGAATCCGTTCCTGGAACAAACCATTACTGAGCAATGAGTGAAAAGTTTCTTGCTCAAGGAAACAACGACTTGCCCCTGACGGAGTTTGAACTCATGCGGCTAGAGATCATGAGATTACTAGTTCGACGCCATGCCAGCACCTCTTTATTTATATAATAATTACGAACGCAATGAAAGAAATCCGGCATTTCAAAGTTATATAACTTACACTTTGCTTGAAAACACCATGCATGCATTTACTCTAACGCTGCAGCACTCTTCCAACTGACATGATAACTTAATTACTTTTCCCACAAGAGACTTCTATCTATTCGATCAAAACGTATACACTTGGAGGCATTTTACCGTCAAATTGTATAATGCTTTATGAGTTACGGAGAAAAAAGGCAATAAGTCAAAATTATTCTAAATATCACTCTTGTGCACTGCACTTATTACTACTTACTGTGATTTGTCAACCAATAAAGTTTCAATATGATATTTGATAAACTTGTTGTCGTTATTGTTGTTGTTGTCAATTTATCATTTATCTAAATTTTTATTAATCATACCTATTAAGTTGTTATAGTTTGTATGTTTTTTTTGTAAACATTTCGGTTAAAGTTTTACGTACAACTTCTTGTACAATATTATTCACATATTTTACATCGTAATTGGAGGTAATTTTCTAAGGTCTATAACACTTACATAGCGTATGACAGAATTATAGCCCTTTTTAACTTAAAAAATTATTGGCAATATCTGCTGTCGTAACTATGAACATATTCACTTAAAACTTAATACATGTCTAAATGATAATATTTGGAGGTCGCTCATTCCTGTATTTGTATATACGGATGTACATCGCCATATTATACTACGTCACAAAAATATATTCATAAAATCTGGTAAAGAGACAATGCATGACAAAGGGGTTGTTCATTTATACTGTTCTCGCATAATTAGAAGAAGAAAATAAAATAAACGCCACTAACATTGTCGCAACACAGTCGATTCAAGCTGAATCGTGCCATGTACAAGTATAAAAGCCAGAACTAGTAACTTTTTAAAAGTGGCTTTGCTGTACTCTGGTGAATTCAAAATGGCTTACTGTCTTGATCTGGAGAGACAACTACCAACACTGCCACCTTTTCATGATGTTGAAATCGTTACTGGTTTTTGCGCCACACTACTACTGCAATTGTTACATATCGACTTTCCTATTTACTTAGACCTCAGATACCCCATCCGTGCTCCTTTAGACGCAAAAGGACACCCGTTTCGTTAACTAGCTAGATAGTTGCCTCACGTGAAAGGATTCGAACACCCCAACGGTGAGGGGCCAATGCTTTGAAGTCAATGGCCTTAAATACACAGCCAAGGACGATCCATATTTTCTTGGGCTGTTATAATTTCAAATGGGCTATTGCTGTTTCTCTTGTTTTCAATACGAGGGATCCGCCACTCGTGAAAGTATTACATTTGGTGTTCACTCTGTGAAATATATTTCACTCTTATATGCAAAACAAATATCCTCTATAGACTGATAGTTATGTGTATTTTGGACCAGATGCCTTTATTTGCTTAAATAAAGTTGAGTTGATGTCTACAGAGCTTACTTTTTCAGAATGTGGTTCAACATATGTACGATGGGGTCACACATCATGTGCAACAAATGGTACTGAACTTGTGTACTCAGGTGAACAGAGATTCAAAGTTTTCTTACTGGTATTTTCACTTTTCTTGTTATACATTAGAACCGATTTGGAAAGAACACAATTCTTTTACAGTCGGAATTTTCCTTTCCATTGACTTTTTATTAAGTAGATTATTCCATTTGCGACGTAGTTATCAAAATAATATAAATAAAAGGACATTCAAAAACGTTCTTTTCAATTAGATATCTTTTGGGATGAAGTTGAATGTCTGGTTCAAAAACAAAAACTACTGACAAAAATACAAATGTTTACTAAAGAAATGCAGTGCTCTGATAAAAACAAATAACAAAGAGATATATTAACAACAAAATAATAATCAACATGTAAATTTTATTTGCTAAATCACTGACATAAAGAGAATGACTAATCATATGGGCTGTTAACGTTGATGTTTATTGATAAACTCAAAACCTGCCATACATTTTGATGAAGCTTCAATACAAAAATCTCCAAAAAATGATAAGTAAACAAACATATGCGTCTTTTGTGAATACTGGTATTGCCTAGATCTTTGTCATCTCAAAAGCAGTAATGTTATATTACATTGTCTAAATAACCACATGTTTATTACTTTTATTTTTTTAAATTTGATTAGATGAACTTGTTATTATATGACTTTTTTATAGTTCATGTTTGATTTTTAATTAGTTTCCCGCCCTTTTCTTTAAATAATATAAACGTACATCTATTATAGTGCAAATTTCAATTTTATTTTCAATCCAAAGTAGGTTATAGTACTGTGGCATGTATAAATAGCAGTCTCATCATAATTTCACCTGAATAACAATTAAATACGATGTCTATGAGGTCAACAATAGCATACGTACATGTTTAGTCAACACACTTACCCTGGTACTGATTCTTTTTGGTAACTAACTTGCTTAAATTGTGTATCTATTCACTCAGAAAGGAAGAACAAATAACTCCAGATAATTGATTGACATAGTTATGTACATTGGAATTGTATAACCAGTAAATGTTAAACCGTATGTCTCTGTGTTCTGTGATATTTCATAGATGCAAGAAAAATGGGTGCGACAAATCTATTTTGCTGGCCAAGTTCCTGACTCTAAGTGCAATAATGTGAAGTTGTTTGTTCACGTATGATTTAAGACATCGTAAAAGCGTATCTAATTTAACATAAAGGATATCGATGTTATTTAAAATAAGTGTGCAAAAATCCTCTGAAAACCGGACAGCAATTTTATGTGTAAATGTTCTGTGTATTTTAATGTAGATTTAAACATAATCTTAACAGGTGACGTGTTCAATTACCAATTAATGATCATGTCTTTCTTATCTATGCAGGTGTTGAAACACTTGTCAGTGAGTGTTAATTTCTTATTGGCAACTAAATTAAAGCATTTTTTTATCATAATTGTGTTTTTCTCTGTATAGGTATGATTTTCAAAATGTTTTAAATTTGTTGTGTGTGTTTTTTTTAATATAAAATGTCTAAAAGAATTGGGGAACTATTGTTAAATGATTCCTGTTTTGCTTAAAATAGTAATACTAAATTACATTAATTACATATTTCAAAAACCAATTAAAAAGATATATTAAAGACAATGTGTTGTTTTAACTTCTGATTTTCAGAATTATATTCATGGATTTGCATAAAACAATTACTAAAAGACATTTATTGCAAAACGAAATTAAAATATGACTTAGACAAAAGGGTTGAAAAATGAATACAAAATGTTTGAACAAAGTCATTGTTCAAACACATTATAATTATTAATAAATGTGTAAAACCTCTGAAAACCGGAATCCTCTGAAAACCGGACTTTTTGTCAAGTCCGGACAGGGTCCGGGTTTTAGAGTTTTTACTGTACAAGCAAGCGTATAATATACATGTAGTAAAATAATTCATCAATTTTACAAGTAGAACATTAAAGGTTTACAACTTACTAAGAATGTTTATTCAAAGTGCTCTTTAAGATGTGCAATGTTCTTTGTTGTTTTTTCGATAGTTTCTTTCATTTAATATAATATAATAATACAGTATAAAAAATAAGTTATTCAAAATGCTCTTTTCAAAATGGCAATGCTTTCTGGGATAATAGACGGTCTAAATTGCCCTTTCCCGGTATAATTACCGTGACAATTTTGTTATATGAGATTGTCTCATAAGTCATATTTTCTTCGACTAAGTATTTTGCTGACGAAAGACATAGTTTTCAGTCATTATTCAAAATATTATACTATACTTAAGGAGTTTGAAAACCCACGCCTATTTTATATGGATTTCTACACAAAAATTAAAGAAAAAAATGTACATCATATATCTACTTTATAAAACATCAATGTGACAATATAGAATATTATACAGTGTTTAAACATGTATTTACACGATTCCGATTATAAACATGAGGTGTAAATCTAAAATGAAAATTACTTTTCGATGAGCAGCACTTTAGCAGCGTCGAAAGGCAAAATATTGGAATCATCGGATCACAAGATTATGGTGTCCCTATTGTCGTTTCATAAGAAAACCAGGAACGGGCTGACAAAGTGCTATATGGCAGATCCAACTTTACAATGAAGAAAAACAAAACACTATCTTATGTCGTCTGCCTTCGTGTGGCTGTTTCTTCCTATATATTATGTAAAATTTTTAGAAATTCGAAATTAGATGGTTTGCTTATTTTTTTTATAAAACAAAACCTTTTATGAAAATTGACCTCTTGTCGGTTGCTTAAATTAATTTGATAACGAATATTTTTTTAAAGCCTTCACTTCACAAAAAAAAACATTGTTGCCATAACATGATCATGCATTATCTGCAGTATTTCTTGAAATGTTGTAGGAATGCTGACATAGAGGAAACACGTTTTGTTCAAAATAAATCAAAATGAGTTGTATACCTACATATTTATTTGTCAGAAAGTGTATATATACAACTGGGCAGCCTCATTGCATTACAAATCAGCCCGGATCAATGGACAGACATAAGCCTATGTATAAGTAAGTGTTCATCCGTGCTGTTCTACAGAAATAAGAAACTTCGACGGGAGCGATAGTGACATGAGAATGTTTCTAATTTCTGTAAAACAGCTATGGATGAATACTTACAGTCTTAGTGTCAAGCTTTATTTGGCCTCATTATTATTCACTTAATTACGTCATCACGTGGTTCTATGAAGGACTTTGAAAAATATTAGGCGACTATGGACGGAATTCGACATTATTTCGACCTTTGTTCTTCTATGAAAATTAACACAGAGAATTTTTAAAGAAATACAGCGTTTTCATTCGATGACAAATAAAGTTTGACACTAACATGTTTCAAATATTTAACAAACATACATCGGCTTATTGCATTTTTCCCATCGTTTTAATATGTTTTTAGTGAAACACCAAAGGTAGGTTTCTCCAAGAGCTCTACAATAGTTATTCGCAGCCTTTACAGTTGTATCTGGGTAAAGTGCGGCATTAGTTTTCAAATGCACGTGAGGAAGTTGGGCAGCCCATCTCTGACATTTTTTTCCGTTTTTGGTGATATTGAGACTCCCAGCGTAACTGTTTGGTGGCATACATGCTAAAATAGAGAGAAAAAACCATATCATATAGATTGAAATTCAACTTTTGATACAAATGTTCATCGTCGGATACCCACGGTTGATTAACATGTCACATGGCATAACATGTGATAAATGTTAATGGTTCAGTCGTGGCTATCCCGGTATGATTCGCATAAAAACAGGACTACACTTCATACTTTTATGTTTATGAACATATAAAGAGTGGGTTACTTTAAATTGGTAAGATAATTTATGCATAAAAACTAAGACAAATATTTCTAAACACAGGCCATGTCAAAGAATATCCTTGTAAAAATACACCATAATTGAAATAAAGAAATAAAGATCAAGATAAAAAATGATAAAAATAATGATTAAATATAGTTAATTTATGAAAAGATAAACCGCAATCATTGATGATAAAATTGATATGGCTGGGCACTGAGAAAATTTAAAAACAAGAGGTCCTTTAAAGGCAATGAAAACATAAATTTAAAACTCGATTTTAATTATTTTGTTTCTATTAAATGATAAATACATAATGCATCATTTGTCATGCCGACGAAAGCAGTTGTTGTTTCTAACACTGGAACTTTTCAAATAAAATACATGTCGGGTTTATCCAAAAAGGATCAGAAAAAACTTAACAACTTAAACATCAGGTACTTGGAAACTTTTTACAGCTGTGGTATAGCACATGATATTTGATATTGTGAAAAACTTGAAAAAGTTGATTATTATCATAATAATTAAAAGAAGAAAGAACTGATAGATAAAACACAGTCAAGTAATCTGCTTCAATTGGGAAAGCAGTATCAAATCTAGGCTTACAAAACATAGAATCACGCTATCGACATTGTCCCCGAATATGTCATCGTCATGTTAAATGAAAAGTAAGTTATTCTATAGCGAAAGTTAAGTTGCCTGTGTTAATATAAAAAGGTAGTAAAAGTGATATTATGCCCACAAATGACAACACCTTCGAGTCATTTTATCAATAATTGTGGCTCAAAAACGCTCTCGTCATTTCTGCCGCCTTGCAGAATCATTCTGTCTACATCCGACGAAATAACGGCGGGTTATCTATAGGTTACAAAGTTTGGTTAGCATTGTTTTGTTATCTTCGCATTAAATGATTGAAATGATTTGTCGATGCTCTAGATACTTTCGCAAACATGCAAACCAAATTTAGGGGATGTGAGATGAAAAGGAAAGATATATAACAAGCGTATTATAACTTATAGAAAAAAATCATAATTTATATCGAAGAAACTACAATAAGCATGATATGAATAAAATGTGACTTTTTTATCCTTAAATATATAAAAGTCGCGGTTTTCCCCATTGTTCTACCTGAATTTTTTTTAAAATGTTTTTCAAATCTTGGTGCGTACGAAAGACCTTCTTTTCATAAATAGAATACTCGTGTGGAAGATGATTTAATGTTAACTGTACTTTTGCTTTGTTTAATTCGATATAACATTTCCCAGACAGTGACGTTACTGTAAAAATGCTGAAGAAGATTATCTTGGCTATACATAATGATAACCATCAAGTGTAAGTGAGGAAAACACAACAATAAAAATCTGGAAACAAAGTGATCCCTCGGAAGCATTGATCACAACAAAATTAAAGGGAATTGCAGACTCGGTTTGATGATAAAGTTGCTTCCTTAAATGTCAAACTCGGAACATGACATAACGCACTGACTCCATCATTCAAGTTGTTACCCAAAAATCAATTTTTGAACTTAAAGAAGAGTTTGAATTCACTTGCACCTTGAAGTCACTGATATACAAAGCACAGTAGTCAACAACCCGACTTACAACGTCAATGCCGGTCATAGGTAAAATCATGTCACATTGATGCAGACAGCAGATAAAGCTGACCTTCAGACTGTCTGGTCCATTTCATCAGCATCTACCTTACTTAAACTTTTTATCAACATAACATGAGTTAGATTAAGTCCGAATTAATTAAATCGTTACTTTATTGATCAAATAAAAGATCTTACCACAATGCGAGTATTCCCATGACTTAGACGACAAACATTTAAACGTGGCTGGAGTAGCGGTATACCCGTAATTACACTCAAGTATAGCTGTATCTTGATAAAGAGTGGCTCCTGGTAGAGAAAGAGTCGCAGTACCATTTGCAATTCCTGGTAATGAACCGCAACCTGAAAGGGTGTCAAATCTAGAAAATTAAAATCATCAGAGGTGAAACTTTATTGAATTTAACTTTAATAATGTTCACAAAGTACCATTATATCAAAAGTCATACTTAGATCACTATTTTGAAAACTGTTGTCATAACATATTCAATTATTAATAGTATAAATGAAGGTATCTGAATAAAAAAACTGATGAAGCTTATTAAATCGAAAGATGTTTAAATAACTGTGCTGGTTTTTCACATCAGATGCTATTGTTACAAAATGCAATATATCAAACATTAGTAACGAAAGAGTTATAGTTCTAAACCAGCTCGCTTCTTCCTTCTTAATTACATCCATCAAATGTGAAGTTTCCAGCTGAGTTCATTACCCACCCCACTGACATAAGCCATATGAGCGCTTGTATGTTTTTACAAGTAATTGATATATTTTATAAGTAAAAGGAAAACTGATATTACATAATTATTCAATATGTTGGTACAAAAAAAGACAGCCATACTAATTTTTGAACAATTTCCTGCTGACCATGTTGCATCAGACTGACACTCGACATGTGATATATTTGTTTCGTATCCTTCGTTACACGTGGCATTAGCTAGTGTCATATATGTTGAATTAGACGAGTTCAGCAATGTAGCAATTCCATTTTCTGTCGTAGGTTGACCACAATCTGAAATATAAAGTAACAATGAGAAGGTCACCATTGACAAGTCGTCTAACATGACAAAAATATCAATTCTACATGTTATGTTTTCATTAACCTAATACACGCACATCAGTCGTGAACAAATGATAATACTTGCACAATATTAGAACTGAGGTAAAAAGGATAAGTGGGTAAAATGGTGTTATATATATATGATTTTCAGTTTTGTCTATAGTTTAAGACTGGATTTGTTTCCATAAAATGGTTTGAAAATAAATATTTCGTGAGTGGCACGATTTTTTTTTCTCTTCTTTTTGTTAAATGCTTCTTCTTTAATTTTGATAATTGGCTGACTTTATAAGTAAGAAGCGCGACAGGGCACCTGTGGATATACGAAACAGTTTTATTGCAGTAAAACTGAGTTGTATGTTGGTTGGTTGGTTGCTGTTGTTGTTTGTTTGTTTGTTTGTTTGTTTTCTTAATATATAATTTTTGTCTGTTTCTGTGTTTGGTTTCCTCTTGTCGGAACTGGAGAGATGATTTTATCAATATATGTCTTACTCAAAAATTCGCACAGGATAAACTATGAAAACTTTGAACGTAATTTACCTATTAGGTCGCATGTCTTTTCTTCCCATTTTCCTTCAACATGACATTGGACAGTAGAGATATCTGCAAAGATATTTGCTTGTTAAAAAATAACGTAAAATAATCAGTTCATCTTGTTTAAAGTCATTTATAATGAATTTGTCCTGTAAAAAAGTAAAAGATAAACTTTCAAAGCAACGAGTTTCAAATACAAATGATAAAGTGAAACAATAGTACATGACACAAATGATAAAGTGAAACAATAGTACATGAATATCAATAATTCTCTTCAGTTTCTCTGCCTTCTTTATTTAATTTTCATTTCTTTGAACTTAGTTAGAAGGTACTGTTGATTTCTATTTTTTATATTACTTTGTATTGATTTTGTACTTTCATTATTATTTGGTATTTCTTTGAATTATTTACTTTTACGAGACTGGGAAAGTTTAAACTTTATTTGTATTACTTGGCATTCTATAATTTTACTATTTCTTGATATCAAGAGTATTTGGTAATTTTTAATTTTACTTTTTCTTGATATCAAGAGTATTTGGTACTCTTTAATTTTACTATTTCTTGATATCAAGATTATTTGGTACTCTTTAATTTTACTATTTCTTGATCCTATAACTACAAGTTTTTGGCATTCTTAATTTTACTGTTTCTGGGTATGAATCCTACTTTGCTTTCTTCAATGCAACTATTTTTAGTATCACTTTTCATTTTAATGCAACTATTATTTGGTGTATCACTTTGCATTTTAAGGCAACCATTTTTGGTGTAAGAGTACTTTTTTTAAAAATATTTTTCATTCTTTAGTGTATCTTTTTCTTGGTAGGACTTGGTGTTCTTTTTAACCAAACGTTATCATTTCTAGATTATTGTTTCATTTGTTATATACATGAACACATTCTAGACATTATGAAAAATATTCTTCTAGCACGGTTGGTCATATTTTTTGGTTAAAGATAATGTTTTAAAACAATTATGGAGAGAAAGATGTCTATCAGAATACAGTGTTCAATATAACTTTGTAGACCTACTTCCACTTATTACTTTTATGGGTCACTATGAACAAGCCCTTCCTTTTATACTGTCGATATATACTGTCTCGAAAATTTGTTTTCTAAAACATATCATTTTTGTTTTCATCTCTACATATGATATATAATGCAAACAATTAATACTCAACTACTTCAATTATTTAAAGTTCTGTCACAAATGGAAAATTTGTTAGTTCCATCTTCACAGGATAAAACGTGATTACATTAAAGCATTTGAAACTAGTGAATGAACTAGCTGACATATATTGAATTTCGTCAAAGGTTTTGGTAAATTATGATGAATAAATAAAATATGCATTAGAAAGATCGACCTGTACTGTAATAACAAAGGAAGCGTAACATATGTAAAGGCTGAGTTGGCTTTTTAATTGTCTTTCTTAATTATCCTTATTACTTTTTAAAGTCACTTTAATGATGGGAATTATATCCCATAACTGATTGATGTTGCAGTAATGTCAATTTTTATTGATTTGTTAATTGCTTACATGGATCTAACCTCATCTGACATGGTTTTATGCTTTTGTATAATTATTATATTATAGCAGAATGTAACTGTTTTATAACTTATCACACGGGACCGGATTCTTAGGGGGAACGACCGGAAATTTTTAATTTAATTCTTTTGATGAACCAGCAAAAACTTACTGAGATGATTAGATTGTTTCATAATTTATTCATGCCTTAGTCACTCTTTAATAAGTTCAAAATACCATAATGTATAATATTATGTAAGTCATTGGATCTAAATATAACGTTCTATATAACGTGTGAATATGTTATACCAATGACTTTCGTGACAAAAGAAGTAAATGAAATATTTTTGAACAATACCTGTATAAACACACTCAGCCTTTGAAAAGATATCCACAATTAAACATTTCAAAACTGGATTCTCGACAATATATCCAATATTGCAAACAACATAGGCTTCGTCCCCGGTATTTGCTAGTTCAATATTTCCATTATCAATTGATTCAACGTCACCACATCCTGTTAAATGGTGTACAAAAACGTAAGAAATTAATCATATGATCAAATTAGTCGCATTATGTAAGGAAAGAATGAAAAAGTAGCTTAAGTCACGCGTTACTCGCTTATGATTTCTGGAAGGAAGACAATAACAGATCCACCTAGCCGCATTATATAATGGTAACATAAACTAGAATGATAATTAAATCACAACATCCACCGCATTTAGTAGGGAAAACATTAAAAAAAAACACAAGAAACTTAAGTCATGTGATCATCCCAACATATTCAGTATGGAGATATAAAAAAACAAAACAAAAATAATAAGATATACTAAGTCGCATTATGTACATGAAGGTTCAAAATAAGAAAAGTCACAAGACCCACCCACCGCATTCATTAAGGAGACCTATAAAAACTAAAAGAAAAACTCCACCAAGGGATAAATACCGTAAACAAAAAAGAAAGAAATATTATTCACAAGATACACCGATGTACTCGTGGAAAACACTCGTGAGATCATTCATTCGTTTTAAGAAACGGAAACAATTGTGGTAAATCACAATATCCAGCCAGCCGTATAGGTGAAGCATTAAAAGGAGAACAAAATAAATCGCAATTTTTACTTGCATACAATCTGTAAGAGAGATATGAAAATACATTATTAAACAATAAGAATTGCTTATATTTTATACAATGAATTCGATGCTTTCAGAAACAATTATTCTAAAAGTATTCAGGTTGCTTGAAACACCAAGAGTAGAACGAAAAGTAACAAGAATCTGTCGTTCATTGGCTTCAAGATTGAAATAAATGTAGAGATAAACCATTATGACTTGAATATTTATTTACGTACTGATGTTTATACATCGTGGTGGGTATGATGGTAGACAACGCTGTTTCGGACTACAAGGACGTGATCCGCAGGGACCTGCAATTCCCTGAAAAAAAAACAAATATGATAATTTCGTTTTCAGCACTTTTGCTATTATTTGACTGCATATATATAGATATTATCTACGTCTGTTTCTGTTTCATATTCACATTTTATGTTTTTCTTTTTTATGTTTTTTTATTTATTACTTTTGTTTTTAACAACTAGAAGTACATTGAGAAGCATACTTTCCAAACCATTTCATTGTCTCAAAATGTAATTTTCCGCAAAATGACTGAATTCGCTCTAGTGAGAATTCATTATAAAGTTTGGTCAATTATTCCACCTCCAACGTTTCGAAGGGATAGACCCATCTTTATCAAGAAGTTTGCTGTTTATTTTCTTCTTTTTTTTCCTGTATTGATTTGTGGGTATCAGTGTTAGAAAAATGAAGATCAATATGTTATTTGGAAAATTAACAGTACGAGGTATGATAAAAATGTTCGTGATATACTTCTAGCCACTACACAGAAATTTACACACGATACGTCGATACTGATATACTGACCGAGTTACACGCGATTTTACACAGATTAAGTAACATAAAACACCCTTTGATCATAAGAGGGGTGTGTCATTTAGACCAAATGGAAAAATTTGAAATCAGTATTTGAAATCATATTAAGTACATGCACCTCTGTAAGAAAGGAATGTTCCCCAAGGAAATCATTGAAGACTTAATGAAAACACTTGAGAAGGAGTCTCCTACCTATATGTGAAGGAGACTCCTTCTCAAGTGTATCCATGAAAGCTTCATTGATTTCATTGGGGGGCATCCCTGTCTTACAGAGGAACTAAATGACGGCTCTGATTTCAAATTTTGTGAAAAAAATGGGCTGCTGAAAGAGGGACAGGGAGAGCATTGGGGATGATGAGCGGCCTAGGCGGCAAAGAGGCCAACAACGATGAAACTGCCGAAGCTGTGCATGATCTGGTCATGTGCGACAGAAGGCGAGACCTACGAAGCATTGTTAGGGAAGTGGGTATAAGCTTTGGTTCAGTTCAGGCAATTCTGACTGTCTATGGCATGTCAAAAATTTCCGCCAGATGGGTCCCCAGACATTTAACTGACGACCAGAAACGGACCAGGCGTGACATTTCAAGATATCTTTTTTCTCGCTACGAGGATGAAGTTGATTTTATCTACCGGATCGCAACTCAGGATTAAACATGGGTCCAGTTCTTCAATCCTGTAAAAAAACCAACAGCAACAGAGCATGGAGTGGAAGCACCCTGGCTCACCCACTCCGAAGAATATCAAGAGGGTGCCATCAGCAGGGAAGATGATGGGGCAAACTGACCCTTCGCGTTCTGCTCCTGCACGACAATGCGTCTACTCATACATCCCAAGTTGCAATGGCTGCCGAAACTGACTGCGGCTTTGAAATTCTTCCCCAACCCCCCATATTCGTCGACGTTTGGGAAGCAATGAAGGTGTCAAGGAGGCGATAAATGACTTCTTTGAGAACCAAAATAGAGAGTTCTATTTTGAAGGGTTAAAATAGTAGGAGCACAGGTAGGCAAAGTGCATTGATGTAAAGGGCAATTATATTTAAAAGGTAGACTCTGACGACCGGAAGTACATCGGGCCGAAAACGTTTTGATCAAGCTCATATATATAATCAGTTCAATGAAAACAAACCCTTTTCTTTAGCTCTCGACGTTCTGAGTATTCAGAAAAAAAAGACGTTTGAACTATATGCTTAACGGAATGTGACGTTAACGCGGAAATAAAAACTTGTCAAATAAAAACAGAATCTTTCATATATAAATACAACAATGCACAATATACATAGACTATTGATCTGCACATGTGATACAAAAATTCTCATGATAGAAAAAAAGGAAAATAAACAGCAAAATTAATAGCAAACACCTTGATAAAGAGGGGTTTAACCCATCGGAACGTTGAAGTTTGATACACTTTGTGAAATAGATAGTTATTTACTGTTTCAAAAATGGATGACCAAGCATAATTAAATATTCGGAACTTTCTGATTAAATTTCAATTATTTAACTATTGAAATATTTTGGCAATTAGAACATTTCATTTAATATGTTTTCATCATTCAAAACAATTATTTATAATATATTTAATGTTTGTTGTAATATTTAAAGGAACATTCGGAAACGAATATTTTGTTTTTCTTCAAAAAGGGCACACATGAATTGTAAAGCGTTTAAATAATAGTGTTAGAGCATGTTAGAAAAAAGTAGATTATTATTATTATTATTATTAAAAACGGCAAAAGACATCCATATGGCAAAAGCCGTCCATATGGCAAATACGCCGAAAATAACAGGCAGTGAAAGGGTTAATAGCCTTCAAATAATTTCAATATTACACAATTATCTAGAAATAAAAGCAATAACAACGAACCTGTGGCCACTCGGTGATATCGGAATAGATTGAGTGTACCTTCATCTCAAACTCTGCCGTTTGTACATCCGTACTGTCAGCATCATTCAGTTTGCAAGCGTTCGTCTGTCTGTCATAATCAAAAGATTTACAAGCCGTCAGGTAGAAACAAAATCTTGCACAATTATGGAGATCAGTTGTTGTCTCGTGAATCATGTGCTCTTTAAGACGAAGATTCAGGTGCTCTCGTTTTGACTGAAACGGATTACAAGTTCCAGTATATTCGCTTGCGATCTCCCTCAAATTAAAAATAAACAATATTGCTAAGGAAACGAAGTTATTTCTATGTTTTTTGTATTTCATTTTTATCTTTTATATCTATTTATCACTGAAATTCAATTAAATTGTTTTCTTGCTTATTTTTTATCAGATATTTAGAATATATTCATCCTATCTTCATCTCCATTACATAATCATATCTTTAATGCGCGACTCATCAACTTTGCTCATTTTTATACCCCAGTTCTCAACCACATTAATATTTAATGAACATGACACCCTTTAATTTCATAATCTATAAAGTTGTACTTGACTTACAACATCGTTAGTCACAAATGACAAACTGCCGCCGGGCGGCGTCTGTTTTTCCAAACAAAACGATTGTTTTTTTTATACAAAAACACCGTCCGATTATAAATGCACCTGGACGGACATCGCCCGGGCTCCGCCCGGATATCGACCGTCGCGCGAATACACACCAGTTAGCGAACGCGTATCGCCCGGTTCGCGGACGATTCATGCACAGGCAACGAGCGGACATCGTTTTGTCGTACAGCAATCGCGCGGGTTTATTTTGTTATAATTACGGCTTTTAATTTTTGTAGTTGTCTATTAATGTATCTGTGAATTCTTTCGGATTTAACATAAACTTAATTGTCGAGCAAGAACGTCTACGCGGATTAGTATTTAGGTAAAGGCAAAATACAATTGTTGCAATTTTTGCTTGGTCTTCATCTTGTCTCTATCAACTGCCTTCTTTGCTGGCATATTGACCACTGACTGATTTTTAAAAGAATATCATAAAATGCCAAGCCTTTACCGCCCGGCGCCCACGCGGCGACCGTCCGATCCATTTATAAATCGCACAGACGCCGTCCGGACATCGGGCGGCGACCGCCCGGTCTTTAAATGCTGTCTGTAACATCAATTCGGCAAAAAATCGCCCGGCGACAGTTTCATTCATGACCACGCAAGGTATCAGATTTAAAATCGCCCGGCGTTCGCGAAATCGTCAAAACCGCCGATTTTGTAAAAATCGTTAAATCGGGCGGCGGCCGTTTTATTTGTGACCTAGGCATAAGTATCGGAAATACATTTATTTACTTGAAACTTTATTGGTGAATAAAACGTAATGCAAAGTGATGCATTGCAAACCAATTACAACACTACTCTTCATAATTCTTTTCGTTCTTGCCCTTCGTTATTTTTCACGCCCAAAGGCCCATTTTGCCCCAGAAATGCTTTTATTTTGTTTGCCAAAACTTTTTATATTTGGCAACACATGTTACGAATGCGATCCCAATTGTAAAAGGTGTTACTTTTATATTCCGTTACAAATGTGGACCAACAAAAATTACATTATTTAAAATAATTCATTGCAATTGCGAGAATAATGTCGCAATATCACACAAGAAAGTTTTTTTTTTTGTTAATTGATCGTAAATATACCCTGAACATTAGAATTATTTTTTTATAATGATATGTCATTAACGTGGGATAACCAATCTTGAGCTTTGGTCTCCTTGTTTATATCATA